AAATCTATTCTAACAAAGTACACTCAGTGGCGAGCGAGCTTGGAAATGAAAACCGCTAGGACCTTTATTCAAAGTTGGAACAGATTGCAGCTGTTAACAGATTACAGGCTGTAAATAGTGAAATCAATATTGGATAATGGAAGGTGGCAGGGCGCGCCGAGGCAATGATGCTGCCTAAGTGTGAGTGCCCCCATACCAACACTACCCCATAATATCAAGCTGAAAATACTTTCCAATTTAGTTTCCATAATTCAAATTTAATAATCGTTTCTTCGATCTAGAGTTTAAAGAAATACTTGTGATAAATACGCATCTATCAAATTTGAAACAATCAAAATAACCGTATTGGAAAAGTTCCATTTGACAACAAGTCATATGAATTTTACTTCCTCATAATTTTATTAAGAATTCAAAAAATGTGAATATACACTCGTCGAGAGTCCTTGGTAAAGGGGTACGTCCAGGCTGTGTCGACGACCTGCGAGAGTGAAAGCGTGTTCCGGGGAGGCGCCGCGCCGCCCGCCCGCCCTGGTGCGGCTTTCGCTGGCTTTCTCACGCCACTCGACACTTTGTTTTTTATTTATTTTAATTAGCCCTTTCATTGTGCATGTGCTGTTGCAACAATAAAAAATACTGTTATGACGTAATTGTTATAGTAAAGGATTTATAAAAATGTCTCATTTGGATTATTACATTTTTCTTAGCAAGCCTTTTGTAATCAGTTAGACGTAATCTATTTTCTGTAATGTTTTGTTGTCGTCATATGTCTCGTGGCATTTTCAAAATGAGATTCATGATAAAAGTATTTTCCATAACATTAAGATATCGTCAATAAAGCGCTCAGAGCGCCCGCCGCGGATACTCTACGGAAGTAATGAACTTGAATGCAGCCACGGCGCCGCGTTGCGCCGCTGTCCCGCTCGCATCTAATAGCCGAACAGTAGGCGCGAATGTGACGTGCTCGCTGCATTCGCTGTCAAATTCGTCCGCATTCTCCGTCACAGGTCGCTTTCGTCGTCAATGCGTTTATCGGAACGAGACGCGAATATGTGTGTCGATTGCATTCTCGGCGTCGTAAAAGTGCATCTGGGTCGGTGGGCATAGCGCGTCGAGCAGCCGTGGAGCAGGTCGTTGCATAATGTGCACCGCGCTCCGGCGGCGCGGGCGAGCAGGGCGCGCGAGTCCGCCGGGCGGCCGCGCCGGATGCCGCTACCGGCCGGCGCAGACATGAGTCCCGGACCCACAGGGCCGCTACGTATAACAACTAAAGACGTTACAGTTCTAATACAAGTTTTAAATCAAAATTGAATTCACTAGGATTAGTCAAGAAGTTGCCTTGAATTTGTAAGTACTGTTCATAATATTAATCTCGTAGAAAAATCGCGTATTCTTAACCTGTAGAATAGAACGCAATACCTATAATTTAGTTGGAGTTATAAAATAATTTATATTCAAGGGTTAAAAAAAGAATATATTGCCGCCGTTAAAATGTTTCTCATTAATAATCACACAAAAATAATTTAGGTTAATCTTGTGCTCTGCTGACATATAAGCAAAATTAATTAATCAGTAAATTATAGGTATATGACAACATTATCTTGCCTATACCAACAGCTATTTCTAGTGGAAAGATCTACGTATTGAATTATTATTAGACTGCAAGGTTATCCTTCCCGATGCAATCTATTAACTATTTTAATGCACAAACCAGATAAATTCGAAACCCGTTTCATTTGAAAGTTTTTTTTATGTTTATTATTTCATTAGTCAAAAGTCAAAATAATCTTTATTCAAATAGACTTCTTAAAAGTACTTTTAAATCGTCCAACATTTTTTTCCTACCACTCGTTAAGGAAGTCTTTTGGCTGATAAGAAGAACCAGCAAGAAACTCACCAGCTCTAATAGGAGTAATGACATTCACAAATACCATGTCATTACCAGATCAATACATTATAAATAGAGAAAGAAAACTATGGTCTTATAATGATAACACTATAATTTAATAATAATGGCAGCAACAATTTAAAAAATCTTTTTAAAATAAATCCTTTCAGATGTTATTTTTAGGGACCATGAATATGATCACGATGAAGAATGTAATACTGTTGAACCCGTAGTATTTAATAAATCCTTATAGTGACTAATTCTTAATTCACAAAGTGCAATTGCAAAGAAGGCAAGTCAAGGCCATGATAATAATAAATAGATGCATAGTAAAAAATATATGTACAGAGTAAAGTATATTTCTCACTAATTTTTATCGTTGATATCCTGTTTTGTGAATAAAACATCTAGATATTATATAAAGCTATTGTTTAAAAAAGGAGAGCCAAATCATTATGTATTTTTGGAGTTTCATAACTAAAATAGGAAAAAAGGAACACTCATAGGATCTTTTATACGTCTGTTGGTTCGTCACATCTGATCTACTCCGAAACTACTGGATCAATTGGATTTAAATTTAGTGCAATTATGTAAATCAATCTCCTAAAGATGGGCGTCTCAGCTAATTAATTAATTTCAAATATAAGAGACGTATTTGAGACATAAATTAGAATGAAGTTTTCTAAACTATGTTATGTAACATATGAAAGAATGGACTTATGGTATTTATTATATATACATATATATATTTATTTTTTTCATTTATAGAAAAATCTAAAAATACTATAATCATGGTTAATTTTTAACATAAACGTATATTGATTTATCAAATTTAATAATTATCCGTAATAAAAAGCTCGATACGCCAGCCGGACTTGCTCTTGGTCTGTGATTATCTTGTTTTATTTATTTTTAATGGTGACAATAATTACATGACAATAAACAAAAAAAATCTAGTGTCTTATAAATATATGAACAAAATACCGACAAAATCCTTAAAAAATCGTATATTTTCCTATAATAATATTAGTATACACCTTTAGGTTATATTGCAATAAAAACATGCGTGCATAGTACTCAGCGCGTCGTTGCAGACGCTCTGAACGGGGCAAGTTCAAGTGCAACGCACAAGGTTGCTTCCTGGTGCGCGCGCGCCGAAGCGCAGTGCAATAACAGATTACACCTGCGCTGCGCCGGAGTGGATCGTTGATTTGTCTACTTTAGATCTATATCAGTGATTGTTAAACAACATAACATTAAACTCTGACAAGTTATTCTTTAGTTAAAATAGAATTTAAACAAATCTATATTCAACTTTAATACTGTGTAAGCATATAAATTTCTCTATGACGATTATTTCAATCAGTGATTTATTTTTTAAAATACTACTTAGTAATATATACCAATGTCATATAATTTAAACGTTAGCATTATTACACTTATATGATTCATTCTACTAACTTTTAATAATGTTAAATCACGCAGGTTTTACATATTAATCGGTCGGTTATGTACTCAAAATGCCTAAGTACTATTGCTATTTGGATAACTGACACTAATTTCAGTTATCCGAATAGCAATAACAAACAAAATAATATATTCTTTCTATCCGTATTATGTCATTATATTAGCGTTACAGTGTATACTCATTAATTATATTTTATTTCATCATGCGTTAAATGGATTGTTTATTATAATGTTTACATTCTTTAAAGAATTAAACTATAAGTTGATATAAGGGCAAATACTAAGATATGCATGTCTCGTGTACCGTGTGACATTGCTCGGGCGCATTGCGCAACCGACCGATGACGCGGCGAGGTCACGTGTTGGTTTCATCATCTCCGCGTCTGTGTACACCCGCCCTTCCAAGTGCACCGTGTAAATATACCCTTATGTAAACAAACAAAAACCCAATCATCTTTCAGATCCACTACGAATTAACTAAATTTTTAAAGCTGTTAATTATGACAAACTTTTTCCATCAAATTTTGCGTTATTTTTAAATGTCGTAACATCTCTGGGAAAAGCTTTTCTCAATCTTATTTCATTTATAAGTTTATCGAGTATAATAATCGAAATGAAGTTTGTATCGATATTATTAATTATAATTTTATTTTAAGTCTACAAATAAAGATAGGAAAGTGTTCATTTACATTTGAATTCAGCTTTTCAATATAAATTAATAAGAAAATTAATAAGAAATAAAAATACTTTGTTTAAATGTAATTAATGTTAATTTAAATATATTTAAATTAGGACAACGATACTAACGTAAATATACGATTGCGACACTGCACGTGGAGCATTACAAACATTTGTGTATATTAGACAGAGCTTGAGCAACAATTTGAATGTCAAATGAAGCCGGTTTTACGACAAAACGAAACTTTTTCGTTGCCATCAGTAAATAAAAGTCGCCGGACGGTCGTCGGCCGCGCGGCTTCCGCAATTATGCAACGAAATGTCAAAGCTGACGATTGCTTAAGCAAACCCATTGGAACTACGCATTTTTTTGGCTTAATACTTCGGTTAAATTCAGAGGCCAGTGAACAGGGAAAAGGTTACACCGCGTTTATTATAAAAATACGACTGAAAATAGTCATTCTAAGTCATAATTTAATTGTAATCGATATAAGTACCGATTTTTTTTTTGTTTTAAAAACTTTTAGAAGTTGATTTTGTTCAAACATCTTAAAATATTAATGTTTACGTTTATTACTACACATTTATATTGGTAATGTATAGATATATCTTAACGTGACCAAGTCCTGTTTCCGTGTTCCACGTGTACTGTGCCAATTGGCAAACTCTCAATGCGGCATCAACAAAAAAGAGCTATAATAATTGATTTAGCACTTAAAACTTCCTTTATTTCAAACAAATAGTGTTACCAATTAATTTATTATGATAATTATTTATATTATAACATCATAACGCATAAAAAAATAAGTTGTGGTTTTAATATAACAATATATAATAAAAAGATATATTTAAAAGGATATACATGCGATCAAGAAATTATATATATTTTTTCTCTTTTCAGGTACAAGTTACATTGACGCAGAACATAAAATTATGAATATATGACCTGATAAATATCAAGACATTCAAAATGAGACTTGTAAGTACTTTCAATTTTCATATGAATAGATTTGCATAAATTGTTTCGTAGTTTTATAAACATCATATAAATTAACAAAATTTGCTAAAAAGTTTTAAGAGGTCAATCATATTAACGAAAAAATATAAATAGCCAAAGGGGAAGTGTCAGTGCGCAGTGGAAAGTGCGCACTTATCACAAAAGTAGGTCAGTAGTCGCACCGCCCCTTTATCGAGCGCCGCTGACAACTGGCACTTAGCTAAAATAAACCCTTCCCCCAAGAACTTAACTCTCAAAATAAGTACGATGTCACCGCAGTGCATGAGAGTGTAAAAGGAAAATGCATTTTCGTCGCAACAGTGTTTGCATATTTTTAGCATCCAAAAGTGGAATTGATGTTTGTTTTTTTTTTATTTTGATCATCCATATATTTATAAGCAATAGTTATACAAATATATAAGTATTACAGTAAAAGTATCATATAAATGATGCGAAATACGTAGACCTCAAAAAAAACTATAGTATTAAATACCCCAATCAAAATGTGAAATGAGTATAATTATTATTAATGATTACAAAACTGTTTAAAATATACCTATAGAACCTATCATAAATACTCTCAAGTAACTGTAAAGTAGCGAATGGTAAACCTATTTATTTCACCAACAGTCAACAAGTGAGGAGGTTCCCAGTACAACGGTGGGTCGCACTGGCAGTCCAGGTGGTGCGATCGCATTGCCAACTGCGCCGAGTGCAGGCGCATACGATGTGACACGCATGCGGGAGGAAGAGTTCGAGAGGCTCACAGTATATATAGTCCCTGATGTGCCATGCGAGCGTGGCACTCCTAACCGGGCTGAACGCACTCTACCCAGGAGCCTTACGCTCAGACCCTCTGCGGTACTATCTACACCTAATACACCAGTTAGTAACTCTGATAATAATAATACAGATTCATGTTTTTATATGCTATGCACATATTTTAATAAAACATTAAAAACAGCTTTTGAGTTCAGTTTGCGTTGGTATAATGTTTCCTTTTCTAAAATCCTTACTCAAATGAATAAGAAAAGTTTCTTTTTCTACATTACACCTACTAAAATATTACTAAGCGTGATATGGCAATCATATTAATAATACTTATTGGAAAAAAAAATGTTTACAGACGGAAGGTGTGTGGAGCATCGGAGTTATTCCCCGTGGCACCAGGTTCGGCCCTTTCGAAGGCACTAGAACACCAAACAAACCTAATGATAAAGTGTCTTGGAGGTATTACTGGAGGGTAAGTTTTAAATCTAAACTATATCTAAAATATAAATCACTTTGCTTTTGTACAATATCGATCACTGCATACTTCGGGTTGAGGTTTGCATTTGTAAATTATTAGATTCTATCTTAACAGTAGCGTTATACCCCGAAACATTTCAAACTAACATACATATACCCCGTGTATGTTGTTCATACTCAGAGGCAAGCTATGTACAATATGCACCATTCTTTTCTCTAACTAACCAATTCCTCTCTATTTTGGGCCAGGTACAGGAAACTGTCAGACATCATACATATGGAAATATTAAGGTGAGATAGGTTTACTCTCTTATAAAATACAAATTGAACACTAACCTCATACTAAGTTGCATTATTATTAATTATATAACAGCTAATTATGTCTTATATAACATCAAAACATAATAATTATAATAACAGCTGCGGTAATACAGAACGACAATTTAAGAAACATTGAATACATAGTATAATTTATGTCTTTGTAGACATAACATTTAATAAACTTATATGTCTAACTACTTCTATGTTATCTTCCTGCTTCAACTAACACTGATATTGCATCTCGACCTTGACTTCCTTTGAACGCTATCGAAGCACGCGCATTGTAAATATCCTGCACGTGCCACGTGGTCCACTGTATATACTATAGGCGCTAGCACAGTGATATAACAGCGATAACAGCTTATAATTGTAATTCTCCAATAACAATAATATATGGACACGTGACATGTACTTCAACATAGAGAATAATTAAATTTAATAGGTATATATAATTTTATAAAGACATCAAAAAGTGGTTATTGTAATAAATTACATGTAAATAGTTCAATTTCCGGATTCTTATCAAAAATGGAATCAAAACAACCAATTTCTTTTACAGATTTTCAAAGATAGCGACTATTATTACCTGGACGGCTCAGACACGAGTGTTGCGAACTGGATGCGATATGTAGCGTCTGCCTACTCCCTCTCCGTCATGAACCTTGTTGCATGCCAGCACCAGGAGCACATATACTTCTATACCATCAGGTAATTTCACTTTCACTATTTTAACACACATCACATCAAAAATCGATATCAATAATAGATTGTGTTTTGTTTAGGGATATCATGCCGAATGAAGAGCTGATGGTTTGGTACTGCAAAGATTTTGCCACTAGACTTGGATACGATATTGATCCTGAACGAGCCACTTATTCTATTTGTAAGTATTTCAAAGACACTAAACATAAACTACTTTAACCCCTGTATATCCATTTCAGAAGAAATTAAATAAATTTTTTGTTTAAGGTAAGGAAGAAACTATCAAAAAAGCTTACGGATTGCCACCTGCACCAGTTCACCCGGAGATAGCATTTAACCACATGAAATATGTTCTTGGTTTAACAAATACAAAAGAATTATTGGAAACCGAAATCCCGAGTCGTCGAAGAAAAAGGGAATCTAATGAAAAACCATTAAATGAGAATTTCAATTCTCCCCTTGAAGAACCACGCTGCAAAAATGAGCGAACAATTATCAGGACTGATTTATCCACCAGTATCTTACACAACAAGGCTGACAATCTAATTAAAAGAGAAATTGCTCCCATATCACCTCCTACGCTAATGCAGCCACCTTCACCAGTCAAAATCCATCATAGAGATAATTCAGCCTTAATAATTCATCAGCACAAAGAAAGCACGTCTCACGTTGTTATACATCAAATGGAGAATTCGAGAATGCATGGCAGTAGATCACCTGTCCCTAATCAACACTTGAGAGATATGCGAGGCCCTTCTCCTATGGCCCAAACTCACCAAGACAAATTAGGTAGCAAATCACCAGGTCTCACTCATTGTGGTCCACCACATTATGAACCTCAATTAACTCCAAATGACGGTTCAGTAAGATCAGATGAAGGTTATCACAGCAATGGCTATCATGATGAATTTACGCCACCAGAAGATTCCAGTGACTCGGATGTAGAGAACTATGTATTAGATTGTTCCAACAAAACTAACGAACCCAAGGAAACAGTGATTGTTCAAAAAATAGACCAGGAAATGCATCGGAATGAATACAGAAAAGTGAAAATAAAGATGCCTAGAGCATATCAGTATCAAAATCTCAAGGAAATGGACTGTGAGAGTGAAAAAGAGTTGATTATAGCGGAAGAGATTGCCAACACTTCACCACAAAATTTATCACCACCTCGTCGAGATCCAGCTACATCTACAGTTATAGTTCTAGAGCCATCACACAATACCGTTATACCAATTCCGAAGCCATACTATGAAGATGGTACTCTATCTCCATCACCACAACCAGCATTCATGAGATACTCTCCACCAGACACTAGGATTTTAGAAACAATCTTAACGGGAAATCGAATCGATACAAATAACAATGACCCTAATAGAAGGCAGCCAAACGCTACACCACCACCATCGTCGCCTACAGAAATGGCTTACTCTTACAAGAAAAGTCAAAGATATGGTAATGCATGTAGTCCCGATTCCAGTTCCAATTTGACACCGCTACCATCTCTTCTACCACTACCGCAACAGCTACCAACACCAAGCGCTGCATCAGTATACTCATCGTCTCCTCCACATTCCATACCACATACGACAGAAATAAGAGAAATCAGAGAAATAAGGGAAATAAGGGAGACGCGATATGAAAGTCACTATCCAAATTATTCTTATAATATTTATTCCCCGCCAAACTCAACAATTATAACCCAACTAGGTTCTCCACCGAACTCTTATTCGCCTACAATAACTTCGTCGCACCAATATGAGAGATCTCAAAACGCACAAAGTCATCATTATCCTTCATCTACGAGTGTAATAACTTTAAAAAATTGCTCACAATTAAGTTTAATACAGAATTCAAATGTAAATAGTCAATTAGTACCATCACACGGTGGCATGAGTCCAGATGGTTCTTGCGGTCTTATGGTAGCACCAATAAGCCCTAATTCCCAAGCATCTCGAGGATACAGAAGTTTACCTTATCCTTTGAAGAAGAAAGATGGAAAAATGCATTACGAATGCAATGTTTGCTGCAAGACGTTCGGGCAATTATCTAACTTAAAAGTTCATCTGAGGACTCATTCGGGAGAGCGTCCATTCAAGTGCAACGTATGCAATAAGTCATTTACACAATTAGCACATCTTCAAAAACACCACCTAGTTCACACAGGAGAGAAACCACACCAGTGCGATATTTGCAAGAAAAGATTTTCTTCTACATCTAACTTAAAGACTCATTTACGCTTACATTCAGGACAAAAACCTTACGCATGCGACCTTTGCATGCAGAAGTTTACGCAATTTGTTCATCTGAAACTACATAAGCGACTGCACACGAACGACAGGCCTTACGTGTGCCAAGGCTGTGACAAGAAATACATCAGTGCTTCCGGACTACGCACCCACTGGAAAACTACAAGTTGCAAACCGAACAATATTGAAGAAGTTCTGGCAATCACCAACGCAGCTAACACCGAGTGCATAGGTAAGTCTCAAAAACCATTTAAAGTCATCTACCACAAAATACAATCATTCTAAGTGTTCACTGTTTTATACTCAATTATTAATATAAAATCACATTTTTACACCAAAACGATCGAACGCGCGCGTAGTTAGGAGAGCGACTGCAGAGCGTTGCACTTTCTCTTCGTAGGTGAACCGCAACTTTCACTTGCGCTCTCGCTGAACGCGACCGATTTCATTTTCGCGTGCACTTTACAGATACCGTCGACAAAGACTGCCACGATAGAGAGGGGCACGAGCCATATGAAGTTCACTCTCCTGGCGGGCCGGTGGGCGCCGGTGGGGCGCGAGTGGCCATGTCGCACTCTGAGCTGATGGGAGGGCACGCGCACTCGACGACGCCGCATCTAGGGCCGGCACACGCGCCACCGTCACCGCAGTACCGTGCGCTACCTGATCATGAACCACCGCATTATGCGCCGCAAGCAGCTGAGCCGCGCCCTAGCGTCATCGAGTCCAGCCAGCCCCTCATCATTGAGTGCACCTGAACCTATCCACGCGCGCACCACGCGCTACCCGGACGCGTGTTTCCCCGCCGCACAATGTGATTACATGTGATCAAATAAAGTATTTGTGAAAAGACAATTGGCGAGCTTGTAGCCTCGTCATGTCAAGTGGCTATGAGATTACGATATGAACTTTATTTTTTGTACATTTGTAAAAAACTCCTAGTCTGTAAGAACTACGCGTTGTTTATAAGTACTAAGTACTTACGTAGATATAGGTTGTTGTACTATATTATTTTAAGCATTTTCGTAATTATGTTTAAGGATTCAGCAGCCTTTGTTTATATTAATGCTCAAGTTTATACATAAAAATTAGATTTTTATTGTAAATAGTATCTTTTGTGACATCGAGTTTATTTAATTTCAATAGTTTTTACTATCCTTTATAATTAATTACCGTATATAAGACGACTACACGACCTGCAAGCAAACTTGCAAAATATGTAGAGTCAGTCTTAACGGAGCGGTAAGCAGGTGCAGATAAATTCTATTAAATTAAATTTGGGATACTCGAGATTTTTATGCCATCAAACAAAGCTCAATAATATTTCTCAAATTCCACCAAAGACAGATATATTTCATGCCACATTTTCTTATGATGAGTAATATAAATCCAATAAATTAATTCTAAGCAGAACCGAGCATCGTTTTAAAAATTCAAATATAACATGCAATTAGTTCCGAGTGCCAAATGTGCACGTTAATAATTATTTAAGTTATCCTAAAAGATTTTGAATGAATAGTATTTTAAATCATTGTTCCTAACGAATAATCGGAGAGTAAATGTATATGTGCAACATTCTAATTCTAATGTTAATATTAGATTAAATTTAAATCGACGAATTGTGTACATTTCCCCTACGCTAGAACAAATGGTGCTTCTTAAAGTAGATTAATAGTCATCAAAGGCCTGCGCGCTAGTTGACTGTCTACTACTTATAATATTAATCACACCGAGTCTACTAGTTACTATTTTATATTCCAAATTTCAATTAATTATGATTCTCCTATTTGAAAAGGCTGAGATAAATGTATAATGTAATGTTTGGCGAATATTGATAATAAGCAATGGTTTACATGATGTGTAAGAATCGTTGAGAGTAATCTTAATCAAGTGGGAAGGAATGGCTTATACGTGATGTAAAACCAAACAAGCTTTTTGTATACATATTTCTATAGTACTATTAAGGTTTTTACATGCAACCCCTTTTAGATTTACGTACCCGTATATTTTATACTTACATTTTACAAAACAAATATTTGTATTGGACAAAAATGTTATGAGAATTATTTCGATTATTTAATAGGTAAAAATCTTATGAATGTTACTTAAAATTACAAATTTGAATTGTTAATCAGCACTTAAAATGAGATTAATAGTAACGAAGAAGATTATTTTCAAAGGTTAAACTTATTTAGGAGAACAATGCACACCTTTCAATACCATTGTAATTATTTAATTCTTAACGTAAAGTACAGGGTTTGATTGGTTTTGTTGATACAATGATTAATTATTAGTCGAAAAAGCTAACTTCATTTGAAACTGAGCATTGGTTTTCAAAGGCAACAATTATTGATCAACATAATAATCTTCAGAATTTCTGTGACTGAAAAATTATAAACACTTAAAATCAACAAATTCAATAATTATGCACTTTTATTTCATAATTTTTATTAATGTGTTATTAGTAAATATTGTATTAAAAGCTCCATTACTTCTCGCCATTCCTAATGTTATTAAATATATTTTGCGATCAACCATTATATTGTCTAAATTAAATACAGAATACAGCATATGCTACAGAACTCTTGTAATAATAACGAAGCCATGCTAGTAAAAACTTGTTACCTGTCCATTTTTACAAAAATGCAATGGTTATATGCGGCTGGAATTTTTTTTATCTAAATAACATTATCGAATTATCATGTTATACCAGCGATGGAGCAATATATGCAATCTAATAACTCAAAATTTCAGAATTATAAATCAACTGTACTTATTTTGCAATTTTTTTTAATCATCTATATATACAATAGCATTTTTAAATGAATTCACTGTAAATAATCGGACGAGGGGATAATCTTTATTCGGTGTTCTATAGTAACTAAAATCAGTTATAAAACCATCATAACTATTTACGAAACTTGTATAAAAATAAATCTAACATCTAAGGAAAAATAGTTCATAAATAAGTATATATATACCCATTAATGGGTTCTGCAAAGTAAGCAATATGATGTAACTGCATGTATCAGCAAGTTGAGCTACAATATTTATATATAAAGGACTCGCATACAATTTATAATGAGTAATATTATCATAATAATGCGCCAGAAATGTACCTACTGTAAAGACCTGTAATTTTGTACACCATGATCGATAATTGTTTATAACACCAAATCCATTAAAACAGGAGTAAAGATATAATCGTAGTTTCAATGTTTACCTTTCTGCAGTGACCTCCCCGAATATTAACTTTTATATAACACTAGCTGTTTTCAGGGGACTTTATCTCATGGCCGAGTAAGTTATATAATCCAGTAGTTTCGGAGCCTATTCCATGTAATTAAAAAATCAAATCTCTCCTCTTTATAATTAGTATAAGCACGTATACACGTATAAGGCTGTATACATAAACAACAAATGTTAAGTAGCAACTGTTTTGTAAGTAGAACTACCTATTTCTTTTCTCTTATTTTTTTATTACGAAATATCTGCTAGCAGGTTTTTTTTATTAACGATATCTTCGTCAATAGTAGATAAATTTTGATGATTTTTTTTTTATTGAATGTGGTGGATAATACTTACTTTGATATTTTATTGAACCAGAACAAGTTTTATTTTTATACCAAAATAAGGGAAAGTGTGAAGTCAGGGCTACGCTTGGTAGCTAGATGACCCAATAATTTAATGTCTAACGTAGCTAAATAGTAAACAATTGTCGCGTAAGGACCTATCCTGTCCTTTTTTTTTTTGACGTTGCATAATATGTAGAGTCAGTCTTTACGGAGCGGTAAGCAGGTGCAGATAAATTCTATTAAATTAAATTAGGGATACTCGAGATTTTTATGCCATCAAACAAAGCTCAATAATATTTCTCAAATTCCACCAAAGACAGATATATTTCATGCCACATTTTTTTATGATGAGTAATATAAATCCAATAAATTAATTCTAAGCAGAACCGAGCATCGTTTTAAAAATTCAAATATAACATGCAATTAGTTCCGAGTGCCAAATGTGCACGTTAATAATTATTTAAGTTATACTAAAAGATTTTGAATGAATAGTATTTTAAATCATTGTTCCTAACGAATAATCGGAGAGTAAATGTATATGTGCAACATTCTAATTCTAATGTTAATATTAGATTAAATTTAAATCGACGAATTGTGTACATTTCCCCTACGCTAGAACAAAGGTGAGGAGATGTCCATTCCCAGCCATACCCACTCCCTTTAGCGTAGGGTTGTCGGGTTATGTGGAACTCTCCCTTGAGGGTCCACCCCAGAATGAGGCTAGTCAAATAGCAGTGGCATACGCACTAAAACCCAGCAACGTCCCTCTCAATGGTGGCGATGCACGCGGGAAGACCACTTCCTACGCCGATCCACGTCGGAGGAGCCACACTGACATAACCCCCCCCCCTCCGCCCGTGGGTCGATGCGCCTTCCCAGCCTGATCACACCCCTCCACAGCTCCGAAGCAGGCAGGGCAAGTCACCAGGTCACAACCCTATCGAACTCCCGGCGCCGCACCAGCCAGCAGGTAAGTACCCACTGCATCACTCCAGACTAGTATGGCATGTAACTGTGGGTGTAATGTGTGTTTGTACGTGAATATAAGAATGCATGTATGTAGGTGTATGTGTAAGTGCGAGATGTATAACTGTGTGAAGTATGCATCACTACATAGCATAAAACAAAGTCGCCTTCTCTGTCTCTATATACCTATGTATGCTTAATTATTTTAAACTACGTAACGGGTTTTGATGTGGTTTTTTTTTTTATAGATAGGGTGATTCAAAAGGAAGGTTTTAATGTATAATACAAGAGCACGCGGATGAAGCCGGCGGAAAGCTAGTCCTTTAATAAATGACTTTTTTTTCCAATATTTTTGTTTCTTTTTCTTCAAGTATAGCTTTTAATATTCCTTTCATAAAATATGGTCTAAGTTTGGCGATTTCTACGAATTAAAATATATAGAAGGTGGGCTGTTAATTGTGCCTGTGAGTATATATGTGTGAATCTGGGATCTCCATCCTATCCTTCTCCTCACTTAAGTCGGAAAGTCTTCAAAAGGAAACACCCACTGATTGTCTTTTAGTTTCCAGATCATAACAGAAAATTAAGCTTTCGTCACCAAAGTCAAAGTCAAGGCAAAATAAACTTTATTCGAATAGACTTCTTGAAAGTACTTTTTAATCGTCCAAATTTTTTTTCCCTCGTTTAGGAAGTTTTTTAGCTGATAATAAGAACGAGCAAGAAACTCACCAGCTCTAATAGGAGTAATGACATTCACAAACAACATGTAATTAACAGATCAATACATTATAAATAGAGAGACCAAATAACATAATCATTTAATTTTAAACAAGATAATTTTTGATATATGATGCCACCAGCCCTCTTACGTCCCCACTGCAGGGGCTCAGGCCTTCCTTATGGATGGTTAAGGAGGATGGGCCATGACCCTCCACGCTGGCCCAATGCGGATTGGAGGGTATTAACGACTGCAAATGCAGCCGGGACCAACGGCTTAACGTGCCTTCCGAAGCACGGAGTAGCTCGAGATAATAATTTTTTGGTCACCCATCCCGTGAACGACCCTTGCGAAAGTTGCTTAACGATTACGATCGCGGGCCGCGGCGCTTATCCACTACGCCATCAAGCTACTCTCTGTATGATGCGTTTAGAAGTAATCACCTATGCAGTTGGTGGATCATCTTAAGTCCAAGCATTCTTATCTGTTATATAATCGGATACCTTATAATAAGTTTTTTTAATAAGTATTCTTTTTAATAGTCGATTTAAACTACATGATATCTAATTGTTGTATTTTGCTTGGGACCTTATTGTAGAAGCTCATACAAAGATGCCTGAATGAGTTACTAACTTTTAGCAATCTAGTGACAATCACCGTTAATTTATTTTTATTTCTTGTATTGAAATTGTGTACATCACTTTTTATAGAAGACAAACTCATATTTTTACGAACGTACATTAAGTTCTCGTATATGTATTGATAAGCAACAGTCATTATGCTTATTTCCTTAAACTTCTCCCTTAAAGAGTCCCTAATCTTAAGATTATAAATTGATCAATTGCTTTTTTCTGAAGCACAAAAATCGTTTGTATGTCGACAGCATTTCCCCACAATAGGATTAGTACTGATTAGTAATTTAAGTATACTAATCAGTACTAATCAGGCAGTATCTATGTCAGTTAAACTACGTATCTTCATTACGGCATATGCTGCAGGGCTAGGTAAGTCTATTCGGCAATTTATCAATATATGGGCCCCACTGTAGTTAACAATATAATTTTATTCCTTAAAATACTGTGGTATCCAAAAAGCCCATGTTGTTATCTTTTATATTTACATTTATATCTACTTTTTTAACATTAGGTAATACAAATTTTAGGCATTTTGTTTTTCCTTCATTAAGGAGAAGATTATTTACATTAAACCAGTTGTAAAAAGGGGCATGTATTTGTTTTATTTAGCAATTTAAAATTTATATTTAGTTTTACATACGAACTGTTTTTATATTCATTTTTGTTTGTTACAGTTTCTTTTCTTTACCATAAAATAAATCCGTTCTCAAGCTAGTCAGCCTTTTATTATTAGTCCAAGTATCAGACACGTCACACAATGTACTTACTACTTTAGCGATAGAATTGTTCACATCGTCATTTAGAGGTGGCCTCTTTTAATTTTAAACAAAAGTGAAGTGTCATCCGCAAACAAAACTATTTCGTGATTATCCTTTACGAAATAAGGCAAGTCATTTATGTTAATTAAAAATAATAAAGAACCAAGTATTGAGCCCTGCGGAACACCCATCTTAAGTTTCGATCCAGGGGATTTTTTGCCATTGATATCAACCCTCTGCGCTCTGTCAGTCAAGTATGAGACCTTAAAATCCAATGAGTTATCTCTAAATCCATAGTAATGAAGTTTCCTAATCAATGTTTCAAGAAAAACACAATCAAATATCTTAGATAGATCACAGAAAACACCTAACGCAATATGCGAGTCCTCCCAGGCATTAAAAATTTCTTGTATTAACTCGACACCGGCTTCGGTTGTTGAGCGACCCCTTGTAAAACCAAATTGTTGTTGATTCATAAGGTTATTTTTGTAAAAGTATGTTTGTTTTTGATTAAGCATGATTTTTTCAAAAATCTTACTAATCGTAGGTAGCACGTATATAGGTCTAAAGTTAGTAGGGTCAGATGTGCTAACCGATTTGTGTAAAGGAATAATTTAACTTTATTTCATGAGCTCAGGAAAAATACCACTATCAGTACATTCATTAAATATATAAGCTAGAATTGGTACTATTGTCAGCCTTATATCAGGGGTCATTGTCAGCCTTATACCCCATAAATCAGGGGTTTTCTTTTACTGATTAAAATCTTTAAAATTTTATTAGATTTTATTATATCTTTAAAATCAATGTGCTGAAACTTAAATTGGCTATAACAATTATTTAAACTTGCCTTTAAAAGAGATTCAACAACTACAAGATCTGATGTTACTTTTTATTATCAATGTTTAAATTAAAATCTGTATTCCGGGTATTTCTCTTCCAGTTTCACTATTTATGATATTCCACGTCATTTTAACTTTATCTTTCTTATCACCCTGACATACTAACGTCAGCATTTAAGTCACCCCTGTTAAATCTTTGAATTACATACTGATACACACAGACACACTTGGCTGACTCAGATTTAAGAATATTTTTTTCCAAATCGCACCAGCTAGCGAAATGTGCTAGATATGAAATTATTTGGTAGGAAAATAATACAAAATATACGATTTCAAAGCGTCATTGATTGTTAACCAAAAACAAATAGTGATTGATACAGATCCAACATCTGTTATATTATTGCATATACTCCTTTGGCAGGCGTTTCGATAAACACATATCTCAGATATATAGAAAAAAAACATTTTGTCGATTAGACTTGTAAATTTTCGCCAAAAATTAAAATAAAAAGTTTGACAGCTGTTGAAAACCACGAAAAAAAAATCATTCTATAAAACTGCAAATGCGATTAACAGTTTAAAAAAACTTCAGTTGAAATTCTAGCGAGGATTTGTTAGCCATGCTTTTAACACCTTAATTATACTTAGTATAGATGCACCATTTATCAGAATCTGTTGGCACTAAGATGGTAAATATATCGATTTTCATATGACAATATAAAATGTTGACAACGGTCAAGTCAAAGTATATTTTTTGTAAAAATATTAATTAAAGTGTAAATGGTCAAAAACCGTTTATATCCCAGGCGAGAAATATTGTTTTTAATGTTTATAGAAAAATTTGTGGAAAAAACGACCAACAATTTTTTTTTATTTCAAAGTGTGTTTATGAATAGACAGGTAATTAGCAACGACATGCCTTGATGCTTAGTTTTTTCTAAAAAAATAATTAGTTAATATTCATTGGTGTACCAACTAACAGGGTGGTGCTAGTGGATAATTGGTGTAAACCAAATTATTTTATTTTTTACTAGCTTTCGCCCACGTGGTTCCTGGGGAAATGTTTAGTGGGATAAAAAGTATCCTATTATCTAAGTCAGCTTCATTATCATTATCTGTATACCAAATTTCTTCAAAATCCATTCAGCAGTTTCGACATGATTGACGCACAAACATCCAAATAAAGAAACTGAAGGGTCATGAGACCTAATAAAAGACGGACTGTATACTATAGGTGCTGTTGTAATTTAAGTAAATAGCGACGTAGTTCGTCCGTGTGGTCGTCTCACAGCCAAGAAGTCAAGGAGCCAAGTGGGGCTGCGGTGACGTCGAATGTCGTTCGTAAGGCGTCGGCCAGCGCCGGCGTCGCCGTCGTGTCCGGTGGAGTAGGAAGCCGAGCGCGCATCCGGCGCGCCAACAAAACTTTCAGATTTATAATAATAATAGGATACGATTTTAATATAATAGCTTTATGACGCGGTATTTGGCGCGTTTGATACGGAGATTAAGCAACTTTTGAAAAGCTAGTCATAGAATGTGTGATCAAAAATTTACAGTCTCGAGTCCGTCCATACTTTACTAGGCACGTTAAGCCATTGGTCCCCCCTTCATCTGCGGACGTTAACACCCAACAATTCACACCAAGACTGCTTGGTGCCTAGAAGCTGGCGCTGCAGGTGGACTCGAGCAAATTGTTACGGTACACGGGACGTTAATGTTCTTTATTATGACAAAGAAACTACTGATCAATCCTCACAAAGAGCATGATCATCAAATTATGTGAAAACACGGAATACATTTTCAGATACTCGAAGAACTAGAATGAACAGTGTGGTATCTTCGTTATTTGAGATACTCCACAATACGAATGCTTTTGGTACTCATCTTGGAATTTGGGCAATACATGGGTTACATACTTCTAATAACTGCTATTAGACGCGATTTTTACACATTTGAAGTATGTAATAATGCAGCGCAATAGTTTAAAAGTGAATAATACATGGGTTGTTGTCTAAATAAACAATTAAACGTGAGAGATAAAAAATACGAATTTATTATCAAAAATAATTATTTATTCTTTATTTTTCTTTTAGATATTCATGTGATTTATTGAAAGAAAAATAAAGTCTTTGCTAATTCTGTTAGTTCGTTATAATATACAGATATTTATTAAAAAAATAGAAAATTTAGAGTTCTTAATTATTAGACTCTGATATAGCAGTACATTTCTTCATATGTGTCCGCATATTTGAAGACTGTGTGAAGGCCAGGTTGCAGCGAGGACATGAGTACGGCTTAGCACCAGTATGGAAGTTCAGGTGCGATTTAAGATGATGCTTCTTAGTGAACGACTTTGGGCACAACGAACAAGAGAATGGTTTTACACCTGCAAATTAAATAAAAGTATCATAGATCGGTGACCGACTCAACAATCAAAGGTGACCGTAAACTAGAAGTAATAGGGAATATGCACATTTTTTTAAACGTTTTCATATGATCCGTTCATTTATACCGTTATACAAATGTCAAAGTACACGACTAGAGATATGACGTTTTAAATCAATATTGATTTTGAGTGATTGATTATTATTCAATTACCTAAATCGATAAACATATAATCTATTGTTTTAAAGTTAAATAGATTTTTTTAATAATCATATAGATACCTAATCGGTGTAATAAAATTAAAAGCCTGAAAATCATTATATTTTAATTTGTTGTTTATTTTGTGACCTAATACATTGATGTTATTGCATCGATGATTTTTTTTATGGGATAGGGGGCAGACGAGCAGACGGATCACCTGATTGTAAGTGATTACCGTCGCCCATGGACACCTGCAACACCAGAGGGGCTACAAGCGCGCTGCCGGTCTTTGAGGGACGAATATGATCATAGGGAGGGAATGGTTGAGGGGTAGAGGGAAGGGAATAGAGAGGGGTTGGGCCTCCGGTACCCTCACTCACACGACGAAACACAACGCAAGCGTTGCTTCACGTCGGTTTTAATATTTTAAATTAAAATTTTATTAATTTACGCTGTTTAATATTTTATTAATTTAAAATATTTTGAATATTTTCAAGACGAAAACGAACTAATGTTAAAAAATATTTACATACACGTTATTCTAAAACAGTAATGATCGTAATAAAATATATTTAACCCTTTTTTGAATCAGACGCAGTTTCCCTATTACTTGATTAAAAGTCATAACTCTTAAAAGTTAGAATACTATTATTTAACTATTGAAAGTTCTTACTTCATTCAAATTTTCGTTTATCTGTTAAAATAATTCGTTAAGTTTACTTAAGTTTGACATTTACTTAAGTACCTAATTACTTCTACTCGGCTATACGGGTATATGAGTATAAGCACTCTGCACACTTTTATCAGTAGAATATGTGAATTGTGAAACTGATGTAACTTACCTAATTAATATCATTGAACCATATTCTGGTATCTCAATGGCGTAGTGGATACGCGCCACGGCCGCCGATCGTTGTTGTTAAGCAACTTTCGCAAGGGTCAATCACGGGATGGGTGACCACGGCATTATTATCTCGAGCTACTCTGTGCTTCAAAAGGCACGTTAAGCCATTGGTCTCGCCTGCATATGCAGTCATCAATACCCTCCTATCCACATTGGGCTAATTTGGAGGGACCATCCTCCATCATCCTCCTGGACCATCCTCCTTAACCATCCATAGGGAATGCCTGAGCTCCTGCAGTGGGGACATAAAAGGGCTGATGATGATATTCTGGCAAATAAACTATTATTATCTAATACAAACCAGTATGCAATCGAAGGTGCAGGGTCATATTGGACCTGTCAGCAAAACGCTTGTCGCAATGGGAACAAGCGTAAGGACGCTCACCGGAATGAGTTCGCTGATGCTGCTTCAATAGCATTTTTCGGGAAAACGCCTTACCGCACTCATCGCACACATGAGGTTTCACACCTGAAAATATTTCAAACACGATGTTTACAAATAAACTAAATACACAAAATAACACAAAAACATCACAAATAGTCTGCGATACGTTTTAGCTACTTTCGCAATTGCCGGTCATAGGATGGATGACCAAAAATGTAGGTATTATATCGATCTCCTCGATGCCGCGGAAGGCATGTTAAGTCATTGGTCCAGGCTGTTTCTGCTTTCGTTAATACCCACCAATCAGCACTGAGCCCGCTTGGTGGGTCTTGGCCCATTCTTCCTATTTGGTTCCATAAATCCTGAGCCCCCGTTTCATTCAAAGTCCTTTTTAACCTCCAACGCAAAGGGGGGGTGTGTTATAAGTTTGACGTTTGTGTGTATGTCATTCTGTTTTTGACATCAAATCTCCCAAACGGGTGAATCAATTTGGATATTTGTTTTTGTTAGAATGGTGACTTAATCGGGAATGTTGTCTGAAACCTGTGCAGCCACTTGATCATTTATTGAATGGAGTACACTTCTACTGTACTGATTGAGTTGTAACTTGATACATATGGCAAATCATATAACATGATAATAATTTGGTGACCTTGACCTGATGCTGCAGCCAAGATACCGCAGAGTACTTAACTCCTCGACAACTAACAGCAGATATATCGTGTTAAACAAATAAAAACATCCAAATCCAAATCGCTTCTAATATTTATCAAAGTCCTTTAATGCTAATGTCATTAATAATAGCATTAATTTCAATATCAAAACGTCATAAGTCGAGTGTATTACTAAGTTGTAATACAGTCCTGAAACCGAGTATGTCTCGGTATAATATGTCACTTATACTAAGTAAGCAATAAATACGTGTTAGCCCTTATAGTTTAAATTAGTAATATTTTTATCCAGGTATCCTCGTCGCATCGGGGGAACGGGAGATGGCACTGCCGGCCTTTTGGCCCCTCATCCCCACAGGCGCAATGCTTAAATAAAACTAATACAGCCTTGTGCCCGAACACGCTACCCGAACACGGCTAACACGTATTTATGGTTTAGTTTTTATTAAAGTGTTTTATTATGACGGTGGTTTTTTAATTTAATTTTTACGTGTTATAGCGGCAACAGAAATTCATCGTCTGTGAAAATTTCAACCGATATAAGATCAACTGTCTAGCTATCACGGTACATGAGATATAGCCTTAGAATTACTGATATACGACAAATATTAATAATTCTATTACGTATGTGAAGCGACCTCAAAAAATTGGATATCATAACCGTATAATAACATTTCACAATAATCAACGTTACCAATCGAATACAATACTTATAGTTAGAATTCACATTTCCTTTATTTTTAAATGACAGTGATAAAGCGTCAGTCATATTTAGCCGGCGACTTGTGACGCCACAGACAAATAGGTCTCGTCAGTTTGAAATAGTCTCTCCCATAACATACGAAATCGATCTATTTAACCACCTCTACGATTTTTTACAAAATTGCAATATTGTATTTCCTTAACACCATTCAAAACTTGTTTTAGTTGTGACTACCAATGTCACTTGGGAACTTTATGTGCAAAAGTAGGGAACAACTATAATCACCTAGAAATTAAGTACGCAAAGATCATATTAAGTCTATAACTGACGTATACCGTCCATGAGTGTTCCTCGTATGCAAAAATAAAGTTCCGATTATACGAATTGCAAACATTTTCTGTGTTTGCATGCAGATCCTATTGACTAGAAAGTAACTCTACAAATACAGGCTTATAGCATGCATTAAGCGAGAATTATATCTATTTCACGACACGTAGCGCCACGCGCGGGTTAATAAACCCTTTCATATAAATTTTCAATACGCGGGATAATGCTGAATGTAATCAGCTGTTTTATTCTATTAAAAACTACGTCCAACCTCCATCAAACGAGAGAAGATGTGAGACAGAAAGAAACTGGAGAAGATCGGTGATTTTTCACAATTCTAGAACTTTGGCAGCACATCAAGTGAGTCCATCCTTTCGTTTCCTTCCATCAGCATAGCCATTGCTAAACGGAGAATCCAGAAACTGGATAAACTATCCGCGTGAAACGGATCGGGATGGAGTGCATCAATTATAATTGCGGCTTTTTTTCACAGATCTTCTTCCACATTGCCCGTCGATTAATGCATATACAACATAAAAAACCGCAAATATGGCGTCACTTTGAGCTGTTATTTATTGTAAAATAAGATAAACGTACCTGTGTGTATTCTGACGTGCATATTGTACGCGACGCGTTGATTGAATGACTTCGGACATAGTGAACACTTGTATTCTTTTCTATTCCTAAAAGAAAACATTTTCAACATAAAATCATCATGAATAATAAACTTTGTTTTATTTCAAATGCTATAAAAGTATCGAATAATATTTTTTCCGTAAAGTAAGAAAATAATGTTGGGCCATTAGCTTGACTATTATTCCTTCTTTCGCTTACAGTTTTATATTATTAATTATATATTAATATTTCGACAGTCGTGTAACCTGACGAGAAAAAAACAATTTTATTTTAATAACTTTTTATTCTTTAAAATTAACTTTCAAGTTTTTCTAATTCTAACCTGTGAATCTTCATGTGGCTGCTGAGGTAGCCCCTATCGTTGAAGTATTTTCCGCATACGGTACATGTGGCAGCAAACTCCCTGGTACCACGGTGCACTGATACGTGGTACTTGAAGTTGCGTAGCTGGGAGAACGTTTTCCCACATTCGCTGCACGAGTACCGAGCCGTTGACGTATGCCTCTTCATGTGAACTTTAAGGCTGCCATCATCGCTGAATACCTTACACATCAGATTTCATTAAATGTAAAATTTACTAGTTATGCCCGCGACTTCACCCGCGTGGAATAGTGGCTTTTGGCAGCATTTCAATTTTTTTAATCCCTTGCGATACCTACTCCAGGTATGTTTATGTTCTTTTACAACGTTCCTGTTTTATTATTTATATATTTAGTCAATGGTGTGGTTTTTGTAGTTTTCTGAATTAAAAAAAAAAGCGCGGCGGTTCATGATTGTATCTTCAATACGATTTTTTTTGAGATATACGAGAATAATTCATACCTATTTAATTATTTCCAACATTCATTAATTTTCAGTAACGATAGCCATGCCATAATATTTTTAGTCAATGATACATTAAGTAAACTAACCCTTACAAAATTATAGCACTTATTTGAGATCGATTTTAAGCATCGTATATTTTCAACATGATCCAATATCAAATTATTAGGCACTCTTTACTACATGGGAATGGGCCTGAGATAAAACGGTCGTACGAATTTCTTTTTACCTTTCAATAACTAGATAGGTACGTATTTGTTTTCTATTCATAGCACACAACACATTTATTTTACATGTCAACCCACTAATAATGAAGTGGACTGTGGAGAGAGATCGCAAGCTCTCCGTTCCTCAAATATTTGTATTTTGCTCACATACAAACTGCACTAAATATAACCCAGAGATATTTAAGAGTATTTTGAACTGATGACTTGCAAAAGGATTTTATTATGTTTAAATCCTGCAAATGCTTACAATACGCAAAAAACTTGTTGACTTTACATTTTGCAGTAACATTTATACTTTTTTACATTTGTTCTACTTTAAAAAATTAATAATCAGTAACAGATGTCATTAAGCAAATTCTACTATATATTCTCGTTATTGGATAGTCCCAAAATTGATCAAAATTAATAGCTGATTTTGGACAATTACAGAAAACGACGAACCGTAGCAGTAAATACTCAAAGCTTTCGGGAGAATAATTACTTTCTAATTCAGTACTTAGGTACAGAAGTCATCAATGTCGCCGTTTTTGCGACACCAAAGTTAAATTAAATCTTGCTTAGGCACAAATAAAAGGGTAGCTCTGTTACGTAGTGGATAAACGCCGCGGCTCGCGATCGCTGTTTTTAAGTCGATCATGGGATAGGTGACCAAAACATTATTATTTCAGCTGCTCCGTGCTTCTGAAGATATATTAAGGCGTTGGTCCCGGCTGTATTTGCAGTCGTTAAAAACCTCCAATACGCATTAGGTCAGTATGGAGGGTCATGGCTCAACCTCCTGAACATCCATAAGAAAGGCCTGAGCCCCGGCAGTGGGGACGTATAAGAGCTGATGATGAAGGCATAAGTCTTCCCTTTTCTTGAAAAAATTAAAGGAACATCGGTTTACTGCATTTCACATATACCTACTAACGTAATCCACATTGAATATTTTTACACAGAATTAAAAGAAAGAGCTCATGCCGTATGTTTGCGTATCTATCAATTACAATCACTATTCGAAGTTACTTCGAAAATAATCAAGATACCTATGCTTATACTCTAAAAGTTATATGCGAGCTAACTTACAAATGATGTAGCATACAATGTATGTTCATTTGCTTTTAGCTTAACTATATAACTAAGTAAGATTTTATACTTCACCTTTCTCCATCTATTCAAATTAATTTGAATAATGGAATAATTCGATAGTTTAAGTGAATATTATTTCCTCGATTGCCAAGTAGCGGTACCAAAAGTAGTATAACTCATGGATCAAAGGTGAAGTTGTAAAGTAAAAGAAACTTAACAGAAAACCATAAAGTTAAACTGTAAATCAGACGAATTTCGTATATATTAGTGTTTATAGTGTCGAAAGGCAAACAGAATAAGTAGACATATCTTATAATCGAATGTGATGAGTGGTCATAATATATAGCACAGTTAATCAGAAATAAATTATTTATAAAATTGTTGATTTGGAAATTAAATCACAAAATTTTTGACTTAAAGGTTAAAACCCAATATTACGCTGTTGCGTTGAAAATGGTATTGTTTAACGAAGTTTTATAAAGTATTTAGAGTCAGGATACCTGATTACACATTGGACATCTATGCTCTTGTGTGTCCGCAGTGTTATGAGTCACAAAAGCGATTTCAGTCGTCTGCTCTACATTATTATTGTTGCTATCATTCACAACTGTAAAATTTTCCTGAAATAATCAAAACCAATTCATATTCAAACAGGCCGATCAAAGTAGCACTAAGATATTTCGTATCCCAAACCATCCATCAAACCTTTTAACATTTTGATTAATTAAACATTGAAAGTTCTTACGACCTCCACGAGATGAACGTTAATCATGAAACTTTGACGATAATAATAATTGACTAACGAAAGAAATTGAATGTCAGATGATTCAAACTGTATAATAGAGGTCCATAACTTCAATTAATTCCTTGGACTAAATAAAATATAAATTAAAACATCTAACAGAAGCTTAAAATAAAAAACGATCAACAGCATTATACTTAACGTACCTTCTTATTTGGCGCAGTATCAGTAACATACGTCCCTTTTCTTCTAAATGGTTTGTAATTATTTGGCAATCGTGGTCGCCATGGGCTATCTATCACTTGATTAAAAATTGGTACTTTGTATAAATTAGTACACTTCGCTTTTATGTCATATTCTCGATTTATACCGCTAACGTTGCTTTCAGTTACATCTATTTTATCTAAATATTTATTCTTATCATTAAACGAATTTGATACTACAGACCTTACAAATCGTGTAAAACTAAGATCTAAAGACGATGAGGGGATCTTTTCTTGCATATCCCCCTGAAATTGGGTATTAGAATTCGTTTGCTTGTAGTTTATCACATGTTGGCTGTTACTGATTCTCAAATCATAGTTGTAACCACTTTCCATAAATAATTTACATTTCGGCAAACCTAAACTTGTCCATTGGGCGGTTTCAAAGAAGCTTTTCGTACTAATGCCGTTGTACGCTTGATCGAAACCTTTCACGCAACTTTGTTTGCGAAATATGTTAGGTAAAAAATCTCTTTCGGCTAGTTTATTACTTGATTCTGTAAGTCTGTCGGCTCCGGTGGGAAGTTCGCTATTTGCATTCGTCAAGAGAACAGATGTCGGTGCACGATAGCGTTCATTTGATATTGCTCGCACGCCTTCTGTAAGACCGTTAACATTACCGTTTTGAGGATACGTTTCGATATATAAATCACGTAGAAAAGAGCTCCTTTGTCGGTCCAAATATGGTGTAGATGGATGTTGTTCACTGTGACTGTAACATCTATCACTCTTATCAGTGAGATCTGAGTCACTTAGTGAATATTGAAGTTTGTCCTGCATCATTTCAACTTTTTCAGTATTCATACATTCGTGTTCCTTAATATTCTTCGAGCTCAACTCATTAGCCAAAAGTATGCTCTTAGGATATTTTAGTATATCCAAATATCTACTATCGATACTGTAATGTATTTTTTCTAAATACTGTTGATCAATGAAAATTTCTAATGTTTTAACTATATCAAGGAACATAAGTAGCTTACGTTGCTCTATAAGGACTTCACCGTTGTAAACATAATAGAGAACGGAAGACATAGCTTCGAGATCGAATTCTGGCAAGACTATAAAAGCATTATCTTCTTGTGAACATGACAGTAGAACTCGCTGCAACAAAATAAATAGATAAATTTAAACTCACAATGTTTTAAGGTTTAAATTCAATTTTAGTGACAGACACAACCTGAAATGCTGTAGACTGTATCTAAGAAAAGGATAATCAAAGAAAATTAGAATTAAAGTATTATTGATGTGTCTGTTTGATAAATTGAATCATATTTACCCTGAGAAAGAGGCTTACGCTTGCTAAGACTGCACGGTGTGCGTTGAACGTTCTGCCACCACATACGAGCTTGACGTCACACCATTCGCTGCTCGATAACCATTCACACATCTGTGAACAGAGTCAATTGAATATAACTGTCATCATTATCATCAGCCCTTTGACGTGCTCATTGCAGGGGCTCAGGCCCTCTTTATATGGATAGTTAAGGAGGATGGACCATGACCATCCACACAGATCCGATGTGGATTGGAGAGTATTAACGACCGTAGATACAACCGGAACCAACGGCTTGACGTACCTTTCGAATTGCGAAGTAGATAATAATTTATTGATCATCCATCCCGTCACCGACCCTTGCGGTACTTACTGAACAATAACGATCGCGGGCCGCGGCGGTTACCCACTACGCCACCGAGCTACCCCACTAAAATGCTCCACTATAATATAACCGTAGAATTTTGATTTATCAAAGCCGTAGATTTGTAAAAACCATCGTACTTTAATTTATGTTTTTATATTAATTTATTCATGTAAATTGGTGCAAAATTGTAATCCCTAACATGCTGCTTACTATTGAACTGATTGGTTGCCAATAAATTATAATCTATCGATGTCAAACCGTCGAATTACGAAAGCCATAGTTCTTAGTTAAAACGTCATCTAGTGGAATGACATCAAAAGTATTTTAATGATTATTAGTTTATTTTTTTAAATAAGTTATTTTCTAAAATGCATTTTTTATTTTGCACATTAAACGATAAATAAGTGTTTCTTGCAAAACACCAAATACACAACACAAACACAAGACCGGCTTATCAAGGACAGCTTTGGTTAACCCTGTTTCCGAATGAAACCTGAAAATTTGCTTCTGACGAAGCAACCTCAACGAATTTTGGGCTTGCTTTATTTGTTTGACAAGGATTTTGCACTACATGTAGTCTAGTAAGAGTAATTCCGTAAAAATCCAAATCCGAACTCGAATTCACTCAGGTGACTGAACTCACTTCGAAAGCGAACCCGCTTATTCTTGAATTGGTATTCTCTAAACGTTCTCTAAATTGAGGTAAGGTTCAAAATAACCTAGGCATAGAATATGTGAGGTATATATGAATCAATTAATGTTGATTTGTATTTTTTTACACAAATATATCTCAGTGAAATAGTTTAATCTAAATTATTCATTATAAAATCTTGAAAAACATAAATAAAAGAATAGTCGAGATGGTTTATGGTCAAATATCCATGACGCCAATGTCATTTATAGATGAAATTAAGATAATTGTAACTGGATTGAAATACGTTTTGTTGTTATTTCGTCGATTTATTTTTGACGGAATGTCAAATTAGGAGTGCGATTTAATTTTGTTTGTTAAGTTTACAGTTCTCTTGATTTATCGGAAGGAATAAACGCGTAGTTGGAGTTTGTTCCCAACAGTGATGAGTCACTCTGACTTTTTAACGTAAAAAAGTAATGACTTAACGTACCTTCCAAAGCACGGAGGACCTTGAAATAGTAGTAAATTTTTGGTCACTCAACCTATGATCGGCCCTTATGAAAATTGCTTAAAATCCGTAGCGCCGACAAAAATAGTAACTATACTGATTCTTTCATATTTCATGTCTAATAGTAGATTTCAAACATTTACCTAATCACATAAGTAATTCATAATTCGCCTAAACATGTTTAAGCATCAAAAATTATTGCCTCGACGTCGACTGTTATTTATATTTAGGGCATATGCTTCTTTTAAACTACTTAGAAAAAGAAATTAACGAGACATTATAGTTTTACAATATTTTACCGCAACTTCGATCACTACTTTGCAACTGTTTATTTGACAAGTGAATTCGAGTTTCAAGCGTCGAGATGACTATCGAGTTTCTATTGAGAATACCAATCACTATGCATGTAATGTTAAAATCTTACTTATCTTAGTTCAATTCACTCCGCGTCCGACAGTGAAGCACTAGCGACGTGTTCGAGTTATACAGAATACGAAATTTGAATCTCACTCGGATTCAGATATCCGATGTTCGAAACGTGTTTACAAAATCGCATGGCTGGTCTAGTGTAATAATCACAAATAGGGTTATAGGATGCCTACATTTTTTTTTAAGTTTATTCTTGGCTTGAATGCTTGTCCTTTAGCCGAGGACGCCTACATAGGCGCTCAGTCTTGCCAGATTGAGACAATCTCTTCAAATTTTTGGTGTTTTTTGTAGCTCTGTAAAATTTTTTGGTGGTTTTTTTAGGGAGAAAGAAACCGAATCAAGAAGAAATTGAGTTTTATTATTTCTAAATCTGTAAGATAACGAAAATAACTCATATTAAATAGACACGATCAAGACACGAATAATTTGCATTGAATGATAGCGAATGACAGGAAATTTAGATACTATTATTATTGATTCACAATGTCTTAAATCAATAATTCCAAAATCCTAATATATCATACTTTGCTATGACGCACGCTTTCTCTCAGAGTTTTATCTTCTTCCTGAATATAATTTCATTAGTGAGCATAGTGTGTAGTAGTTATTATGAGATAATTTTTAAAATCAATAAATTTTCATTATTTTCTTCAAAGCACAGGTGGTCGGTGTTTTGTCACTGAGTTAGGATTCCTATGTAGTACAGTGTTCCTATGTATAACAGAACGCCCCACATGTAGTACCTTAATCTAGTGGACTAGATGTAGTGTAGTGTATTTAACGCTTTAGAGACAATGCACAGCCAAAACCACTGGTCCTTAGAAACTTGAAATTTAGAGGGTATATCTGTCTCATTACGTGAGGTAAGAAGCAAAATACGAAACAACTTAACTACATTATCTATACTAATATTATAAAGAGAAAAGATTTGATTGTTCTGAACCAATTTTAAAAACTCCATCTCCTACGGGTAACTACATCAAACGGGATTGACATAAGCTGTAATATTGGCATGCAAAGTCGCGGAACAACAGCTAGGATATATATAAACAAAAATTGATGTTGACGAAGTTTTCGAAAAATGACTCGCTAGTAAAACGACTCGCTAAAGTAAAATTAGAATTTTTAAAATAGTTTTACATGCAACGATAATTTAAGCAATTTGCTTTGGCCAGTACCAAGTGTACCGGTAAGTATAGATTCAAACTCGGACGTGGGCAAACACGCCATGTTAGCGACACACTTTTATAATTTTTCGACTGTGTGCAAATAGATGCTTTACCGCAACACTCCTGTAAACTAAAGCTGTTGTTACACAGACAATACCGATTTATTTTACTCATATACGCAAAAGTTGTACGTCAATCTTTAACATTGATTTGATTTCGGCGTATCAATACTATTAACAGTCATATCCATGGAATCATCTTTGACTACGAGTATATAAAACGGAATCGTGATGCTTTATAATTCTGGTTGCAACATTTGAAACCGAAAAAATATATATTATAATGCAAGGATAATCTAACTATTAGAAATTTATAGATAATAAAACTATATTTTCAATACCTACCTACTATCTAAATACTGTTGAGTATACAAGTTGACAGACCAGGACTTTGATGTGTCCCCAGGCTTTAGTGAAAAGAACTTTGTTTTACTTCTCTTGTTACGATGGAAACTACATCGTTCCACTGTCATGATACCGAAGGTTCTAGATTTAATAAGAGACATTCAAGAGCGAGACATTAAAAAGTTTAAATCTAAGAACCTAGGAATAAGACGACCCAAGTCACTAATACGACACACTACAAGATAAACAAGATAGTAATCGTAAATACCTTAAGCTGTGTTTGGGTTAAACTCTTATAGTTCCTATAAAACCCGACGATCTTTCTCTATATGTGTATATTTTACTATTGTGAAAATAAATCTTCAACCTATTACCACTTAGTTCTCCGCTTCAATTATCATTCTAGTTTAGTATTATAATTCTATGTGTAGGTGTATGTTTTTACAAAATTATTTTATTTAAACAATATAATTTATAATAAACTTGGTTATTGTTATAGAAGCTTCATTTAAATCGATTTCCTAACAACATATAGAATAAGATCTGTGTGCAACTTATTGTATATTATTTTTATGTTTAACAAAATAACTAGATACTAATCAGATGATAACTCAAATAGGTATCATAAATATTTGAGGTCTTGTTAGTTTCAAATGCTTGCATGGATGTCTCTTTACCAAGCATCTATCACGCGGATACTTATGCTAGTAAATTAACTAAACAGAGGCGACCAGGTCAACGTTTTTAAAGTAGCACCACTCGAGAAAGTTTAAAACAAATAAATCTAATCAAACACGAAGAAAATAGAAGTCACATACAGTAACGAGGTTTAAAGTAGTCTACGATATATATCAGAAGGCGAAATCGGTAATGTTAATGCTTAAAATAATCCTGAGCGTTGTTTTTTTAAGCACAGACTAAGAAGGTGATAGTACGTATTTTTAAGACTTAACTACTAGACGTCATAATTATCACGACCTTTAATCTTCTCTGTTATGATGATTATAGATATGATAGCAAGGGTATGAATGAACTGGCTAAAACGTGTAGAAGACGAAAATATTATGATGTATAAACCCTTGACCTATTACAAATGTATTAATATGCACTCCAATTAGCACGCGGTTCTGGAAATAGTTTAATCAAAAAAATCGTTAGTGTATCACACAATGTCTAGCATCTGAAAAGTCTCCAAAATGAATGACTACTCCATGCTTATCTTGCGCAATTCAATCACACATTTTTATTAATTTTTTTTCGGCCTTATTCCATAATTTACGAGTAACAAACACGCTGAAAAATGGCTTGCGGTGCGTCAGTAACATTAAGCAAAGCACTGCAGCTCAAATTGCACGTTTTATCTGATGCAACTTGTGTTTCCTTTGTATTTTCTAATATTTTCTTTTTATTCTTAATGAATAATGCTTGAATAATCCACTTTGTCCCTAGCACGCTGAGATGGGACCCATGACATTTCACAGTCCTGGCGACAAACCACTTTTTTTCTCTTATAAACGTTAATAATACCTAAATATGTATTTGCTAGATTACCCAATGGCTTTTGTTACGCCAAAATTTCATTAAACTCCGAAATTATGTCAGTTTTAGTTTTGGCCGAATTTTGTGATTTACTAAATTATAGCTTTTGCTATACGTTTCACAAAACTGGAGTTAATTAGGTTAATTAGTTTCTTTTCTATTTCCAAGTTTAATTATATCACCAAAAATAAAAACCACAGAATCATCTATTTGTTATATATACCTAAACAATATTTACACAAATACCTCTTGGTTGAAGATTAACTTCTTCAACCTAACTCAATAGAAAGTTATATAAACGATACAGTGATTCGTCGTGTTTTAACTTTATGATGGACCATGCTTATTGCTTTGATTTTGTTTATTACCCTTAGCCGACACAAATCAAGCATGTACTATTTTAGTACACGAACTTATGAATGAACATTTTGCTATAGATACTCCTTAGATTATCTAAGATACTTACTCTTACTTATTATACTTGAAAAGATTGTACTTATCGAATAAATAATTGCATCTATTGATATAAATTATGGTTTTAAATACATGAAGTGAATTTATATATTTTTAATATGGAAATTAACATTACTTATTATTGCCCACATAACTTTTCATTGAAACTTAGATGATTTTTTTCTATTATATTAACTGTCCGGCTACGGCACACAATAGTTATTACCTACTTTATGATAGAAAAGACACTATAATTAATTATGTACATACGTCACAATTTACTAATAATATTAAAAATAGATGCCTGTTAATTTGCTTATTTTTAATTTAATCGTAACTCAATTTCAGGAAACTTTATAGGCGAATAAATACACGGACAAAGGAACGGAAATGTCTATAAATAAATTCAAATGTTTTTTTATAAAAATTAGAGACAATGTAGATTCACAAAAAAATCTATCATAGAAAAATTACCGTGCTAGACAGTACGGGGTCCGGTGATGCACGTTTTAAAAATTGCGGCACATCGCGTGTTCGGCTATACACACACGATAAGATTGTATGAGAGGGTCTTACTAACTGGCAACCGTATAAGAAACGAAATGTGAGGAGTTCATATCATGAAGTTATCTCGAACAGGGCTGTCTCGCTTTGTTACGTTTACTGAGGTACTACAAATTCCATGTAGCCCCTTTCTTATACTTAGCTGATGTAATAATTTCTAATGGTAAATTGGTAAAACATTAATTTAATTGCAATATATCCAAGGTTACCAAGAATATGTAGTTTTTGGTAATGAAGCTTGTCTACTGTGTACCAAAAACTGTGACTTGTTATTTTTATAAAGATTTTACAATTCTAAATTCTACAATTTGGCCGCAAATTAATCTTAAATTACTAAAGAAATATAGAATATATTTTTATGAGTTTCAACTTTTTATGTGGATAGATAAATATGTCCTACTTTCTTCTTTAAGCCTCCAAAACTAGATGTAAACTCTGAAATCTCAATAAGAAAATGTTTGTTACAAGCTTTCATATAACTTGCTACGTTTTTACTCGTAAAATTATGCAACTCAATTTAAATCATAGATTATCTAAAGTACATAATTTAAAATCGAATATAGCTCACGGGATAGCGACCCTGTTAATTTTTTTGATTTGTCATTTGAAAGGAAAATAATATCGTTATCATCATCCAATCAACTAGTTATGTTTAAGCACCCTTATACTACGAAAGCATAAAGGCATAATGTAATTATTTTTTTAATCCATCTATATAAAATGTGCTAAAATAAACTTTAAAGTTAATGTAACCGAATATTTTCCTACATTAAAATATAATTTTATTATATATATATATACCTAAATGCTCTTCACTATTATTTCTCTAGAAAAAAAACTTAATCTCTGGATATATTTTAACCAATATTGATTTTATGAAAATTAACAAATAATTTGAATTTCAAGTGGACTGATGTCGATAACCCTTGCGTATCACATGAATGACCGGTAAATACATACGTGTTTATTTAAAGTATGGCGCTTTTAATAAAACTTTGAAAGCAATGCCAAGCGTCTTACTGAAAGTCTTCATTTCATAAATAATAACCCATTTTATTATATTTGATCAATTTTTCATTCACAATACTATACTGAAAGATATTCTTAGTGAAAAATGCTTAAAAAATCCAATTTGTCCCTGGCACTCTGAGATGGGTACTCAAACTCATGACCTTTCGTAATCCGGGCGACTGCTCTAACAACTGAGCTACCCAGAACCTAACAAGACTGACGAATCCTTGAAAGTATATGTTGCTTTTTCGCTACTACCGAGTGTTTTTTCATCAATGTTCAGGCAATCCATCCAAACACTTCATTAAGAATATTTTTTTAGTATAGCATTGTGAACGCAAAATTGATCAATTATAATAATTAGAACAAATTTTCGTCTTTAGAAACCCAAACAGCCAAAAGAAATATTTTTATAAATATTTAAACTTTCGATAAAGATGAACAAGTCCAAAAATTTTGATAGGGACTTATATACAGATGGACAGCCCAAGATAGCAGTCCGTGTAGTTTTTGTGTATTTTCCTGTAATGGAATTATGGATATCAAACGACCTCTTAGAAGACTCTTGTTTGCCAAGAAAATACAAAATATGGAAATCGTTGCGAAGATTAAATATATAGAGATTATTATATATTGTCTTATGTGACAGTGGAGTTATAGCAATAGATAAGGTCTCGTTTTTACCCCTTGAGTACGAAACCCTAAATATGAGTGTATACCCCATTCAATAAACATCTTTATCTGGTTATAGTATTACCTTATAGAGAATTATCGCAACATTATTAAAATATGTACATATAATTTCATAACATCACGTACCTTAGTACGTGTAATTACTAAAAGCGTTAAGTTCTCACTATTAAAGTAAGCAGTTTAGACGAACGTTTTAAATTATAATAGATATTTCATGTGTTTACCGCCTTAATAACTTGAACTCGTAATTGGTTCTCTGCAATTAAGCACTCAAAATTTGTCGTCACATTAGTGTTCCTGGAAACCACTGTGTCATTTAATTATAAAGTAAGATAATATCTCCAGTTAAAAAGTAGAAAGCTACTTTAGTGCGGTGTTTAGTTATAAAAACAATATAAGGTTAGTTTACCTATGAAGTTTTTAAAAAGCATTTTAAATATTTGTGTTGCCGACAGCCTAAAAGACAGACAGGCTTTTATATCGTACTTATTTTTAATTTATATTTTTTTACTTTTTGACTTTGTCAATGTTTGGTCTGTCTTGTACTTTTATACGTTATTCATAAATAAATCTTATTATTTGCTAAATATATCTTATTATTAAATTATCTACAGTTCATTGTGCTTGCTGTCGGTTACAATTTGTCTTCGTCAAATTTTGCAGCTTATTTTTAAAGTTCTCATTGACCAATTAAGCTAAAATTTCGCATACATGAGTTAACATACATAACTTTTTTGTCCTTGATCCTTTTTTCGTAATTTCAAACGGAAGTAACTAACTCATTTTGAATATTTACATTCTTAGTGAAAAAATGATTAGAAAATCCACTTGGTCCCTGGCACTCTGAGATGGGTCCCATCTCAGGGTCAATTGAGTGGTTTTTCAGTATAGCATTGTGAATGCGAAATTGTTCAAATATAATAATAATATAAATATTTATATTTTATATAGTACGATTATATAACAATAACTGCTTAAGTGTAAAAAAGATCATCAACAGATCGAATGTTGTGAATGATCAAACCCGCTAAAGGAGGGTATGGTATACCTGACAATTCTACTTATAGATGCCTAATTTGTCGTGAGATTCTAAAAGATTTGATATTTAAGTCTGTCATCTACCTCCGCTTACGTTCCCATATAAATACGCATCGAAAGTAAAGGCTTGATTTCTTACATTTTTAAACAAAAAAAAAAAAACAAATGCAGCTAAACAAAAAAATGTGATCAAAAGAATATATCAAAACTTATTTTTTTCTAAAGTTAAGATGAAATATGCTAGTTGTTAAATGTATCCAAAAACCTACTTAGAGTAATATTTCCTTTTTTTCTAACGAGTCAATTAATTAAATTTATGTTTATAAGACACCTACATATATGAAAAGTACCACCTCTTGACAACAGGTGTGCGCTGTACCCTTTTAAAACGCGCTATCAAGTAATCAACTCCACTTTGATATTAAGTTCGATAAATCTATCATACTTTCTTAGGGCTTACTGCATAGCACACTATACGCTTCCATCTCGTTGGGACGTCAGTGTCTTAGCATTATAGTACTCTCACAGTATAAGACCGCTTTCGGTGTACTTCCATCTTATGGGATACGTCGTTTGCTCTTATATTGTGGTCAATAACAGTTGTATATACGTTTTGGTTATTACATTTATTTGTCATATCTAGTTTCTCTTCGTCAACATCGTGTTATATGTTTATTATTTTATTTTGATTAATTATTTTATAAATGTCCTATATCATATGTGCATGTGCCGAATAAATGAATTTGAATTTCTGTTTTTTGTTTAACTAGCTTTTGCCCGCGACTTCGTCCGCGTGATAATGTAACTTTGAGCAGCATTTCTAACGAATATTTATTCATTATATCGTGTGAAATACCTGAAATAAAGATTCATTTATCAAAATCCTTTAGTAGGGGATGCCTACGTCATAGTAGCTTTATGCATGCAAAGTCTGAGCCCGATCGGTTTAAATAATAATATAATATATAATAATCTTTATTTCAGGTGATAATAACCCATATTGTGATACATTTGAATTAGATAATTAAAAATATACATATAAAATACAATACAGTTCAATTAAATTCATAATCAATTATTAATAAATTAATTAAAAATGAAATCACTAAAAATTAAAATTGACAAAGTTTCATACAAATTTTCATCCCTTATTTTATCCCCTTGGGGAGAGAATTGATGAAAATCCTTTCTTAGGGGATGCCTATGTCATAGTAACTTTATGCATGCAAAGTTTCAGCCCGATCGGTTTAAAATTGTTTTATTGCTGATAGTGAATTTTTACAGCGTATTTTATGACACCTTTAATAAACAGACATGCAGTGATATTTTTAATATTATTTTGAATATATTTAATTATAGCAATTTGTATAAATACTACTAAACATTACATATTCGAACGTAAATTTCCCCATATTATTAATTAATCTGTCGTTTTAAGATTTCATGGTAATTTGCAATAGAATGATAGTTTCTTACGGGATTGCTACCGTGTGCCATGTTTTTAATTGGTTCCCGATATTTCGCCGCTGTTTCAAGCGCCATGATCACGGAATAATGTCGGGAACTTAATAAAAACAAGGTACCTACATGTTAGCAATCCCGTAAAAACTATCATTCCAATTGTTAGTTTTACACGAGTGTAAAACTGTCCTATCATAGCAATAAACAATTGCGTTACCTAGTTTTTAATAATTTAATTATTAGTTAACTATTTTATTATATATTATTTCTTCGCTCCTAATAGTTGCAGCGTGATCTAGTTATCGAGGAAGGCTGTAGGCTATGTTATATAGCCTAAGCATTCCTCGATAAATAGTCTATTCAACACAAAAATAATTTTTCAATTCGAACCAGTAGTTCCTGAGATTAGCGTGCTCAAGTAACAACTTATACATTATATATGTATAGATACGAGTATTAGACGCTCAAAAATAGAATGAGCCATCTACTGTACACAGAGGTTGATGACCGTTTTTGTCAATATACCTACAGGTTGCCAACTACTTTAAAAAAAAAACACAAATTTTATGAAAAATAATCTTCAAACAATTATTTAAGTATACCATTACCATTACCATAGCAAAAAAAATTGTGCACTGATAACAAGTGTTTCTTGTGTTAAAGCAATGTTGCAATAAAAAATATAGTTTTACACAAATAATATCATAAATGACGTTACTGACGGAGAGTTTACCTACTTTAGTATAGAACCATGAAAATTTACCAAAACTTATTAAATTTTGTTAATGTATATTAACCAACAAGCACAGTACAACAAATTTGAAAAATATGCATCTACTTAAAATAGCATTTGGGCATAAACACAACATTCTGGAATTTGTCATGCTCATCCTGCAATAAGCTGAAAACATTTGCCTCATTATTAATATACCATAAGTATGAAAATATTTTATATATTTATACTTAACCCTGTATTTATGTATTTTTCATTTAATCATACACACACTTTTCTTTGTACTTATATTTATACATTATATATTTTTCTATTAATAATAACATTATAATACTTCATTAAATAAACTATTGTCCATATAATCTAGCCCATCGTCACATTGGACATATGAATTAAAAAAATATCCATCAGTGTCATTAGAATCATATTTTTTACATACACAGTAGCTTATGCTTTTGCCACATCCTCTACATTTTTTTGAATGTTTCAATAATATTTCATCAGGAAATTGACAAGATATAAAGTCACCAAGGCAGTGTTTTATATCTAATTCACTATTATTAAAAGAATTAGAATCAAGAACATGTTTATTTAAATAGTCATCGACACTTTCAAATGTAGAAAGATGATTGAAAATAACTTTTTGTTGTTTTGTTAACACTTTTTCAAGCATAAAAACTAAATGATGATGATAACATTGAAAAGTTATTTTATCACAGTCTTTGTCTTTTAAATCTCTCCAAAGTTTAACACAGCTAAGAGGAGTCCTATTTGTTCCACTAAATAGAGCTGGGTTTGTTAATATTCCACTAGCAGCCATAACACCATTACATTTAACAAAACTATGAAGATCATCTGCATCCTTCAATGACTTTACCCCACCATTGGCTATGACCGGTATGTGCACTGAATCACAAATAACTTTTAAGGCATTGCAATCTATGCTGTCACCACTCTTCTGTAATGGTGTGCGTCCATGAACTGTTAAAAAAGTAATTCCACATTTTTCCATCTGCTGACACAAATCAATAGACTTTTTCAAATCATTAAGTATCCTTATTTTTACAGATATGCTAAAACTACTGGGGAGACTATTTTTTAGACTTCTTACTAAATCACGAATAAGATCTGGCTTTGACAACAGTGCTGATCCATAACCATCTTTCATGGCCCATTTTTGAGGACAACCACAATTTAAGTCAACACCATCGCAATATGGATAAATCAGTTTAGAAGCATCAACAAAATCGTTTACGTTATTAGCAGCGAATTGTACAATCAGTGGAGTATCATTTGTTGTAGTAGAAAACTCACTGCATCGAGCCTTTGAATTTTGACAGAACGAGTCTGCTAAAATCATCGGAGTGAAAGTTAAATCCGTATCATAACTGAAACAAATGAAATATATTAAATATATACAACTGTTACGGAATATAGTGTATTTATCGAATAATAATAACTTTGGTTATGTACTCACTTTTTAACTAAAGTCCTAAACTGGACTTTGCTGTATCTAACCATAGGCGCACAAACTTTAAGAAACGTATTATTATTCCTTGCTGATTCAAATAATTTTAAAATATCCTGTTTTATTTTAAATTCCATTTAGGCTTCTTCTTCACGAAATTTACATGGGTTTTAATCTCAGAATTTTTGACACACCAAATGTCAATTTTTTTATAACCATTCCCATAGTGGGGACGAGGCAAAGGGTACTAAATCCATACTGCTTTGTTATTTATTTGTAATTATTTACTGAATTAACCGCGATTCAACGGCCACAGTCGATTTTTTTTTTTTAATAGAAATTTGTATTGTCAGTTTAGTTTAAACGGCCGCAGCCAAGTGTTTATTAAAAATTTTTACATTAATTACGTAATAAACAATAAATCCATGAAACAGTTTAACATAGATTTTTTTTAAACAGTCATTGTACCAATCAATCGCTCTGTGTCAAAATTTAAATCGTTTCGTTATTAAAATAAAAAATCCCACAACTATTTATACGAGATATGAGTGAGCAGAATTAGAATATATTTTGTCTTTTTTAATATAGGAACCAAACAATAGGTAAAGAAGAGACCAAAACAAGTTTAAAATATTTAGAAACATTTTGATTTCAAGAACGAAATCATTCAGCTGTTTGAACATTTTATATGAGAGCCAATCTAAGCCATAAGCAGTTTTCTTTCTAGAATTTAAAGCAGATTTTCTTAAATTGAAAATGGTTCTATCATGTAAGAATTTGTGTTATTGATTGGAGTATCTAGTAGATTTTTTTAAATTTATTAATACCATTCAAGCATAATGAGGAAGTATTTCAAAAAAAACGAAATATAAAAACAATCACCTCCACTAGATGACGATGATTTTTACAAGAAACGAATGGACCAAACATAGTAATTTCCGTTCCTTTTAACTAACATTGTAACACACCATCATCTTCATAGGTGCCCGACTAGTTCTAAGTCTACGAACTAGATGGCGCTGTACATTTAAGGCATCGCAGTATCACTTTGTTTTATAATATTGTATAAGTAATATGCCGATTAATGTTATTTTAATTCGGGATTCGGAACCAACCGCTCCAGATAGGTACTACGGCTCTTAGACTAAGCTCTGTGCTGTGGTTTGAGACCTGGTGCTTACTGCGTGTAAGGTAGTTCCCGGATTCACCCCTTTTCACGGACATAGACCCCAGTTTGTCACTCTCGCCGTTTTCTCATTTTTTTCACCATCGACGTGGCCAATCCTTTTACAACATATTAAAAAACTGAAATTTGAAAAGTTCTAGCCTAGATATCAATACAAATACGAAAAAGTACAAATAGAATATGAGTTGTTTATTGACTATTGACAATTAATTTACTTTTGTACATTAAAGAAAACCGGAAGGATTGTCATGGAGAAATAAACTTTCACCGGTGTACTTGGGAGTTTTCAGAATTTAGAAGGTCGACTTACGTTTTCGTTCTTTCGGGACTTTTGGTTTGTTTTTCATACTTGTTCTGTTTATCCGTGTGTTGTGTTTGTGTGCGGTCAGTGCAATGAGTTCGTACTCAAATGCCAAATATTACGAGATAATATTGTGTGTTGGTGCTTGTGACGATAATCTTGCTGCGGCTCGACGGCTTTATGACGAGCGCCACGTGGCAGGAAGATCTGAAAACCCTCGACGTCTTCCTTCTTACCGGTGCTTCGCGGCACTTGTGAATCGGTTATATGCAACTGGTTCATTCCATAGTGTGCCACAGGGACGCCGGACGAACACCTATTCCACCGTGACAGAGGATATGATTTTACGTCATGAGTAACACGGTCTGTGACAAGTCGAATGGAGATATGTAATTTACGCGATGGCCATATCGAGACCCTGGACTGATAAAAGGGAAGTTAAGTGTAGATAATGTTAACAAGTGAGAGCTGAAAGAGTGATTAGAACGCTGTCTCTAGGTATGTTTAGGTATGTCCTTGTTTAATCTTAAATTGTTTTCATTAGAAAATTATAATTATGATACTATTCGTTATAAAATTTCTGAAATATCAAATGAACTCACACGCAGTCGAGTCCGTGCGTCGGCATTCAAAATGTATTCTAGGAAATAAGAGAGAGTGAGAGGTAATGAGAGAGAGAGAGAGAGAGAGAGCGAGCGAGTACGCCGGGACGGCACATATAAGTTTTCAGGGTTGTAGCATATTAATTGATATCAAATTGTTCAAATATTTGTATGAAAAACTTAATTAACGTGAAATTGTTTTTTCACATATTAATTGTGTTCTTTATGCTAGGTTGTATGGCCATATTTCGGGATTATACATGTATTTCCAAACACGTGTATATCGATATATTGATATATCGATATTTTCTGCGTAATAAGCGATTATCTAGAAAAAAATTCAAAATATTCGAAATTTTAAAGCAAATAAACACCTGGCTGTTTTGTTATTTAAAATAAGTACATAAAGCCAAGAAAATAACATCATCAACACAACAAAAATAACATTATTCAAACAAATCAGTATTTGTCTGATATTAACATCAGGAGCACTCTCAGTGATACCAACTAAACCAACAAGCAGTGTCATTGTCATAAAGAAACAAATCAAAAGACAAGCTGGTCATAGACTGTTATTTCTAATCTCATACAGCCTACTGCCTACCTACTCTTTTTAAATTATTTCTTAAATTTATTATATCATATATTTATACATTATGCGACGTATGAGCAGACAGCAGAACTTTAAAAAATATATCGATTAAGATACGAATTTAAAATTGAAAATAAATATCGATGATTTATATCGATTTTTCAGAAGAAAAAAAATCGATATTTTGGTATATCGATAGTTTCTGCCCAATCCTATGGTTAACTGGTATGTCAAGTTAATGATGAGTCGTAACAGGTTAAAACAAATACCTGTTACAGCTGTTCTTGTTATCTAAGTTTAACAGTTCCAAATACCTGTTATAAAATAACAGCCTGTTATTTTCTAACTACAATCAAAATTAGTGTATAGCTAAGGCCTAGTAAAAACAATCCAAAACATTCCTTCATGCATATCAGGCTAAGGACTGTCAGTTTGTCAAGATAGATAATGCATTCTATTTTTCTGTTTAGGTGTCATGTGGTGAAGATTTGTGTTTTGCTGTGCATGGGTGCAATACACATTACCTATATGATTATATTTTTATTTCCTTTGTATAGTCCATAATTTACTATTAATTATATTTAAGGGCATAACAAACTGGCGCATTTAAAAGTTTTGAATTGATTGTATGTTCATGATTTGATATTTACAGTACATATTTACAAGTTTTAACTTATCTAATATTTACAAATTCTGGTGCAGAAAAAGCAGGTGTTGCAATTTTCTGACCCCGAGGCGTGTTTGCCTGTCATTCATTAGGTACCCTGCTGCGGAGAATACCCGTTCGCAGGGTACAGATGACGCCATGGCATCCGGGGTATAATTTTATCTTCTAAAACGACCGTTCAAATGTCAAAAATACCACTAATCATTATCAAGCAAATATGGTCTTTATTTGTACCAACATAAGCTTGATAATTACGCTTTAATCATAACTACCAATCAGGTCAAAGAAGTAAATTTTCTTGTCATTTGTTTCAAAAGCCTTAGCTGCTATCAGAATAAAGTCTAAAATCCCAAGTAATCATTGATCGATGACAGCAGACGCCGTGTTCGGATACTTGTACAATAAAATTAAATATACTTGCTTAATCAATTTTCAATTTTTAAACCAGGCTTTATTGGATTTATTTTTGTATAAATATGTTTAAAATGATCGTATATGAATTAAAACAATTCATCATTCATAAAATAATTTGGTGACTATTCAATTTCTTTTCCCGTGTGGTTGTTTCAATAACAAAAGTTTATGTGTAATGTATCCGAACGTATTCCTACGCCTAAATTATACAACAAATTTTAGGAGTCTACCTGCTTTATGTATCATGGAATAAAGAAGTGTCAATACAAATTTCTTGTGTTATAAAATACTAGTGACCATCTCTTTTTACTACATTATGACCAGTATGAGAGAATGAGAGAGAAATAGACGAATAACATTAGTTGATACGACGAAGCAAAATTAAGGAGACACAAAGTTGGCTTATGACGCCTATGATTTGGGGTCAACTATAATATCCTGATATTTAGAAGAAAATACTAGGTGGCTCTCTTTTTGACTTCATAGGTAAGAATGAGAGGGGAACTGTTCTAGCTAGGATAACAGAAACACAGGGATAACAGCCGCAGACCAATAACAGGAGATAACAGCGGATTGTGCTGTTACGATATTTTACGCAAAGTATTGCTCTCGCGTGTAGTATTTTCTATAACAGTTATTTTTGTTACGAATAACAGTTGTTATGTTCCGTAGGGAAATATTTGTTCTTTTTACCTGTTACGATAAATACGCCTCACCGCTATGTCAAGTCAAACATGTCGCATTGTCAATGTCAGTCAATAAGTATCTCTTCCGCGCTCCGCGCACTAACTGTTGTGAAGTTTTTCTAGTTCCGATATTGCTTAATGTTCTATAAGTAATTGTGTTCTGTGGTTCTATGCTTCGTACTTTATGTCGTAAGCAGGCTGCTAATACAACTCTGAATTCTTTCAAAAATACCTGGTCCACACCAATTGCAAAAACTATAAATTACTATACCCAATAAATCTGTATTTCAATAAACTATGCTCATTATATAATTATTAAGTCATATGCCCACAATTGGAAATAATTCATAAGTAATAAACCTAACCAAGTAGTTTCTAATGGAAAAGGAGGAGAGACTACAACGGATAAAAGTTAAGTGTTCACATCTAAAAATGTATATAATTAAATCATGTCACATTTAGCGTAACCGTGAAGAATTTTGTTATTAAATATATTTTTATCTTGCAGCTGGTGCATTTTTGGCCTCCATAGCAGGAATTTCTGCTATAGTAGGATTTAGTGCCACACTATCAGCAGCAAAAAAAAGTGATCCCAAATATTTTAATAAAGGTAAGTATATTACTTCTTTCAATTCCAACAAAGTCATGGAGAGTATTACTGTAATCTTTTATTAATTCATGATATTCTAAAATGAGACATCTGATGAAGAATAATAGAAGTAGTAAAGTAGGTTACCTTTTCAAGACCTATTAATATTTATTGTTTCAGGTCTACATGGCAGTGTTGAGATAGCAGATGCAGGAGCAATTCTAGCATTAAGAGCACTTGGATGGGGGACTTTATATGCTGTAGCTGGAACATCATGCCTTTGCTATGGAATATATAAATTATCTGGTGCCAAGGATGTAAGAAAAATCTAGCAGACTTGAATAATGATATTAAATAATAATCTGAAATATTTAATTGTAACTTCAATAATTTTTCATTTATTTTATTTCAGCTCAAAGACTTTAGAATAAAAATGGGTAACCTATTGCCTATGTTACCAAAAAACAACCCACCTCAATCAAGGACAGAGTTCACAGGACTCAATGATTTGATGACATATTTAGATGAAGAATATGGAAAGAAAAAAAATTAAAACTTTAACAATAGTTTTGTTTATGTACAAATAATATATTACATAGATAAATCTTGTTTTATTAAATGTTCTTCTTTGTAGGCTATGCCAGTATTGCAGCTTGCTTTGCAGGTAAATATAGCAAGTATACCCCAGTCAATACTATTGAAATCTATACCAACATTGATGAAGTTTAGTAACTGTGGCATAACCTAAAAACAAATAATATTGTTATTTTCAAAATTAATGATTAAGAGTCAGACTAGTTTGAGCTGTATCAAGAGTGAGCTTGCTGCTTTTTTCCAGTGGACCAGTCTCACTGTGTTCTTATTGTTACGGAGCGCAGTGGCACAGTTCATCTAAGTATTACTAGATGGCGATATGCGCTAACACTGTTGAAACTACCTGTATTGTATAGGTATACATCAGGTCGGTGAGAAAGGGACAGTCACTGTGGAAAAAAAGGATGGGTAGTATGTTCTAGAACTTTTTGGAAATGCCTTGAATACACTAACCTAGAACATTCTAGATCATTCTAACTCGAAGCGATAATTAGAGTGGTGAACTATCTAATAGTGTTGTGAAATGTTATTCATTACCGGAAATAGTGATGTTAAGTGTGAATTTTGTAATTGGATTATTTTTGTAATTTTATTGTGCTAAATAAGTGATTAAATATAATTGACATTAATTTTTATCTCAAACCTGAACATCTAACAATATTAAATATTGGCCCCTATAAATATGCGGTGGACTCCCTGTCCTGGCATCCTGAAGGATGTGAAAGCAAGAGTGAAGAAGTCAAAGTGATAACTAGAGTGGTGAACTATCTAATAGTGTTGTGAAATGTTATTCATGACCGGAAATAGTGATTTTAAATGTGAATTTTGTAATTGGATTATTTTTGTAATTTTATTGAGCTAAATAAGTGATTAAATATAATTGACATTAATTTTTATCCCAAACCTGAACACCTAACAATAATAATTGCATATGTACCATTGCTAATCAGGGGCCGTCCATAAATTACGTCACACAACATGCAGGATTTTTAACCCCCCCCCCCCCCCCTCCCCCTCATGTCACCTATTTATCTATACATATTCTAGTAAATATTGTTCTAATGTCACAGTTCGTCGACTCCCCCCCCCCCTAAAGTGAGACGTAGTTAATGGATGACCCCTCACTCATTTTTCATTGTAACCCTAATCTCAATGCAGCCTTACAAGCAGTGACAATTGAACTGTTTTGAGAACAATTTTGCTTATGTTCTAATAAATAAATTAGAATCATCACAGTCCTCTCTAACACTAAGAGCTGCAGATTAGAAGCAAACATTTCAATTTATACTTACTTGAAATTCAAATTGTCTTGTCCCACCACAATACTGGCAATTTGGTATATCAGCATCATTTATAATAGGATTTGATGTTATCCAAAGTGGTTTGCCACCTCTATCATACCTAAGTACTTGATCAGGGTGTCTAGCTATTCTTTTGTTAAATTTATTGAACACCTTATCTTCAGGTATGTTTTTTGCGTATTGCTCAAGTTCTTCTTCACTGATATTATTTAAACTACCATCTCTTTTATCCTGAATCATTTTTCTAAAATTCTCCATTTCTTTAGCAGTATCCACTGTGGAATTCTCTTCCTGTAAGTAACCATTTGTAAGTTAATAATTAAATGAAGTACCACGGTAATAACTTTGCTTAAAATAGAAATACCTGATCCTCTTCATCAACTATTAACTCCCATTCTTTAAATAGGATAGATTTTCCTGCCTCAGTTACAATAAAACTGCTAGGTTTATATGTTGTTGAGGTCTGAAAATCAATCACTTTATAGTAAGTCATTGTTAACAAATTTTACAAAACTTTGTAGGTAGGTAGCCACACCTGGATATCTGAACAATTTTCCTTATGGCCCTTGTGCCAATCAAAAATTTGATGTTTTTTACTACAATAATATGTTTTCTTACACTTAGAGCAATGAGAAGGTGCTCTGCAACCACAAATATCACACAATTTTGGCCACTTACTCATTTCAAATATCTGGAAGAGAAATATATAAAAAATATTATGCCAAATTTAAATTTACATCAATCCCCATCCCCTTCTCCTATGCCGAAAGAGGCAAAAGAAATCAATTTTTAAATCTAATATAGACTTAAGGAGGCATTTACCTCATCTTCATTTTCAACATAAGGTTCATATGAATAAAAGTCATTTCTTCTAGCTAGTTGACATCGAAGTACCACAAAATTTTCATTAGAATTAGACTGGCAGCAAGACCCATTTCTACATATAAATAAGTATATTGTACGATGGAACGCATCATCGCGATCTTCATAAGGTGCGTAAACCTGTAATAGTAATTATTAATATTAAAACAACATTTGTTGCTTTACATGTGAGAAAGTAATACGATTTAATACTTACTTGGCACAGAAATATTAAAGGCCCACTGCATTTTTTACAACTTAATTGAGAAGAGTTTGGCAAATCTTGTAGATTTAACCATGATGGTTTTCCTCCAACTTTACTTGGAAAAAACCTAGGGTGCAATTGCCAACTATGTTTCTCTTCAAGGAATCCAACGTCCACTTTCTGTGAAGTCATATTTTAATACATTAACATAAAGTGTATAATAATATCTTTAAAACAATCTAAGCTTTAGAGAAAAACATGCTGCATGCTACAATGTACACTGGTGATGTGCCGAGTCAGAGTGACTCGAGTACTTACTCGAATACCTAGCAGGTACTCAGGTCCTCGAGTACTAAAAATACAGAATTCGGATACGCAGGTACTCGAGTACAGGATTGGAGTACTTACGGTATTCGAATCCTAAGTCGTGAACTTTAATAGCAACCTTTTAGCTTAACACGTACGGTTTTATTTGTGACTAATGGTACAGAACAATTCGTACACAAAGAACTTCGTTTCGTACTATATTTTCATTTTCGTCGATTACTAATATTTAAGAAGATTTTTACGTTTTTAACTTAAAGTTTTTAACATAAGTGTTCTTGTTTATTTTATTTTACCTAATTGTTTATTTTAAAGTTATTTATAGTTTCAAGAAATTGAGCAAGATTAAGATTATAAAAGCAAGATTTGCTTTGCGTGCTTCTATTTCACTTTTTAATAATGTTCATAATTACCAAAGTATGATTAATATGATCATGGGCGCCGCCAGGATTATTTCCAGGGAGGTGCATCTGCATCTACACACTATTATGATCTAATATATATAGAATGTAGAATGAGTGTAATTTAAAATTTAAATCACACGTGAATTTTCATTGCATTTTTTTATAGAAAATTAATTTTTATATTGGTGACTATATGTAATAAACCAACATGTCCTCATAATGTTACAACTTTGATCTAATGCTAGAGTAAAACAAAATTAGTAAAATAGTTTTGGGTAAATTGATCTCCCTCTCTTCTGCTTAAACGTTATCTGTAGTCGATGGTTGGCATTATGACTCGGAGAATCCCCGCTGCCACGCAATGGATGTGAGGGTTTCCCTACTTGCGATTGCGTCAGTTCATGTTTCATAATATTTTAGTCGCATCTATTAATAATTGCGGTTCTTTGTCGATAAGGAGCAAATTAATTTTCTGTAATAAATCTGTATAAGCAGTGACTCATCGTCGTTTTTGGGCAATTTATTGGATAACTTATTACTTTTTATTCAAGTTATGAGTGACATAAGACGTTTTTTGTGTAAAAAACGTAATCATCATTCCCATAAAGATAATTTATCTCATATTAAGACGTCCAAATTGAATACAGACATACCAGACAGCCCAGGTATGTAGTGATGTTGTTTCTACCCAAATTATTAAAACGTGTAGTATTGAACGTACATTTAGCACGTTACGACGTGTCAAGACGTGGAATCGCTCAACGATGGGAGACGCGAGGCTAAGTAGCTTGTGCATGCTCAGTGTTCACAGGAAAAGAGTAGAAGAAGACACCGAATTTATTGAGAAGGTGATAAATACATTTGGACAGCAACCTCGACGACTTCAGTTTTTATTCAAACAATAATTCAATAAAAAAAAAATATAATTTTCTGGTATTTTTTTATAGCAGGGGGGTGCAAGTGCACCCCATTGCACCATGCTGCCGGCGCCCATGAATATGATGGAATGACTGATTATAGCTGTATTTATAGGTATATTATTATTGAAATACTTTCCTATTGTTCATGGTTCATTATAATGTGTAGTTGTCGTCAAACTCATGCAAACTACGACAAGATAACGAGTCCACTGAAGTATTCGAATACTTGTGTTAGTACTCGAATACCTACTGACTCTACTGACTCGGGTACTGACTCGATTCTTTTTTTAATAAGCACCAAAGTATTCGAAAACTTACCAAATAAAGCCGGCTCGGCACATCATTAATATACACACATCACGACCGCACGTCAGGTAACTAAAATATGTCAAATTTCTACAATAGATTTTAACCTCAATAAACATACAATAAGGTTTAAAATCAAATATGGAAATTTGACAGATTTGTATAGTCTGACGTGCAGTTGACTATCCATAGTTACCACAAACTTAAGAGTAAAGTACAGCTACTAGTATGTCAAGTAATACAAAACTGTCAAATAAAAAGTATTTAAAAAAATAGAAATGTGCAGGACATGCTGAAAATAGTTGATTTGTATGTAATAATTTATCATTTTTATAGTAATACTTTTGGTCTTCTGTAAATGATTATATCAAATTTGATTCTTCTTTCTTACATTTAATATTTACATTATTATATTTAATATTTATATAACATAATTTTAAGGGTTTTTTAGTCTAAGGATTTTGTAGTAGTGTTTAGTTTTAATTATATGTATGCACTAAAGGATTAAGCTGATGGCCTTGGTAGCCAATGCTCTTAATAATAAAAAAAAAAATTAAAAAAATAGTTCCCGAAATCATACTAGATGTCGCTACGTTTTTTGATTTCTCCATGACAACCCTTCCGGTTTTCTTTCATGTATAAAAGTAAATTAATTTTCAAAACTCAATAAACAAGTCATATTCTATATGTAATTTTTTATATTTGTATTATCTAAGTTTCGAACTTTGCAAATTTCAGTTATTTAATATGTTAGTCAAAAGGAACGGACATGACTATCTTTGGTCCATTCGTTTCCTGCAAAAATCCTTTTTTTTAAAACCTTCCTCATTTCTGACTTGATTTTAAACTTTACATTTTCTGGTGGTCTGACGTGCAGCCCAAAAAGAATCTACCCATAAGTTCTGTTACAAAGAAAATATCCGATCATTTCTAAAAAAAAAAAAATTATTTTAAAGTTTTATATGTGATTATATAGAGTGAAAAAGATATTTTAACGTTTTAAACTAGTTATTCAAAGTGTCCACCCTTAGCTTTAACGCATGCTTTCAAAAGGTCGGGCCATTCGTCGATGGATTTACGAACGGTTTCCATAGAAAACTTGGTGACTGCTGTCTTCAAAGATTTCTTGAGCAACTCAATATTTGGGCTCAATATCAATATTTGGGTCAGTAGAGCTAGGCTGAACTAAATATAATGTTAGTACAAAAAAAGGGATGTTGCGACGTTTTGATTCTTATTCGATTTTACATATCGAGATGGTAACTCATCCCTCCGCTATGTCGCACCGGCAAGAGAAAAGCTCCTGGGGCTAACAACATCTACCTTCACCAGGGTCACCCTGGAATAAGTGCGATGAAGGCACTCGCACGTTTTTACGTCTGGTGGCCGACTTTAGACGAAGACATAGAGAATTTTGTCAAGCAGTGTAACAGGTGTCAAGCTAATCGTCCTCACAATTCAGAGCTTCCAATCTTTTCCTGGTCCATTTCTGAACAAGTATGGGAAAGAATACACATCGATTTTGCTGGACCATATGACGATACATATTGGCTAATTGTTTGTGATGCATTATCTAAATGGGTGGAAGTTAAACCAATGAAACGCATAACTACTAGAGATTTATGCTTGGTTTTAGATGACATATTTGTCATATTTGGGCTACCACAAATTATTGTTTCAGACAATGACCCATAATTTGTCTCGCACGATTTTAAGAATTACTGTGAAAAGTTAGGTATAGTACATGTGACTTCTTCACCATATCACCCGCGCAGTAACGGACTGGCTGAAAGATTTGTTAGAACTTTTAAGACAAGAATAGGAGCGAACGAAGGGACCAAAGCTAAACATCTCATTGAATTTCTTTTTACCTATCGAAATACTCCTCATAATACTACAGGAAAATCACCTGCACAAATGATGTTTGGGCGACAGCTCAACTGCGTTTTATCTAATATTAGGCCATCTAAACGAAGAAATTTACAGTTACGTCAAATTCAAAACAACGTCACCACTGCATCATCTGAAGCTGGAAACTTTGTACCTGGTGAACCAATTTATACGAGAACTAAATTAGAAAAGTTTTGGGAAAAGGGAACAATAGCCGCACGGAGGGGCAAATACTAGATCACAACTCCAAGAGGAAGATCGATATGGAGACATACTGACCACATACGCTCAAAAGTGCCATCACCGCAGCAACATTCACCCCCTGTGGACATTGTACCGTCACCATCTCCATCTGTACACCTTTCATCAACCATGCCTACATCAACTATTCCTCTCCAGTCATCACCATTACTACAGTCTTCATTATTCACTCCTATTCAATCATCGCTATCATCATCTCTCGATTGGGCAACACCCACAACGGCATCATTGTCACCAACTCTACACCCGCGCAGTGGCCGTTGTCAGGGACGACCTGCAGCTGCATCTACCATAGAACCTGCACCAACTGTACCAGCCCTACAGTCTACATCAGCTGAACCAGTGCTACCTCTGCGCCGCAGCCAGCGTAAAGTGCGACCTCCTCGAAGACTAAATCTATTGAAAATCGTTAAGTGGCACTTTCTAGGGCTGTCCGAAGTCCGAAGATAGGGAGAGGACACGATAACCCTGGAATCTTGTCACATTTTCTACTTCCGAGAGGGAGATCATCTATCCCAAGGTGACGTAGGCTTCCTTGTCTACAAAGATTTCCGCGACAATGTGTTGGAGATCTCCAGTGTGTCGACTAGGGAACTTTAACCGAGAGGTTCGATCTTAAGATTATACAGGTACATTAGCCAACATCGACGATGAAGTCCAGGCTTTACAGAAAGACATCACTAAGGCCATACAAATAACACCAAGATCCACTTCACTGTTGTCATGGGGAACATCAATACTAAAATGGGAGACCGGGAATATGGTGAATCACATATTGAACCAAATGGCTATCGGCACAGGAACCACATGAACAAATCCTAGTAAACTTTTTCAACAAGGAGGGGCTGTTCTATAACATCAAGTATGATTTCAAAAACTAATTTTTATTTTTTAAATTCTTCCTGTCATAAGATTCGATTCGAAAGTTAATGAAAACGGGCATTAATTCTGTAGCATTACACATTTGACTTTTATCCTTAATTATTTATTCAGATTATAGGTTTCATTTCACACTGGTGCACGTTAGGTTACATACGAATTTCTGTAATGGATTAAATATCAACTCTCAATTAAATTATAGTTTAAAATTTAATAAAGCCAAAAACACCCCATTTGTCGTATCACCTCGCTTTCAAAACATTCCCCTAACTGCCTCAGCCTATATTGAGATTCTTGGTGTAGACATATCGAGCGAGGTCCAGTTCCGTGGTCACTTAGAGGGTAAGGCTAAATTAGCATCTAAGAAGCTTGGTGTGCTTAATAATAGATCGAGGCAGTATTCCACTCCAGCACATCGCCTGCAGCTTTATAAGGCCCAAGTTTGGCCCCATATGGAGTACTGTTCTCATCTTTGGGCAGGGGCACCCCAATACCAGCTTCTCCCTCTAGACCACATTGAGCGGAGAGCGACTCGAATCGTCGATTGCCAGGACACTTCAAGTCGGCTTGATCCACTGGCCCTGCGTAGAGATGTTGCTTCACTGTGCATCTTCTATCGCATCTATTACGGAATGCTACGAGGCATTGTTCGGACTCATACCTGCCGCTACCTTCCGCCATCGTTCCATGCGACAAGAAATCCACGCTCATCATTTGGATGGTTGGAAGTCCTCAACTGTGCGTTTTTCTAGAAGTTTCCTGCCTCGAACAGTCAAACTCTGGAACAGTTTGTCGCCAGCGGTATTTTCGGACCGATAAGACCTTCAAACTTTCAAGCGTAGAGCATATTCGTCCCTCAAACAAATTGTGCGCGCTTGTAGCCCCTTTGGTGTTGTAGGTGTCCATGGGCGACGGTAATCACTTACCATCAGGTGATACGTCTGTCCGTCTGCCCCCTATTCCATAAAAAAAATCAAGTTTTGAATAAACTGACGCTGTGACTGCACTATAATTTAAAAAGTAGATGTTCTACGCATATATGCACGCACGACTGATGCCTAGATGTAATGCGGCGCTGCCACATTTACGTCAACCCAGCAGCGCCACATTATTTATCTCTTTAAAGTGTTTACTTACTAAAATAGCATTCATTATAATTACAGAGAAAAGTAAAGCTGTGGCTGTAGCGCTGCCAAACAAATACTCTAGTATATCTCCGAAACAACATAACTTTACCTTTTATCCGTATTTCGTAATGGACTGATAAATAAGTGACAAGATTGATAAAGAATTCATTTCAAATATCGAAGAGTGGCTCTGCCAGCCTGACACACACAATTTAATGACATAACTAAAAAACTATGCACTCACAGACCAAGAAGAAGATACTACGTATTATGCACTTGAACAGCACCATTCAATCAAAGGACTAGCCATCAAATAGTACGACTGTTTAACCTGTCTGCGACAGTCTGTGAACTAGGTGTCGAAGAAACAACAATTTATTTTTAAAACCAAGAAGGTGGCACTTCTTTGTTCTATACATCACAAAATAATAACAAGAGGAAAAGAAAGTCATACTAATATTTACTTTTTGTATTTGTGGAAGCTAATATAATACATAAGTAAAATTTAAAACTTTACATTATTTTATAAAATAGGTATTAAATACAGGTTAGCATTAACTAATATTTACAAGTCCATGAAACAACTATACACTTTATTAAATTAGTAATAATTTAATAGACACATTATATGGACAGGCAACAGTATTTTTCAACATTCATTGCGTTTGAATTTTTTATTAGATTCATTCATAACATCTTCAAGTCTATTCACTTTTCGAGATTTAATAAATGAATTGCTATCACTTTCACTAACATTCTGACGCATACAGTTCAGGCTGGTGATGTTTTGATTATGTACACCATGTTTTTTATCACCCATTGTTTTATTATTCTTATTAACTATTAAGGTATTTTGAATGTCTTTAACTAGTTCACTAGTGTGTAATTTTATTGGTATTAATATCTGATTTTCATTATCTCCTTTCTTAACAAATTCTTGTTTGATTTGCACCATGGATCTGTTTTCTGCATCACTTGAGAGTCTGATTGTTTTTCGTAAATGTATTGTTTCGGACGAGTCTGTGAAATTACGTTTTACTAATATATCACCAGTAGAAATTTGTTTAACAAAGGTTAATGTAGGCCCATCAGAATCTTTTCCATCTGTTTTCTGCAATTTACTTGAACTTCCTTTATCTCCATCGGATCCATCTTCTTGTTGATCTTCATTTTCAATCAGTTTACCTGCAAAAATAAAATTCATAGTCAATTTTTATTTGCATTAATTTACATCAAAAAAATCTTTAAAAAATGCAATTTACATACCATTTAAAGTAGGGAATGTAATGTCAGGCAAAGTCAAATGCGAATCTGGGTTATATCTATGCATCAGTGTTTTTAGTAAAATTGAGATCTCTTCCCTTTTTCTTGTCACTACTATTTCATCAAACCAGTTGGCTAACTGTTTTATAGGCAATGAGTAATCTAACACAGGATCCTAAAATAATATTATTAATTAATTTTTATGTCACACTAAATGTTTTCGAAGTGTATTTACCAATTTACAATATACCTTAAAAAATTGTTCAACATATTGCAATAAGTATAAGCCACAATCTGTAAAATTGTTTTGTTGAGGTATTTTTGGACAGCTTCCCTTTATGTTGTCTTTGTTAAAAATCTTATGCTGGGAAATCTGTAAATATAATATTTTCGTTAAATTTGTTAACTTCGAATAATATTTGGTTGTTAAGTGGAAATATTCATAGAAAATATATAATGGTTGTCAACAGATATACCTCTTGTGTGTAACACTTTCAAATTCATATGGTGTATTTAATTAACTAAATAACACGAAACTTCTAAAAAAAATTTGACAGCTAACATAACAGTAGTCACAAATATGTACAAAGAAAATTTGTCGGTATTTTATTGCTATCTTATTCAATATAATTTCTCCTTGCATTGATTTTTTGTGTCAAACTGTATTCAATGTATCAAGTATTTAAAAATCAGTACTTACTTTTGCTTGATATTCACATGTCAAATAGTCTCGTAGTGTAGCTACCACTCTCGACCTCGAAGCTCCAGCTAGCGAGTCAAATATCAATATACATGGTCTGAAAATAAAATATTAAATAACTTATAGGTTTCCTTTTTTCTATTTTAAACATTTAAACATCCACCAAATGAAAATAGTTACATAAAAATAGCAAGGTCAAATCAATTTCATAACATAAGTAAAATAAAAAAGTTAATTCCCTTATTTAATAATTCATTGCAGAATGAATTTTTCTTACAACTAATACCTAGTCAAAATTATTATTAAAGACTTTTTGTGCATTAAGACTTACTGTTTTACAGGTTCATTTTTTCCAATAATCTGAACTTCAGGTTTCTTTTCAACAACCGGTTTTTCTACATCCTCTTCATCAGAGTCACATTGCATATCTAAATCACTTTCCTGAAATGATTTGAATGTAATATATATTAATTGTAAAGGAACGAAAAATAGGTTGGACCCAAAATTAGTAAAGAAGTTATAATAAAATATAATACCTCTGCTTCTGCTTCATCTCTTTCACTAAGATTATCAGAATCACAACTTAATGTAAGTTGTTCCTGTTTGTTTAGTGGTGTGATTGTTGTATTTCCAATTTGCATAGAGGATCTGCGCTCTGTCATAAAAGAGAAAGAATATAAATAATCGGTTGTTTTAATTTAAGAATCCTAAAATATAATAATAATAATTACCTCTCTTCTTTATTTCTTGTGGAATAACAGTTCGATTATCTATCATACTCCGACACCCATCCAAACTTGGGAAGCATATAATGGCCACAAACCAATGACAATTCTCATTAATAGGAACTACAATATAGTCTTTATCAAATATATTCACATTCTTAGTCCACGTCTTGACTCTTGCATGTCGTTTCTGTGATGGAGTCAAACTGCCATCCCATTCATGAGGATTTGAACTTTTATTAACTTTACTTGGTTTAGTTGTGAGCCTTTTATAAAAGAATGTACTAAAAATATGAGTCTTCTCTCTCTGAAGTGGTGTCAAAACATCATGAACCAAATATTTTAAATAAAAATCAATAATAACATCATTCAAAAATTGATCCTGAGCTAGGCACATGTAGTCTTCTGTATTTATAGGTATTCCACCTTTTCCTGGTGGATATATAAGTATTTGCCTGATTTCAGCTGGATTGGAGCTGAAAATATAAATCAAAACAATAATTAATAAATAACATAATACAAATAAAAGAAAATATAAACAGTTAATTCTTAATTGTGATAATTTACCTCTTAACTCCAGATGTACTGGAAGCACTGAGTGATCTAGTTGCCATTTTCGTTACATTATTGCTTTCTTTGGGACATGTCCTAACCAAAATATCATTGGCTTCCTTTGCGTTTAATTCATCCATTTTTTTACCCAATAACGATTTGAAGGATATTTTTGTTTCTTCACTTAATGCATCAGGTAAAAGCGTTATTCTTTTGTAGGGATCTATTTTTGACATTGGATTATAATATGGCCCTGTAAATCATTCATGTTGATCAGGCTATATATCAAAACTAATTAAATAATATCAAAATCCCTTTAAAATCTTTAATAACAATGAGGCATCACTTATTTATATGAGAAATAGGTAATTTGTTAATGAATATTCTTGTTGATGTAAATACAAAGAAATACAAATGTCATTAATAGTAAATTTGTTATATGTGAGACCTGTTACAAGTTTTATCCATTTACAAGTTTCACTGCTGATCATCAATTTGCACAAATAAATAAATACCTGAATCTTCAGACATATCAAGGACTCTTCTTATGTAGGCTCCACATTTGCTCATAGTGTACAAAAAAATTACTGGCAATCCTTTGCCAAAATGAACCAACATTCTCACTACTTCTTTTAATTGTATTTGAAGAGCTACATCCTTTGTTTCATTTTTTAATGAGGGTGCTACAATTTTAATACCTTTGCTTGATATGTATACCTATACAAAGGAAAAGTATTCAGTATTTAAGAATACATAAACATCAAAGAAACAGAAATCACAACTTATTATTGCACCCACCTTTTCTTTTGGTGTATATCGGTAAGAGCCTATTCGTATTGTTCTACAGTTAAGAGAGGTGACTACTCCTTGATGTGACAGTAAAACTTCATCTCTACTATGATCTGTAACAATAAAAAACAATAACTGTTAATAGAGTGCAGTAGAATTTCAAGTATCAAAAGACAGATCTGTTTATTAAAGTGTATGTCTTATTAAATACACACTGTGGCTGTAGATAGGTAACTTCTAGGTTACTTTGTTGGTGTATTGTTTTAATATACTTATGTCAAAAGGAATTGTTTTTTATTTATTTAATCCCAAAAACGCACATTTAGTTACCCAAACTGATCTGTCCTAATTTAGCTAGTTGAGATTACACTGTATGAAATATTTTAGGGTCAATGTCATAAATCTTGCCTGTAATTTTGTTTGGATAAATTTGAGTCACAATGCCTTGAATTTATATATTGTTCATTGTGTTTTCTGGGTTCTACTAAATCTGTATTTGAAATTTTATTCACTTAATACAGCAAAGTATAGAAGTGTGAAAGCTTTCTTTGTTACACACATTCACACTTAATATATCTATGACAGAGATAATACAGAGTTAGTTTTAGATTTTTTGAAAATTTTTATTATTCGTTAAAAGAATAGAAAACAAAAATAAAATAATAAATTGAAGAGTTCCATTGTTTCTTATAGAGAAAAAAGCGAAGAAGAATAGGTTATAAAGTTAGAAATACACAATTTATTAAAATATTGTTTTTACTGCTAAGTGGATATTTCATATAAACAAATAATTTTTCGCTTTGTTTTAGTATAGTTTTATAACTCGAACGAGGTAAACAAGAGTCATGAAAAAGATCAAAATTCTACTAACAAGCTATTAACTATAAACAGCATTATAACAATCAGAAAATATTGTAGTGATGTGATACTGATATATAATAAACATTTAATATAGGTACTTATATAAACTCATAAAAGCTTTAAAATACCAAAGCTAGCGGACAATAGATATAAATTCAGTATAACTAAAAAGCGGCATGTTACTCTATTGTTGGAATTTTATTACCGGTTGTAAAACTTTACCTTTTCGAATACCATTGACATTCATTTTGAAAAGCACGTAATTATTCGCGATAAAATAAAACTTCAATACCACATGATAACAACTGCGACATTTTATCTACTGACAAATCGAGTCCATCAATAACAAAAGGTGACCGCCATGTTGATTTCATTCATGAATAGGGTAGCGATGTTAAAAAATAATCAATGATTATTTTAATCGATTATTATTTTCGTACAATCGATTTTCCAAGTCATATTATCGATTTTTAACAAATCGATTAAATAAATAGCGCGGTTAAATCGATTTTTATAAATAGCATCATCTATGCGCCAAATGAAAAAACTCGAAGCATTATTACTTAAAAGTTGATTATATAAAAACGGCGCCATCTGTAGGTAGACATTAGAATAACATCGATGTTGACATCGATATCATCATCGTAAGTCCAACATTAATGTTTGATATTTATCGAAAACTAAACATTTACGTTCATGACATTTTTTTTTATTATTGATTATTATATTTAATTTTTTGCGACAATAAGGTTGTCATTTTGTTGGGGTGCTCGTTTAATTTTTATTATTATAAAACGTTTAACTGAGAGAGAGTGATACTGAGAATTGCTATCAATAATATATTTGGTTTCATTATTCCTTACCTTGAAAGTTTAAAAGAACATTTGCTTTGATTTTTAGTTTTGAATTGTCAATTTTCTTATTCATATATATATTTTTTTTAATCTGATTAATTGTTAATATGAATTTTATAGGTTTATTATTGGAATATGCAAAGCATGTAGGATTTTAAATAATAGAAAAAAAATCGTTTTTTTCGCAAAAATCGATTATTTATTTTCATTAAAATCGATTATTGACAAATCGATTTATAATTTATAAAAGAAAATCGATTTTTATCAAATCGATTATTTCTATTAATCTCTCATCCCTAGAATAGGGTAGAGGTATACACAAAAAGTATCGATTTCCTGAGGAATCGATACTTTGATCAATTAGCAAGTGTTTTTGAAATCTATACTGTTATTTAATATATTTACTTAATAGTTCTCAGAATTAAAATCATTTTTTTTACTGAACGCAGATTGGGTAATTACCATTTAAAATAGTAGGAAACACTTCCTGCGGCCTGCTCGCAGTCCCGGGTCATTCAAGAGATGAAAACAGTTTTTGCGCCATTTATTGGTGAACACAATTAGATATCTACATTAATTTTATTCAGATGAAACTGCATGTCAATGTAGTGTTTAAATATAACAGAAACTACTCGATACCTTTGTGTCAATACTTTTAATATGATAATATATAATAACCTAACCTATAATAATAACATATTAAATAAAATATAATAACCAACAAGTAACTCGGCGGTGTAGTGAACAAGCGGCATGGCCCACGATCATTATTTTTAAGCAACTTTCGCAATGGTCGGTCACGGGATGGGCGATAAAAAATTGACTATCCGGAGCTCATCCATCCATAGGGAAGGCTTGAGCCCCTTCAGTGGAAACGCTAAAGGGTTGATGATGTTGTACTTACCTTTAAATTAGTTAGCATTTTATAAATGTAATTAATTCAAAAATTCGTTCATTGTACTGAATCGAGTTGCGTATCAACTCGAATTAATAGAATTTCAACTCGATATCCATAGCAACACTGATAATGAGGAAGTATTTAAAAAAAATATTAGTTCTCGAAATCAAACTAGATGTCGCTACACCTTTCCGGTTTTCTTTCATGTTTAAAAGTAAATTAGTTTTCAAAACTCAATAAAAAACTCTTATTCTATTTGTGAAAAAGTATTTGTATTGATATCTAAGTTTCGAACTTTTCAAATTTCAGTTTTTTTATATGTAAGTTAAAAAGAACGAAAATGACTGTCTTTGGTCCACACGTTTCCTGCAAAAATCAACTTTTGTTAGGGTCGCCATCTAGTGGCTGTGCTTTTTTAGTGCTTTCGTTTTTTTTTAATACTTCCTCATTCTATTCTCTTTGGTCGAATAATAAACAAATAAAAAGGCTGTATGGGCTTAGTACTCTTTGCATAAAAGATGGCCAATGGAACAAAAAAAATCTCTATGGTTGAACTTCATGTATAAACGCCCTATAACGAGGAAGTATTAAATAAAAAACAGTTCCCAAAATCAAACTAGATGTCGCTACGTTACTTTCTTGAATTCTCCATGACAAATCTTCCTGTTATATTTCATGTATAAAAGTTTTCAAAACTCAATAAACAACTCATATTCTATTTATACTTTTTCGTTTTTGTATTGATATGTAAGTTTTGTACTTTTCAAATTTAAGTTTTTAACATGTTAGTAAAAAGGAACGGATATGACTATCTTTGGTCGTTGTTTCCTGCAAAAATCAACATTTGGTAGAGTTGCCATCTAGTGAGGTCCCTTTTTAGTGCTTTCTTTTTTTTTTTTAAATGCTTCCCCATTGTTTGTCGTCGCAACCAATAACAGTTTCGTTTTCCGGCGTGTGACGTCACACGTAAACACGAAGCTGTCATGTCAAAACAGTGTTATTACGGAAAATTTGTAGCTCATTTTTATGAACAAAACCAGAGTAGAAACAAATATAAATCATAAAATTTATTTCAAATTTCTCTTATGTAATAGTATTCGTTTACTTCATAATTAATAGTTTATGTCCCCTTGACATATTTACAGTCATGTGACATCACAAACACCACGGTCAGCGTCATCACATACAGATAGCATTTTTTGCGCGATTTTGGCTGTTTAAACTTTAACAATTATTTTCATCGAAAATAGAATGAGGAAATATTTAAAACAATAAAGAAACTACTAAAATTTATTTCACTAGATAGCAGCACAAATTGTAGGATCTAAATATCAATTCATGACGTTAAACCAAAGAGAATAGAATTTGTATGGAAGGATGGAATGGAAGTGAGCATATGGAAATGAATGGAATTAATGCTGTGAAATTATTATTAGTTATTTTAGTTATTAGTTATTATTAGTTATATTTAGCTACGGTATAAAATACTTATATAGTAGCGCTAGGAATTTTTCATTATAATATTTAACAAAAGTTCCGAAAACAACAACAGCTAGGTAAGTAAGTTTTGTTGCTATTAGTTCCTTGTTAAACTTATAGCAAAAAAACTACATCAAGTCTCATATTTTTATATTACGTGTGGTGAATAAATGAATAGGTTTTAATAATTAACAACAAACAAAAAACGATAATTATAATAAAAAAATCGTTTAATATCTAAATACTCATCCGATATATATCAAAATATATACTAGGTATTCGTACAAAATAACACGACTTCTGGCTAGAATGACGTTTGTGCAAAGTATAACGTGCAAATAAGTTTTCGGTTTTTTCAGTACAAGATCTCCCGCCTTAGTTTTGCGAACCGTTGGCAAAGTTTTCGACTTTCACGAGTGCTATGTAACAGCCTAGACTGAATTGATTATATTTATATTAATATAATTTGACGTGTGGGTGCATAATGAATGACACATATGGAAATATGGCACTTAAAAAAAAACAAGCTGAATTCAGCGTTCCGCTTTTTGTTCTTGAGCGATCCCGGTGCGCTCGCTAAGCCCCTCAGGCTTTAGCAACACTGAGAACCCGATCCCAGTGCACTTGGGCCTTGTCCCAAGGGTGAAAGTTTGCCGCTAACTCCATTAGGGAAAGCCGCACTTTTCCGACTCCCCATTCCCCCCTCGCTTCGGCGCGGAGTCGGTCTTTTGCACACTCGCCCTATCTCCCTCTAACCTACCAAGGTAGGTGTGACGGAGAGAAGTGCGAGCGAAAAAGTCCTTAAAAGTCCTCCAAAAAGTCCTTAACGTGGCGATGGCGACATTACAGGCATCGTCGCTCCCCCCAACTTCCGTCATGGAGTGCGAAAGCACATCCATAAAGAGGACCGCTTCACAGCGATCCCTCCCCGCCCCCCTCGCCGTCGGACGACGACCTTCTCAGGACGTCTGATTCCGACGAATCCTCAAGCATACGGTTAGAAGCCGCAAGAAGGGTTGTAAGCCACGCTCTCTTAGAGCAAGTGCGGACGCTTCTACGGAAAACGTCACTCCAAACCCCGCACGGGCGGGGTGTCCTCGATAAGCAAAACCGCCGAGAAAACCTCCCTCGGCCCAAACCTTACCAGAGGCAACACCGGCAAGAAAGCCACTCGGGAGAATACTCCTAGTATTACTCCCTCCCTCACCCCGCTGCGGACGCATAACAAATGCGCTCCGCAGCCGGGTAAACCCAAACTTCCGCCTCCCGTATTTATACGGGACAAATCAAGGTGGACAGAGGTCTCGAATCTCTGCACACAAAACAAGATAAACTACACCCATGCCAAAAACATGGGTATAGCTATCCGGGTGGAATCACCCACTAGTAAGGACTATAGAGCCCTCACTAGACTTCTAACCCACAACAAGGTGGGTTATTATACCTACGCTCTCCCAGAGGAGCGTTAAGTTCGTGCGGTTTTAAGAAATGTTCCGTACGAACTCGCCACCGATCTGATCCATAAGGATCTAAATGAACAGGGATTCCCCGTAGAGTCCATTCATAAGATGCACAGTAAAGCCGGCAGACCTTTCCCTCTGGCTCTACTCCTAAAGCGCCTAAAGCCTTCTATTTATGGTACGGTGGAAATATAGGATAGTGTTTTTCATCTATAATGTTTCAGAGATTTGTCGTACTGGCCACTTTAATCACAAATTTCTCCTTCTTGGTTGAGAATTCCAAATTCAAATTTATACAGCCTGGTTAGGCGTTAGGTTACAAGTATGGTTAGGCGGCATTCATTTGTTTTTTTTTCTTCTGTCGTATTTACGTCACCCAGTATAAAAAATGGAAAACTTGATATATCGTGTTATTGACGATTACGAGTTCCGCTGTAGTACCAGTGCTGCGGAAACGGCTCGAAGGGTTAATGATGTGTATGACGGTTGTGTTGCAAAAGAAAACACAGTGCGTTTTTGGTTCCAACGTGTTCGTTCAACAATCCCCGTGGACGGCCGGAGACCCACGTTAATAATGAAGAATTGAAGATGAAAAGTGGATTCTCTACGATAATCTGAAGCGCTCATTGCAATGGTTGGAGCCTGGCATGCCAAATCCTGGCCAAAGCGAAAATTGACCCCAAAAAAGTTACTAGTAAGCGTTTGGTGGACTAGTGCCGGTGTCGTTCATTACAATTTTCTCAAATCTGGCCAGACGATTATGGCAGACGTCTGGTGTCAGCAATTGCAAACCATGATGGAAAAACTAGCTGTTAAACAACCGAGGCTGGTCAATCGCTCTACGCCACTGATACTTCACGACAACGCTAGACCACACACTGCATAACAGACGGCTACCAAATTAGAAGTGCTTCAATTGGAATGTCTAAGACATCCATCGTACTTCCCGGACTTTGCTCCAACAGACTATTTTTTTCGAAATTCGGATAACTTCTTGCAAAGGAAAAAATTCAACTACGATAGGCAAATCGCCATCAAAGTTTTATTGATTCCCGCCTGAATTGTATTTTTAGTAAGTGGATCAATCAACTACTTATGAGATGGCAAAAGTGCATAGATAACAATGGTTTATACTTTGATTAAATAAACATATTATATTAAATAATATTCTACTTTTTTTTCCTCCCATAATAAGCATAATATTAGGTCCTTTCATATGAAATTGGTGTTTGGTACCAATTTCATATGTAAGGAATATTATGCTTTTGTTAGTTCGAAGTAGATAAAAATACTTAATGCTTCTTGAACTGTTAGTTTTTTAATAATTTTTGCATTTTGAAACTGATTCATGACGAAAACTTTCTTTTCAGCATCAGCCACCTTAATTCTTAACTAGTTTTGCTTTAGTATTTAGTTTTGCCTCTCCTATAGAACGCAATCCCTAAAAATGTTGACCATATTCATTAAGCAAAATAATATTTTTGATTTTTTGGTTGATTCTGAGGAATCTCCATATAATACACATGGCCTTTGTAGCTTAGTAGATGTTGTAGTCAGTTGACACGTTTTGTGATGCTGGTATAATCACGGAATATTCAGAATCTAACCAGTTGGTGTAATGTCTTAAAAAAATATCATCAAAAAAAAACTGTAGAAAAATCCACAAGTCTCACAACACAATTCTTCTAATGTTAACATAAACCAAGTTGATTAATTCAGTATTTATCTTTGTGTGAGATTTACTCTCGTCATAGATTTACTTTCATTTCCATGGTGGGTGACAGGAAATTCAATTATTAATAGAGATTAAAGAATTAAATTGCCGATTTGTACTGAAAATCGAATTTGTTTATTTTTTAAGTTTATGTCAACAAAACTACCACCAACAGTTCTTTATTTTTATTAGATCACAAGAAAAGTCTGTTATTTAATTTTAATATAGCACTAAAACTAGATAAAAAATAATAAACTCACCATCATGATCCATTCCTATACCGCTATCTGGTGTGCCACCTTCTATTTCACTTAAAGATGGCTCTTTCATACTTATGGAGTGTTCATGCTGCAACAATACATAAGTTATGAATGATCACAGAAAATTAGGTCATATTAATAAGCAATGTGTAAGCGTTGTATACACAGTGGTGTGGACACCATACATGCAAATAAGCACTGCACACCCTACCCATAAAAACCAACTTATAACAATAAAAATCATGATTTGGTTAAACTAGTAAAAGCCATCTATCAAAAATAGACAGTACTTCATAGTTCCAGTTGGTGGCACTGCCGTCACCGATGCGGCTGTAACTGTACTTCTTACAGTTTATTCGCCAGACAAACACGAATAAATATAAAGAACATTATACAAACCTGATTACTTAACATAGAGCTATTAGAATCCTCTTCGTCTGAACTTAATGTGAGTATAACTGGCTCAGGATCGGGCTGTTTTCCCCTGGGTTTCCTTACTCTTGGAGGCTTTTTCTCCTGAACCTGAATATTAAAAAGCATTATCAAATGTATTTATAATTATATATTTTTTGCTGCTGTAACAAAAAAGTGCAAGAGAGGTCACGGAATAAAAAACTTAATTAATGTATTTATGGATGAAACACTTTGAAGATTATATGTATTAATTATAAGTACATGAAAAAACTATTAGTTTCTAAGTTTTATATTACGATTGTCAAGCCTATGATTAAAAAACCTTGGATTATTATATACTGACACGTCAATGTTGTGCCTAAGATGTTTTATCAAAGCTTCAAGAATGTATTAGGTCAGTGCAAATCTGGTGGAAAATAAAGTGACTCACGAACATTTGCGTTAGCGCGCGATTGATCTACAGTCGAGTGTGCAAGGTTGAATACTAATTCAACTATCTATCAAATCTAACGTTCTACGATCAAAAATTACGCGACATATATCTCGTCAAATATGCACTGACCCTTAATTGGATTGGTACTTACAGTTTTGTTATTTACAGTCTTCATTGTAGTTTTTAATAAATTCAATTTAATACCTTCACCACAAATGCTGAAAGAAAGTAACCTTATTAATCATCATTCAATAATATGATAGTGGAAACTCATCGTTTAAAAAATAATTTCTGCGACGGCGTACTTACTTTTGCTTTTCTAAAGGAATTTTATCTTGTTCCTTTTTCTTTTGTTCTACTTTCTTACTTGCTATTGGAACACTTTTAGGTTCTTCAGTGAATACTCGCTTACATCTAAAACAATATAGTAATAATCAGATCATAAATTGATTATTTATGTCTCAGATTGATAAATTCATCTAATTCAACCCTTATTATTTCATATCATAATTTCAATCTTACACTTGCACTAATCAGCAACATTATATGCCAGAAATAGTTTTAGATTACAAAATAGTGATTCTGTAATAAATTATATGTGAAACTTGCCTTTGACATCGACTGAAGTCAAATCCTGTGTATCCACATGATTTGCATAAAGCCAGCATACCGTCTACATAGCGAGGTGGCGGCGATCGCTGACCTGGAGATTCAGGACTATTGCTTACTGAAAATATAATAATATCTTAGTGCAAGTGGTCAAAGAGCATTATCCAACAGTAGAATATGACGTGGTTAAAATTATTACAATTGAAATAGGTAAGATTACTGGTTTTTGTCATATTTTTCATATATTCATTAAAATAACAAAATAATGAAAATTCCCAGAAAGCTGCCCAAGTTCCCAGCAATATTTCTAATTTATTGCCAGCAAAATTTCCAATGATGAATATAAAAGTAATTACCTATACGATATAATGTAATTACTGGAGTCAACTCTTTTAGTGGAGCATTTAATAGCATTCTAAATCAAATCCAATCAAAATATTCATAAATATGTTTTCTTTCATTCATTTGTTTCTATTTATGAGCTATATAACAGAATGTGCTTGCTGTTTCTGTTGTAATTTTATATGGATGATGTAGTTATTATTATGCGTAATTATAACTAGATCATTAATGTATGCTATATTTATATTTTGGCGAAAGAATTTATGCAAATAGACCGGGACAACCTCTCTAATACATCCACTAGTTATGCTATACAAAAACTCCTCGATAGCTTAGTTAAATAAATATGTCATCTATTCGCTGGGTGGGTGATGACAGTGCAAACTAGAGGTTACAATTACGACGGACTTTGATATGTGAAATGGATTGCTAGCATTCTGTACAGAGTATTGATTTAAATTCTATTCGATTACTTTTGAATGTAGTGTCATTAACAATGCAGACTTTGTGTATTTTCATTTGAACATAACCAAATAAATTATAAAAACTTGATTTCGAGCAATCACACAACACACCATTTTCCACCAACAAACAAGAATAAAAGTAATAAAAGTAACTACATTTGTATTTTTTTATTTCGATTTTATTCTTGGAAATATAATAATCGTCTAGAAAAAAGTTCCAAAAAACAAACAGGCCTATATTTATTACAAAATTCTGAGGTTATTAATTGGAGATTGTCCTCTCGACATTGATTACTGTTTTAATTAATTAACTACGCAGCAGGTTTCGTGACGCACGTTTGTTTATTTTATGTAAAATGCATGGATGCGATTATTTCTCTAGTAAAAAGTAACAGTTCGTTGGACAACAGTTCTTTTTTTCGCCACAGTGTGCACTGGGATCGAGTCATGGTTCTCCCACCATCTACTTCACACCCAGCGAATACGTAATACGACAAAACATCTACTGGGAATTTCGGGCAATATTCCCAATGTGCTCTTTGAGAATGGAAAATTACCGGCAATTTGAAGTCCATAAAAAATCAGATGATTCATATAAAAAGCATTAATGTAAAAAGAAATATTAAAAATTAATTTTGAAATGGTAAAAGAAAAGGAATTGATTGCCTTTACATACCGTTATCAGGGCATTGCGACTTTTCTGGGGTCGACATTTCGCTACTTTGCGGTTGTGGCATTACACTGGGAGAACTTCTACTACTTATGTCGCCAACAAGCATCTAAAAAAATATATAAAATATAATTGCTAAATAAATTTGGATCAAATTTAAAATCTAACAAATATTTACTATTTAAAGAAACCTTTTGCTGATTAGAACCAGGATGAAACTTAGCATGTCTCTTGCTGCTTAAAAATAATTAATTTATCAATGTTTGACAGGTTTTAAAAAATCTTCTAAATACACTTTAAGAATGTTTTATTTACACCTCTTTAAATTAAAATGTCTTGATACTTACTGGATGATTTTCTAACATTTCTTCAATTCTCGTGGTAGATCCAACTGAGACAAAGTAATCTATTTCACTACTAGTATTCTGCATACATTGTATATGAGTGTCCTCTGAAAATGGGACGTTAACCTGCAAAATTATAATGTTGTTAATATAATAAACTTAATATAGACATCACATGCATAATCGACTTTGTTTTATACTATTACTAATAATTATATAGTAATAGTATGAAACAAAGTCTTTTTCTGCTGTCTGTACTCTGAGATCTTTTAAACTATACGACGGATTTAATTGCGGCCTTCATCAATATATAGTGATTCAAGTGGGGGTTGGTGGTTTATACTTAATAAAGAACCACACGGGCTAAGCCAGTATTATAAACTAATTACCTGCTCTAGAACTTCTTGAAGAGTACAACTTTCTTTAGGGAGTGTGAAAGTTATTAGCCTCTGCTCTCCATTTTGAAGGAAAATTAACATTTTAGCGGATTGAGGTTCAGACTGTTGTTCAGAAGGCCCACTAGTGACTTCGTTACTTTCTAAAATGTTCATATGAAACGTAATTAGGATTTAATTAAAATTAGTTTTTATAACTATGTACCATAACACATTTTTTATTATTTTATGTACTATTATACTATATTCTATTGCTAAGTTTTAAAAAAGTTACACAATACATACCATGTTGCAATGTCTGTTGTGTTTGCATAGGTGTAACTCTTTGGACTGGTCTTGGTTGTTCCTTACTTCTAACTAACGTTTGCCGCCCTGTTTCCCTACAATAGAATGGTGAGAATTATATAGAAAGGTAATATTGTTGAATTTATACCGATAAATATTTTTTCAAGTCACATGAGAAACTCATAAAAGCAATTGTTATTTACCTGACTTGTTGCTGCACTGTCGTACGCGCTGGTTGTTGCATTCGTTTAAGTTCAGCCAGTGTTATTCTTTGTCCATTTGTTAAAGTGACTACCTGTCTTTCTTCCTCCAGGGAATCAGATTCCATTAAAAGCTGGCTGAGGGCTTGCGGATGTTGTTGTAAATGGGGTTGTTCATAAGCAACTTGTTGCTGTTGATAATTTTGTTGGGAACTAAATGCTATTTGTTGATGTTGCTGAGGAACAGGGGTCCCAGAGTGGTTAGGTCTCATCGGCGGTGGTGTATGGAATTGTTGTGGTGGATTTATATTTTCGTTTACAGTGTGCTTTGTTAATATTGCTGCTGTAATACTTTCTTCTAAGTCGTCCATGTCATTAGCATTGTTAGGTTGAACTATGACTTTTTTCACTTGCTGTTGAACTTGTTGGGGGTGAGGGGAAGCCCTTTGTTGGACTGTAAGCGTATTCTGTTGTGTCAAAGGGCCGTTATTTTGACTCGTCTGAGCCACTGTGTGCTGTGCCAATTGCGGTGTTAAGTTTTGCGTGACGATCGTGCCTTGCTGTGTGATAATTCGGGTGGGATGATTTTGGTTCTGTTGGTTAATGAGGATTTGTTGCTGCAATAAATCAGGAAGAATTAAGTGAATAATATTTATAATTTGAAAGAAAAACATGTTATTAATTATCCATTACATTGTACTTTGAAAAATTCTGACATATAATTAAATGTACCTGAGTAAAATTAAGAATTATTCATGATTGTTTACCTGGTGAGAGGCAAGTTTGAGTTGATTCAACTGTTGTTGGTGAACTTGTTGATGAACCTGCTGACTCAAAACTTGTGGTTGCATCTGAGGTTGCGGTTGCTATATAAGAAATTATTTTGGTTAAAATTCATATGTAATATGTAGTACCGAAATAGTGTATGTAAATACTGATTTACCAATAATAATATAATTTATAATGAATAAAGTTTACGTCATTACTAGTTAATACAAGGACTAACTATTGTGTAGAGAGCATTATATTTTGAGTATATTTGATAAATCACGCATTTTATATTATAAACTCAACTTACAATGAGCTTTTTTTTAGTTCTACATCTGTAATATAGTAAAAACTTCAAATCTGTAATTAAATATCTCATAAAAAGAAAATAAAGGAAGCCAAAGTGATGTTTTTTATCTAATTTGTCATGTTTTTATAATATCTGAGAGACATAGGTAAACTATAATTTAATATTAATATCGCTGCAGTGCCACAAAGGGTTCATGTCAAGATATATTATAAAATGAACATCTTTTTCAACATAAGAGAGAATTAAATGACTTTGGAGGGTCAGAGATAGGCACTCATTTAACACGAATATTAATAAACCTGTCCTCAGTGAATACTCTATTTTACAATAAGCTTTAGGCTGGTGACAGACGGTGAAGATAATATAACATATTAAATATAAATATCGCTCGCCATACACTGCAACGGTGCAACACCCATGGCTAAGACAATATATTTTTATATCAATTATATTAAAATGCCAAGCGATACGGAAATATTCTTTCGTATGTTATCTTAAAATATGAAAATATAGACTTATAAAGGGTTTCAAAATATTATCTTATCTTAATCGTATGAAATATAGCATCGCCAAGGGGCGCAGAAAGGGCAGCTGCACCTCTCAAGAAATTCTTAAAAGTTGCCTAATGTAAAGCAACCAATGTCTTAAATCTTTGGGTCTTCACTGGCTGGAACGATTATTCCCGTACGTCAAAACTCGAATGAACTTAGTTAAAGCGGGAGACGGGAGTGGTGTATATTCATATTACCAAATTATTTTTATTCTACTTTTCTAATAAATGTAATAACTTATTTACAAGTTTTATTTATTCTACAGTCAAGAGCTCGTGTAACTTTACAAGTTGGACTCTGTACTGTTGTTATTACAATTGCCGTACTTGTACACCTTGTACAAGTAAAAAGGTTCATGTGCTCCCGATTTTACCTAGAATACATACTTAGGTCATTCTCAAATCAAATCTATATTATTTATTCAGTCTAGGCCATTACAAGTACTCGTGAAAGTCGAGAGCTGCGCCATCGGTTCTCCATAATGAACTAAAAATTAAAAGTAGACGAGATTAGACAAAGATATGCCTAATTATAAATCAAATTCCTAGACTGCGCTATTCTTAGCTTATTTATATCTTTTTATTTCTAAATCGAGCGTTAGATGGTAGAAGTATTGTTTTATTGACATCTTCTAATACTCTTATGACGGACAGCGCTGACGCGGGTATAAAAAAAGTTTATATTTCGATTTCATTTCAAGAAAACGTTTAATATCTGTTGCGAGGCTATTTAAATTAAAAATAAACAGTAACAAGTATTATTTCAAACAGAGTAGAATATAGTATTATGTAATAAAGAGCATGCAACAGTGTGAGATTGACCTGCAGGAGCGGTGTCCTAGGTCTGGGCGGGCGGTGTTGCGCGTGCGCCGCGTGCGGGTTCAACACGCGCGGGGACGCCGTCCTAGGAGGACGGGCCGCGCGCGCCGCCCCCGCACCCCGTCCCGCGCCCCCCGACACGCTAGTGTTACCCACTTGATTCTGCAACGACTGACCACATAAATATAGTATAGCAAGTTCGCCGAACCAGAGATAATTAAGTACAACGTACCCGTGGGCTAATAGGGAATACGCGTCTGATTAAAAAAATGGGTTAAATATATTTTCAATGCAGTTGCTCATAAAACGCTATTTTTTTAATCCATTGTAAACACCGAAAGTGAGTCTTTAAACACGTGTTAAATAAAAATGTACTAAAATCCTTTACTGCACACGTGCTTAAAAGTATTTTTTTTATTTATTTTTTTTTGGCCGAGCACCAAAGAAATAAAAAAAAAAATATTGATGAACATATGTCAAGCTTTAGAGGCAAAAGTAAGGAGCCTAGAATGAATATTTTCAAATAAAAATGTATGACACGAAAACATGTTCAAATATCACGTTTAATTTTAACAAATAATTTTTACCTTTAATACATACTTAGTTTTATTAACCTATATATTTGTTTTATTTCCTCGCAAAAAGCATTGAAAAATGTTGTAAGAAACTTGAGCGTAAAAGGTTTTTCGAATTCGTGCCAATGAAAACCCTCGCTACGCTCGTGATTTCAATTCGGCCCTTACTTTCCGCACTCGTATCTAAAATAACTATTATATCACGATCATTATTGCTTTAAAATAAAGTCTATGTAAATATTTTTCAAACATTAGTTCGTTTTCGTCTTGAAAGTAATTATTAAAAAGTGAAACGAAATATTCAAACGCCATGCTAATTGTCAGAGCGGATGTGACAAAAATGTACACGTAAAGGCATGTCGTTGTTACAAAAAGTTAACATCAATGTCTTATATCGGAAAATAAACAACAAATTACATGAGTATTTAAATGAGGTTTACGACTTTTATTTTTATTTCACCAATTTGGTAAATTATATGATTATTAAAAAATTCTATTATACTTTAAAAATTGGATTAGTTGGTAATCAATTTGGGTAAATTAATAATAATCAATCACTCGAAATCCATATGGATTTTAAATGTTATATCCCTAGACGTGTACTTTGACGGCACGACAAACATGCCAAATTTTTTTTTTTAAACTGCTCGTTGTTGTTCTTTATTTTCATTAATTATTATTGTATTTTTTTTTAATTACAAATTTTCAAAAATCTGCATACTATCTATTTTCGAATTTTATAATCTAACCATACATTATACTAGCTGTTTTCCCGCGACTTCGCGTACGCGTAACCTATGTGAACCCCATATGATGTAGCAACTCGTAGACGAACAAACCCGTTTCACCTAAAAGAATTTTAAAAATCGGTCCAGTAGTTTCAGAGCGTATTGGATGCAAACAAAGAATCTTACCTCTTTCTAATAGTAGTAAGATATATGGAAAAATATAACTTTTAAAGTCGCGATCGCTTTTGGAACGAATGATAATTTGAATGGTCGAAAGATTTCAGATCGTAGTCCTTGACTGTGACTTCCAAATAACGTTAAATAAACGATATCGTACCTTCAATATCTTTATAAAAAACGTTGCGATCGCAGTGAAGTTCGTGAATATCTTTCAAATATATAATGAAAAGAGATTGTGATAGATTCTAAAGTTAGAATTTTGGCCCCCTGATATGGCAAGCCGGGTATCGCCCAAAGAGGTAAAAATGAGGGTACCAGGGGATTATTTGGTACTTTAAAGAGCTTTTGCAGTTGTATAGTATACTATTTCACCAACAACTGACCCGAGTGTATAATAACAAAAAAAAACACGAGATTCCTATTATGAAATACAATAACGTATCAAAATTTTAATCCCGCAAGCTTGAGAACTGTTAACGTGGGATTGAAATAATACAATCACTATAATTCTTGCAACTCACGAAGGCGAGTGGTCTTTATATGTGGTTCAACGTGTGTATACAAAGTGTGGTAGTATGCATGTCTGATAGAGCTGTCAGTTGCGGGCGCTTGCTCTCACGCACACTTTGACACGTATACAAATACGCGTTAACCACAAGTAAAGCCCGCTCGCCTTCGTGAGTTGCAAGAACTGTACCTATAATAATATATATAATGTCATAAAACACAACAAAAAAGAAGACTCTGGTCCCGTAAATCCCACTGTTATACAAATGCAAAAACGGTGCAGAATTTTGTACAGTTTTATAAAAAAAAATAATGAAAAGTTGTTTTATGTATTTTACTAAGTCAATAAGTATACAACTCGTACGAAACATCGTTTTAAAAAAATTCTGACAAAAATGTGTCAAATAATATATTGAAAGTATCCATAAATAAATGTTTATTTTCATTTCATATCTTCTATAATTCTATATTATTAAAGAGGAAAGATTGGATTGTTTTTTGATTTGTTTGTTTGCATGGAATAGCCTCTGAAATTACTGGAGCAATTTAAAAAATTCTTTCACCTATGGGAAGCTGCATCGCGGGCAGACAGCTAGTGTATAATAAAGCTAGTCACACTTCAGTGTATCAGCAAAGTTCATACAATATGGTAAATTAAACTGTATCAAATAAATAAAACTTTACAAGAAATCATTAAATATAACCTCGTTCAAAGTAATATTTAAATTGGTTAGAAATAATTTACCTGTGCTATTTGTGGGTTGAGGAGTCTAGCAGGTGCTTGCATCGTCGCAGCCGCCATCGGCGATCTAGCCGCAGGTCGTCGTGGTCGTACTGTCCGTACTGGAGTCCTTACGAGAGTAACACTAGCAGGACCACTGAGGGCTTGATTCAGTAGTCTAGGCGGTACCTGCCTTGCGGGCGTTCCCTATAACATGAAGTACATAAGCCAATTATCTTTCTACATATGATGAAGTGAGAAAATGATCATGGTTATCATCCATCACCATCATCAACAGCCTTGTAATGGAATCGAATAGGGATAATGGGCCATGGGTGTTAACGACTACAGATGCAGCCGGAACCAACGGCTTAACGTGCCTTCCGAAACACGGAGGAGCTCGAGATATTATTTTGGTCACCTATCCTACGACCGGTCCTTGCGGAAGTTGCTTAACAACCGTATCGCAGACGTAGCGCGCTAACCACTGCGCCAACGAGTTCCTCTAACAAGCGCATTTAGCATTTAACATATTCAAACGCCACTATCAAAGAGTAGAAAATTATGTGTGGAGTAGGAGATAACTGTCGGAAAAAAGAACTAAGAAAATGAAACGAATAGAAGCATACGATTAGCCTAGGCAGTCTAGTCCAACCTAAAGTTTGCCTTCCAAATAAACCTGTGAGGTAAATAGAAATTACTCATATATGAGCAATGTATTCTGCCACTTCTCATTGTAGTAACTCACATCGAGGGACCATAAAACATGAATTAATGTGACTGGGTAGAAAGTGCCCTCAGGAGAAACTCCAAATGCGATGGGATAGTGATATCAAAAGGACCGTTGGAAGAGAATGGATGCAGTATGTGTAGCAAAGCGAACACGAAAATGCTTTGTCGACACCCAAATGTCACTTTTCTAGGGTCCGTCCATACGTTATCTCACTTTCAATCCGAAAAAGTGACATTTGAGTGTAGACAAAGCGTTTCTTGAGTTTGTCATGTTGCGCGTGCAGGTTGCACAATATCGTTGTGAATATGTTATGTGTTACTACGCCTACACACGGACTGTCGAGATAGACCGAAGAGAGCCTACTAAATCACTAGCGACCATTAAAACTCCTTAAACCGCGGCGTTTCTTGGTGGCTATCCACACAAAATTGACAAAAAGTTGCGAAAAATAGCTTATCATATAATTTACAAATAGTGTTTGAATAAGTTTAATACATCAGTTACATTACGTTGGGGTCGGCGCGAATATGAAGAAAAAACAAGCATCGTCTTCCGTCAGATATGTACCCACCATTACACAGTATAACATGAAAATGATTAGAATTAAAATAATTTTATAAGAAGACAATTTAGAATATTTTCGATTATATTGAAAAACAGCTAGTTTTTATTAACAGGTAGAAATATTTCAATCTGATTCATCATTATTTTTATTGACAAAGCCAAATACTTACAGCTTGATTGATATAGGCAGCGTGCATCACAACTTGTTGGTGGGGTATCTGTTGCGACTGCATATGCTGATGTTGTTGTTGTTGCTGTTGCAGTTGGTGTTGCAACTGTTGTTGTTGCAGTTGCTGCTGTAGGTGCAACTGTTGCTGATGCTGCTGTTGTAAATGTTGGATGAGCTGTGGGGAAGCCCTTGACAGTTGCTGCTGCTGCTGCTGTTGCTGCTACACAATCACATTTATCAACGTAATATTTAATACTAAATTAAACATTTATAAACCTACTAAATTAATAATTATTTAAATGCTGGTTTATGTTCAATCAACTGTGTTAACAAACATCCATTTCTGTTTTTGCAATATGATTCAATTGTATTGTAAAAAATATAATATACCCTCGAATAGAGTATTTATCAATGTTAATAAAAATTACAATTTAAGTAAATACTAACGGTCTGTTGAGGAGCATGTTGCGGCGGTGGGGGTGGTGGCGGAGGCGGTGGCTGAGGAGGTGGTTGCTGACCGGGGTGGATCACAGTAGGCTGAGATAGTACATGGGCTGGACTCACCAACTGTGTTAAATATCAACATTTCAGTGCGACATCATTTCAAAGAAATTTAATATCAACATCAATCCTACAGAAAGGTAAAATAACACATTAAGTAGTATTTCGCTGACAAGGCAACTGCTCTAAGAGACGGCATCCCCTCTTAAGTACTCTAATTTTTTTGAGTATTTTTCTATAAGATGAATTTAATAGCATTGTGAATAAAGGGATTAAACATAATTATTGATAGTAATATTTCAAAAAAATAGCTTTTTGAATATATTTTGTAAATAATCAAGATTGTCTAGTATTAATTATATTTATGTCATGGCTATGTTATGGCCAAGTTCTATGGTAGATTGTAAATCTGAAGAATAAACGAAGCATTGGGAATTATTATTCAAAATGTGCAACAGAACATCTTTGTACTGTAAAATAATAAATTTACCAAATGAGGATTCGCTGTTTACAATCTTCATAGGATCTTGATAGCAACTAAGAGTATTTCGCTATTCCCATAGAAAATGGAATACCATGCAAATGAGATCAGAGATAGTGTTTATACATATAGCAGAGTTTCATTTGACAGTAAATAATTTTAGCCATCTGGATAATAACTGAGTTTGAAAATATTTACAAAATATTGTTTTCTTCTGTCTATTAACCAGTTTTATGATAAGAATCAGTTCAAATCATGTTGAAGTTCAGTTTACTGTACACCATTCATGTTTCTTTTAGAATTACTCATACTAAACAAGAATCACTTATTAACCATCCATTAAGTTTACCGCGCTTTTCCTATCGATTTACCCACAAATTTAGGGTATGTTCCGATATACACTGCGACCACTGAACAGTATGACGTCAATTTAGTATACTGGAAGCCCGTTCCTTTATAGCTAGTTATACTGGTGACTTTTTAAAACGGAACGCAGTCCAGTATACTGTTAATTCTATTTTTTGGCGCCATTTTCAAATTTGTTAAGGCAAGGTGAATATAAATATAAAGATTCTCTCTTTTCAAAAGAAAATATTATAAAATTGTATAAAAAAATTATTTATCTATCTTATAATAAACGTATTTTTTTTTTTTTTGTTTATTTAGAAACTTATCATTTTCTGATTCTGTTTCGACTGATCACGTGATCAAAAGCACTGCGAGCACCTTACCTCAAAATCTCCAGTGCTCACAGTACAAATATGGCGGCAATTTATGACGTCATAAATTTCCCTAGGGTACTGTAGCAGTGTACTGGCAGTCCATAACGGAACGGATTTTTCAGCAGTAAGACCACTGCGCAGTGCTCGCAGTGTATATCGGAACATACCCTTAATCACGAACACTTATTGCTGTTTCGTTTGACGTGAGACACAGACTACAAATATTGCAAAATAATATTTTTGTTTGCTGATTAAAAAATATAAATAATTTTTATTTAACAAAAATATTCGGCGAATAATCTTTAAACTTTTAACCACATAGAATTTAATTTTTTATCTATTTGCTGCTTCATCCACTATTATTCTAAGATCAAATTTGCCTAATTAAGATCTAATTAATGATACCAAAATAAGTAGATCAACGCAAATATATGAAGTAAATAAGTCTAAAAATCACGTTTGAATTATGTACAACCAGTGTTTCAAAATTTTGGTGTGTCAAAACAACTGAAATAAATATTTTTTGTGTCAATATTATAGCTGATTGGATATTTTGAATCACTTTGTTTATAAATAACAGGGGTGTAGTCAACTTTTTTAAATATTTTTATTTTATGCCTAAAAGCAATATTTAAAAAAGTATCATTCATAGTTAAAATCTAAAAACAAATTTCATTTTCATAATTTCCCGTGAAAGCGCCACTTCTGTCATGACAGAAGCAGCGTCAAGGCCCTCTGAAACTTATATCGTTCTATGTACGCATAAGGTTGTGATATGAGTGAGAGGGGCGTGATCTCACACGCTATTTGCGGTCATGTGACAACGAGTAGAAAGTATATATTTTTTTATAATTATATTAACCAATCTTATAAATATAATAAGCATAAAATTGTGTTTATCGGTAATAGTATATTAAACACTACCAGGAAAAAAGTATTTATTTTCGTTTATTGTCAACACCCGTATTGTTTGGCCATACCAAATATACCAAAATATATGACACTGATTATAACAAAACACTCTTGGAAAAAGTCGGAAAAATAAATTTGAGATGACAATTATTTAATACCAATGTGGCATTAAACTGGTTGATAGACAAAGAAAAAAATATCACCACATTTTCTTACATTAATTATATCAGACCTATAACACTACAATCAGCCACATCCACATATTCAATTAAATAAAAAGTAACTAATAAGAAACATTTTAAAAATTTGCATTCATCAAAGTCTGAAACTTATTTCTCTTACATCGAGAAAAGTTTGTAAAATTAATAAGTCACAAATTAAGAATTTCTCAGGTTGAGGCAAATCTCCATTAGCCACATAAAGTAACCAAATTAATAAAAATATGAACATATCTCATTCAATGTGCTTTGATTTTCTTTTGCAACTATCTTAATAATTACACTTACATTGTTAGTAGTAGTCATGAAATTATTTACAATTTAAAACCCAAAGCAAATTTTTATGCAGTGTTCATACCAACCAATTAAAAGTTCCATGTTATTAATAGTAGCTTAATAATAGCTTCTGAAGTATAGTTAGTACTTTTAAAAACAACAGTTTGCATGTAATACTTGTAATGCTGGGAGTCACTATATAATGTTGCATTAAAATTACATTCATAATTTCATTATGAAATTTTTCATAATCAGTATTAAAATAATAAATAATTGAATTTAGCCCAAACTGAATTAAAAGAAAATACAACAAAATACATTACTCATGCTAAGCAAAATATTATCTACTATTATAATCTAAAACTGTCAAAAGTGCATTATAATAATATGCTTATGAACTAAATTATAATACACATCATTGTTTAGCTAACATACATGTTGTGGGCGTTGTGGAGATGCCTGTTGCATTTGTGATTGCAAAGATGCATCAATGATTTGTTGGGCCTGTTGCAACACAACCTGAGCATCCACAGGTAAATCAGAGGTGTAGTAAACCTACAAATAAATACTCCATAAAGACTGTACCTTGTAACATTTGACCTTTGGATCCCAGTCAAGAAAGATATTCATGATTTCGTATGCATATGAATTCATGGTTTTGAATTAATGTATTAAAAATAGATTTATTAGAGATGGGCTGACTAATAAGAAAAGCAGACCATTCGTCACCTTCAAAACTCGGCAACTTGTCTTTAATTATTCTGTAAAATAAGCCAGATACAGCTCTCTGCAGTCAAGTCCCAAAAAATAATTTCATTGATGAACAACAAATATGTTTTAATTCATCATGTCATATTTAGCTATAAATTTATATTAATGATATTACATTCTTTACATTTTTATTACTTTAGTGAATTAAATAAGTTATGCGCATGAGTCCGAATCGTGCCAATATTATACAAAAAAACATAAACAAGAATATGATTTCTTATGATTTTATTTGTTTACAATATCCAAGGTGTTTTACTTGAACTTGCACTATGTAAAGATTCTACTTGCCAAATTTCATAGTTCTAGAAATTAATTATAAATGGGAAGTTCTCAATCAATTTATATTCTCTTGAGTATTAAAATATGAGTTTGTAAATGACTGCGTCTCTTTTTATGTTAATTTAGGAGTTTCATTTTTTCTTCAGGCACTGTAGACCTGAGTACGCATTCCCGAAATTAAGAGACATGCAGACAACAAAATGACAGTTTTTGTTTTGAGATATGAAACTTTAAAATTGATTACAGCATTATAAAAAAAATATTACTGGGTTTTTAGGACAACAAAAAATCAATAAATCAAGAGTATAAAATTTGGTTAAACACTTCAAAAATTGTTTCTCAAAATGACATGATTGATGACAAATGTTGATGAAAAAAGTATATAGTCACATTAAGATATGAAGAGAAAGAAGGAATCTAGTTATTGAGATGTTAATGTAATATTATATATAGAAGCTTCTAATTAATTCTGCTCCTCAAGAAATGGACTATAAGCTAATGTGTAATTGAAGCTGTGAACTCCTCAAATAAAATTAAAAAAATCAAACTCCATAAAATTGTTGATGTATTTATTACATGGACATTAAATAAAATATTCATATATAAAAAACAACACAACCTTTTAATATAATTGTACTTAATAGTAATCAATTATACTTTAAATTTTTTATCCACAATAATCAATTTCAATTCTTTTTACTGAATGTTTGCTTTGTATCTACTTATTTCTAAGTAAACACCATATCATTAGGAAGAAAAATCAGAGATATTTTGTGCTTCATAAGATTCTATTCTGTTTCTCTATAATGAATGACAATTATAAAATATAAACAGCTAAATATGACATTGGAGTCTTGTGCAAGAAAGATAACTATGACACTTGTTAATTTCAAAAAATCTCAAACATTCATTAACTTGACAATTTCAAATAAGCAATAAAGTGACATTATAAGAATTAAGGCATGAGTTAGTAATCCAGTAAATATATAATACATAACAAAACGGCAAATGTGATTATTAAAAATCTACGTTTTGAAGAATAATTATAAAGTATGAAATCACACTTTAAACTTAATTTTTGTTGGTATAATTTTGAATTTTATAGACAATTCGAACCGAAAGATGACTATTAAAATGTATTTATTTGTTTAATTTGTCTGAACTAGTCGAAAAATACCATAGTCAGTCCATCTCTAGCATTTATTAAAAAAATTACCCACCTGATGTCTGTGTAAGGCTTGCTGTTGATGTGTCTGCTGTTGTTGAGCCTGCTGCTGTTGCTGAAACTCTGGCCTCGGAGGAGGTGGCTGAGGTGGCTCATGGCGGATGATGTACTGTTGTTGATACTGGAGTCCATCTCCAACCACTAGTTGTGGTTGGACTGCTTCACTCACTATGATATCATTTGGCTGGTCTGCTTGTTGAACCACAACCTTCCGAATATATATGAATGTTAATTCCATATGAAACCTTCACATAAACAATAACAACAGGCTTTGCTGGCGTAGATTATTTTATTTTTAAACCACTTTATTGGTTGATTATTTTCTAAGTGAACCTCTATGTCATAATAACTATAAAATTGCCACACTACAGCTTGATTTGTTCTATAGTTATAGAAGTTTCACACCATATATTAAGTTTTTTATTTTAGTTTAACTTTTTCAGTTTAAATCTAATTCCAATGAAGGTTTTAATCTAGAAATTGTATTTTTGTCAAAAAATTAATGATTAGATACCTGTTGTTGAGCATACTGTTGTTCATCTTGGTTTACTATTATTCCATCCAAGCATATATTTGGGCAATATCTCTGCAAATCTTCTAGTGTTAGCGATGGCCCTTGTCCTACAATCTGGTAAAATTGAGCCATTGCAAACACTTACCCTAAAAATAAGAAGTGATTTTAAATATTAAATTTAAAAAAAGGAAAGTATATTGAAAACAAATTATTAGACACCAATATATGCACAAATAAGAATTACATATTACATTTGAAATTAATATTAAAATTCATCTACCTTTCCAGGATTTTATAACAAAATCAAAACACATAATCATACATAATACGATTTGTTTACAATATCAAAACATGATTCAAGCTAGAGGAGAAATATATCTTGTGTTGTATTCTTATGAGTATTACTTTTTAAAAATGAACCCATCCTGGTTTTTGGATCGAAGTTACGACGAATATATATATTACGATGACAGTTAATATGCCATATACCTGAACACAGCACAACTCTACAATGACTCCGTGGATCATATGAAAATTTCAATGGCGACTTTTCGACCATCGACATTTTTACCAGTCTTTTCAGATAGTAACTATAGCACATCAAAACTATCACACTCAAACAAGAAAATCTCCTCCGTTACCATTTACCTGGATGAAACGAAATGGCTTCGATTCAACTGAACAACCTAATTTTTTTCAATATAGAATGTTTCACACATAGATTTAATGAAACTACGAATCCGTGTCTTACCGATATTTACTAGGGACATTTTAAATGTCATTTATATGCATTGTTAATGAATTTTTATCATCAAAAAGTATTTTTTTAACTCAAACGCCAAATCTAGAAGCAATTTACATTATGGCGTGTGTGTCACTTTTACGATTGTTTTTTTTCTTTTGGTATTGCTACTTCAAAAATTGTGGTCGTAGATTGACATTAGGATTGTGGTTGAGAGCAAAGTAGTTTGGTCTCATCACCGTCTTGTCTATGTTTATATTATTAAGAAAAGTTTATTATTAGTCAATGCAAAACATCAAAATGTCTTATTTTCATACTAAAACAATAAATAAAGTATATTTATTAAAAGGAAAGAGAATGATGTTTAGGTGCTTTATTTCGAAAAATCTAAGCACTATAAAGAAAACTACTATGGCATCCACAATCAAACTTCTATTTTTCATCAAAGTTTCAGGCAAAGACAGTCATTTCCGTTCCTTTTAACTAACATATTTAAAAACTGAAATTTGAAATGTTCTAAACTTATATATCAATACAAATACGAAATGGTACAAATAGAATATGAGTTGTTTATTGAGTTTTGAAAACTAATTTACTTTTAAACTCGAAAGAAAACCGGAAAGGTTGTCGAAGAAATCAAAAAACGTACTGTAGTGACATCTAGTTTGATTCCGGGAACTAATGTTTTTTTTTTAAATACTTCCTTATTAAGTTAAAAAGCATGAAGCTAAAGAAATAACTGGAGACCAAACTCCTCCATACCTACTTGAAGCATAAAAATTTGACCTTGAATGTTTTCTATTTCATTCCTTAGGTCCCCTCCTCTCTTTCTAATAGGGTGTCCACACAACTACAAAATAAAGGAGACAAGTTTAAAGAGTAGAACATTAAGGCAAAAAAAAAGTATCAAATTCTCCTAGGTAGATGTAAAGTTTACACATGACATTAATAGATCTAATCTAGATTCTCCGTCAAATATGAAATTGACTTTATTAAAGTTCCGTACAAAAAGCCTTTTTTCCGAATCTACTGGACCAAATCTTGTAAAATTTGTCATCCGTTGACCTAAACACAGATATACAAAATAATTAAATTTATTTTTATTAATAAGGGTTATTTTCAGGGGACAAATGAGGAAATTTAAAAAAGTTTTGCTAGCCTTACTGTGTCGTACGTATAATAGTATTTAATGAGTCTCGTCAAGTCGGGGATTAAGCACCCAGTAAATATTTCACCCTTAAGTCAATTTACTAATTTACATATCACATTCTTCTCTTACATTCTCAGATGTAATTGTCATTCTCAGATAAAAAAAAAAACAACATTATGTTATTTTTAAATTTAATATATATGTGACTAAAAAAGTACAGTTTTGATGACAATAAATATTATTTGATTGTTACCATAGCAAGTCTATCAGACAACCTACGACGAGATGTTGAAGGTGTAGAAGGCATGGTAAATGCATCACTGTTTAGATCAGATTGTCCCGACTGGAAAAAAAAATGGTTATTTTGTCTAAGCCCTGTCATTAGGGAATTAAGATATTTCGAGACCATTTTTTCATGACATATTACATTAAGTAAAATAAAAATATTTTATTCCTTCCAAACGTGAACTTGTGGCTCGACGACCTTTTTCGCTTGTGTGTCATCTTAAATACGCGTAGGTACTTAAAAAGGACGTCGAGCCACAAGTTCGCGTTCTCACTCGCAAGTTTGTATTCTATTTTTGCTACCTAAGAATTAGTACCTAATTAGTAGAATATAGACTTTTTCTTACCACATCAGAATAAAAAGGAATTGTTGTATGCTTTAACCGATTCTCTATTATATAATCAGTAGCCACAAAATGATTACTGCATATTTTTGCAGTTTTATAAAACTTATTTTTTTATTTGACACTCGATAGCCATTGACTTCTCCTTATTAGATCCTTGGGAATACTAAAAATAAAATAAAAAAAATAAGTTCATTTTTATTGTTTATCCTTTATCTTCTTTTCATGGTCACCATATTAGTGTTTGTTTATTTTTATTTTACAATGTGAACTGTGCTTTTATTAGAAAATTTCTGAAATATACTACTGTAAACAATTAAATCATATATTAATTTAGATACCATACTATTGTAGATTATCAAAAATTGAAGGATTCTACGTAAAAAACATTATTTTTATAAAATGCAAGCAGTCATCAATTATAGTAACTTACGACTCACCTGGGAAATATCAAAGAATATCCAGGATGCCATTTGCTTCCGCAACGTAGGACTACACATTTCTGAACCATTTTTCACGATTTGATAGCGAGAACCGTTTATATATGAATCACAATTATCGAGCCGACGAAATTAGTAATTGTCATTCGCCATATTGACACACTCGAGGTTGCCATTTTTTGAGGATGACATTTACCACAACAATGGGGAAATTTAGAAAAAAAATTACAGTGTCTTATTCACATAGCATGGGTACGGTGACGTTCGGGGTTTCAAGTTTTTAGATACAAAAACTCGATGTTATTGAGTTTATTTCTAATAGAGATAAACGATTTTGAGATCAACATATAAAACAGGATTTGTGAATAATATTTATTCATCAACTGTTAACAAATGTCATCGTATCCATTCTATGTGAAACGATCTATAGTGGAATATAATTTTACAATTTATAGGTTTTAATAATAATTAAACAAATTAAATTGCAAGACTGGATTATTGATTAATGAGATTGACATGACGACGGTAAAAAGTTAATATTTTTTATGAATTTGCAGCTATGTATCTGCCTTCTGACTATAATATTTGCGTACCATTTTTTATTATAGATTTTATTTAATTGTAGTTATTGCTTAATAACCCTTTTGTTTAAGTTTTATGTTACATTGGATTGGATTTCAGAGTATATTTAATGTACAATCTTATTTCTGATATATAAATAAAGTTTCAAGTCCTATGCAATTAGTGACGTGTAAAACTATACTATTAGTACCAATTGTCATAAAGTTTATGTAACATAAAATTAGCGAATAACATCAATGACCGGTACAGGTTCCGGGATAATTTAGATTTATGACATAGCCACCCAGGAGTCCAACGAATGGTCAATAGAGGTCAAATAACTTTGCTTCAACCAATAGTTCTGAGTTTGGCCTCCAGTTCTTTTACTTTATCTTCATGTTAAAAAGGTTAAAAAGATTAGGATGATTGGCCTAGAAACACTTCATTGCAGAGCACTTCATATAAAACACAGGCAAAGAGATCTTTGCCCACAACCTAGCTTTCTGTAGGTTACTTTGGGATAATCTACTTAGAAAAAGTCTATTTTTTATCAACAGTAAACAAAAAATACCTGAGTTGGTCATAATTCGTTATTTCCGGGATTTGCCTATTTTTAGTATTACCCCAAAGCACCATATGACAACTTAGCGTGACGAATCAAATATCAATATCGTGAAAATCGAATTAATAGTTTAATAACTATTTATTTATTATAATAAGTCGGTGTTTTAAACGTTTTAATACTACTTTGAAGTGTTTAAGTCAACTAAAAGATGTAGGAATGCGGAAAGTACAAAGTTATGGGAACGCAAACGGCATTCAAATTGGTAACCCGTTCACGTTCATTCGTTCAATTTACAGAACAGTTATTTTGCTAATGGTCCATCATTTTGTTTATTGAAATAAATATTTTCCACTTTCAAAACACTTTGTGCTTCATAATAATACAACTTTTACTTATAAAAAACATTAAAAACACAAATCATTAACGGACACCGGAATTAAGTTATAGAGTATCGTTAAAATCACAAAAAATGTGTCACAAATCACAAATTAAACCTTCAGAAAGTGTTTAACTTTGTGTAGATTTGCAAGTGCTATGGATTTTTATCAAAAATATAAAGGAATTTTCTGTTAGCACTCGCTACATATACATTCCAACGTTTAAAATATCACTGTATTTGACATTTGGGGGTCTGAATTGTAAATTATTAATAGCAAATAAAAATAATATATTATTATTATTATTAACTGACGTATTTGGTTGGCAACATTGGTTTCCCTCTATATACTATAATATATTACTCTTAGTGAGATAGATATTTTAAACTGATATATACATGGTGAAACAGTACGAGCGACACTCCCTAGGTTTTTGGAGAATACTATTTATCTATAATATGATGTTAATAAATGTATATGTCTAGATGAAATAGTTTCAGAAATATTAAATTAAAAAGATTTTGGAAAATAATGAGTGTTTTCAACCCTTAGTCAGCTGTTTTTAGGACGTACTATTATCACCATTATCACAAATGTCCTTTATGTTAAAACAATAAGTAAGGGTTTGGTTACTTATTTAAAATGTATTTAAAAAGAAAATTAAAAAACAACTGCGTAATAACAAAATACGAATTCGAGAAGATGAACTAAATTCATCCCTGCTTACCAAAGGATAAAACCAGCCGGTCTCCATCTACTTGCCGTACGCGCCAGCCAATCACAGATCTCGACTGGTGGCATTCTTAGTCCCGTTTGCGTTTTTTGTCCCGTCGGCGTCGGAGCTTGATCGGTTTTAAGTTAACTAGTACTTAGTGTGTGTGTATAAGTTTCGAACTTTGCAAATTTCAGTTTTTTAATATGTTAGTTAAAAGGAACGGAATCTTTAGTCTTCAAAATTAGTATAGCAGTGGACAACATCAAAACCATGTTAAGCGGAGTAATGGAGCAGCACAAGATATCACACAAACGGTTTCGAGTTTCCCCTACAATAGTGCACTTTCAGTACACAAAATCTAATAAAACTCCACTAAAATTATGTAATTTAAGTCGAATTTAACACTATTTTCCAGAACATGGTACCCCAACAACAAGTTGCGCTATCAAAATCCCGCTATTACTCTAATATATACTTTTACTCTTTGCGTAGTATCCAAAGAGTGAAAGTATATGTAATCTATGTATTATCCATGAAGATAAAGTAAAAGAACTGGAGGCCAAACTCAGAACTATTGGAAACAAAGTTAATTGACCTCTATTGACCTTTCTTTGGACTCCTGGATGGCTATGTCATAAATCTAAATTTTTCCGGAACCGGTCATTGATGTTATTCGCTAATTTTATGTTTCATGAACTTTTTGACAATTGGTTCTATTAGTATAGTTTTACACGTCATTAATTGCATAGGACTTGAAACTTTATTTATATATCAGAAATAAGATTGTACATTATACAACGTGTCCCAAAATTCAACGATAAGCGGGCGCCAAGAAGTAGACCTGCTCATGTGTACTTATGGAAAAATAAGAAAAAAATTATATCTTATTAATCTTTTTTATTATAAAATAAAATTCGAAAATTTTCGAAAGAGTTGTAGCGAATAGTAGTGCTACTTAGGTATCCGATACCAAAAAAAGATTGAACATAATTGAGAAGTTGTGGTCGTGGTAGTTGAAAATATCATAAAAGGTGTAAATTTTCGAAGATTTTCGAATTTAATTTTATAATAAAAAAGATAAGATATAATTTTTTTCTTATTTTTCCATAAGTACACATGAGCAAGGGTACCTCTTGGCGCCCGCTTATCGTTGAATTTTGGGACACGTTGTATATACTCTGAAATCCAATCCAATGTAATAAAAAACTTAAACAAAAGGGTTATTAAGCAACAACTACAATTAAATAAAAATCTATAATCAAAAATGGTTAATAAAAATTCTTTTTACCGTCGTCATGTCAATATCATCAATAATCCAGACTTGTAATTTAATTTGTTGAATTATTATTAAAACCTATAAATTGTAAAATTATATTCCACTATAGATCGTTTCACATAGAATGGATACGATGACATTTGTTAACAGTTGATGAATAAATATTATTCACAAATCCTGTTTTATATGTTGATCTCAAAATCGTTTATCTCTATTAGAAATAAACTCAATAACATCGAGTTTTTGTATCTAAAAACTTGAAACCCCGAACGTCACCGTACCCATGCTATGTGAATAAGACACTGTAATTTTTTTTCTAAATTTCCCTATTGTTGTGGTAAATGGCATCCTCAAAAAATGGCAATCTTGTGTGTGTAAATATGGCGAATGACAATTACAAATTTTGTCGACTCGAAAATAGTGATTCATATATAAACGTTTCTCGCTATCAAATCGTGAAAAATGGTTCAGAAATGTGTAGTCCTACGTTGCGGAAGCAAATGGCATCCTAGATGTTCTTTGATATTTCACAGGTGAATCGTAAGTTACTATAATTGATGACTGCTTGCATTTTATAAAAATATTGTTTTTAACGTAGAATCCTTCAATTTTTGATCATTTACAATAATATGGTATCTAAAGTAATATATGATTTAATTGTTTACGGTAGCATATTTCAGAAATTTTCTAATAAAAGCACAGTTCACATTGTAAAATAAAAAGAATGGTGACCATGAAAAGAAGATAAAGGATAAACAATAAAACTGAATTTAATATTTTTTATTTCACTTTTAGTTTTCCCAAGGATCCAATAAGGAGAAGTCAATGATTATCGAGTGTCAAATAAAAAAATAAGTTTTATAAAACTGAAAAAATATGCAGTCATCATTTTGTGGCTACTGATTATATAATAGAGAATCGGTTATAGTAGTATAGGTTAGTCTATATTCTACTTATTAGGTACTAATTCTTAGGTAGCAAAAATAGAATATAAAATTCCGAGTGAGAACGCGAACTTGTGGCTCAACGTCCTTTTTAAGTACGCGTATTTAAGATGACACACAAGCGAAAAAAGTCGTCGAGCCACAAGTTCACGTTTCGAACGAATAAAATATTTTTATTTTACTTAATGTATCATGAAAAAATGGTCTCGAAATATGTTAATTCAATATATTAAAAATAACCATAATTCGTTTTTTTTTTCCAGTCGGGACAGATTGATCTAAAAAGTGATGCATTTACCATGCCTTCTACACCTTCAACATCTCGTCGTGGGTTGTCTGATAGACTTGCTATGGTAACAATCAAATTCTAGAGTAGTATAGTGGGTACTTACCTGCTGTGCTTGCTCGACGACTGGTGCGGCGCCGGGACCTCGGCAGAGCCGTAGCCGTGGCGCGACGAGAGGGGATGTGACCCGTTGACCGGCTGGACGCTCCCTGTCTGCCCTCCGGGGCTGATACAGGGAGTGATGAGGCTGGTCTTCTGTAGCGCATCGACCTACGGGGGGGGGGGGGGGATTCACGATAAGGGCTATGCCTGTGTGGATCCTCCCAACACGATGAGTAGGGGACCGGAGATTGCACAGTTGCGCATCTCCGGTCTCTAGTCAGGGGCAGCCGGCTGGTTCGCGCACCGGTCGGCATTGCACGCTCCTGCCTCGTCGTGGGGGTGCATCTCGAATGTCTCTGAGATGTACCCCCAACCCGAAGAGGTACCTGCCCTTTTCGGGGCGGGCCGAAATGGGGGCGAACCACGCGGTGTATGTTCCCGCGCATCGCCTTCCATGAGAGGGACATCGCTGAGTTTAAGTGGGTAAACTTCTGTTTCTTGTCTAGCCCCTTCGGGGGTGAGGCCACAGGAGGAGTCCCACATCACCCGTGGAGCCCGCGCAGGGCGAAGCAGGTATACGTAACGCATTTCTCAGAGTCAAAAAAATAAAATGGTAACAATCAATTTATTGTCAAATGTACTTAGCTACTTGTGGTCAACGGTGTTGGTTTCACAATCACAAGATATATGTAATTAATTTGTTGCTGGTTCAAGTAATTTCATTGTGAAACTGTTTGTTGATCCAATAAAGTAAAAAAAAAAATTGTCATCAAAACTGTACTTTCTGAGTCACATATTAATTAAATTTAACAATAACATAATGTTGTTTTATTTTTATATGAGAATGACAATTACATCTGAGAATGTAAGAGAAGAGTGTGATATGTAAATCAGTAAATTTACTTAATGGTGAAATATTTACTGGGTGCTTATTCCATTTCAATTCAGTCGGAAGGAAGGTAAGCTGACAATCGTAGTCTGCAGTCTTTTAGTTCAATTTGCATATTAGATCTTCTCCGTGCTTTGGAAGGCACGTTAAGCAGTTTGTTCCGATTGCATCTGCAGTTGTAAATACTCTCCAATCCGAAATGAAACGAAACCCATTGTGGGTACATTAGTAGGCTGGTGATTATTAAGAAGAGTTTTTTGCCAACTCTAATTCCCACACTGCTAAGTTTTCATCAAACTCAAAAATTGTTATTTTTAATTTGAGAACCCCCTAACGAGACTCATTAAATACTGTTATACGTACGACACAGTAAGGTTAGCAAAAGTTTTTTTAAATTTCTTTATTTGTCCCCCGAAAATAACCCTTATTTATAAAAACAAACTTAATAACTTTGTATATCTATGTTTAGGTCAAAGGATGACAAATTTTACAAGATTTGGTCCAGTAGATTCGAAAAAAAGGCTTTTTGTACGGAACTTTAATAAAGTAAATTTCATATTTGACGGAGAATCTAGATTAGATCTATTAATGTCATGTGTAAACTTTACATCTACCTAGGAAAATTTTATACTTTTTTTTGCCTTAATGCTGTACTCTTTAAACTTGTCTCCTTTATTTTGTAGTTGTGTGGACACCCTATTAGAAAGAGAGGAGGGGGACCTAAGGAATGAAATAAAAAGCAATCAAGGTCAAATTTTTATACTTCAAGTAGGTATAGAGGAGTTTGGTCTCCAGTTATTTCTTTAGCTTCATGTATTATCTTTATCATAATCATGTTTTTGTAAAAATCCTTTTTGTTCTGTGCATTGAAGTCATATTGTACGTACTTAATGTGGTCTCTGCGTAGTATCTTCTTCTTGATCTGTGGTCATAATTTACTCTTTGTTGAAGTCATATTTTTGTCGACTGAGACATTTATTTTGTAGTTTTGGTACCTAGATTATTAATAAAGACGTGCTCAAATTAATAATTTTGATTGTTTTTGAAACATTAATTGCATGTTGTGATAAGGCTAGTAATTTTAATTAAGAAAATCTTCAAAATTATTTTCACTTTTGTGACATTTAGTTGCCGTCTTCATTAGCTCGTGCAAATGGATGATTCTGTGGTTTCTCCAGGTAATTTTATTTCTAACGATTATGCATACGTTTTATTTATATTTTATTATTATTTATTATGTACATAATTTTAACAATTCAAGGTAATAAAATGGCAGACTCAGCGTCTGAAAGTGATTCGAGCTCTCTAGATGGAGGAGCAATGCTTCCTCCAAGTACGATTTCTCGTGATCAGCTACAAAAACGGATTGAATCTCTTCAACAACAAAATAGGTAATAGTTTATTCTCTAATTTTAGATTTGCAAGGTAATAAGGTATTCAAACACACGACAAAGTATGTTCTATTAAAATTCTTATTGTCAAGTTGTTTGATATAAAGTAATTTGCAAGATGCAGTTCTTATCATTATCATGTATAGTTGTTTAGTAGGATCACTCACAAAGATACAACGCTGGCTGATCCTTCCAGGCTATTTTACAGTGTTGCAAATATAATTAAAAAAAAATGTAATATGAAATCCCAAACTTACAAAGGTTTTTTTGAATTTAGTTATAATTGATTCCTGTTAAGTAGGATCACTCACAAAGATTCAATGCTGACTGATCCTACCAGGAAATTTTATAGTATTGAAAAAAAAATGTAATGAGATTTCAAGTCTTTTGATCTGGTTTATAATTGATTCTTGGGTGTTATCTGGGTTTTATATGACAAAAGTAAAAATTAATTTTTTAAAAGCCACCAAATAAGATTTTGGAAGCAATTATTTCTTCCAAAGGTTAAAGATTATAAGAAATAAACTTCTTTGATATTAAGATTAATAAAGCAATTTTACAGTAAAGTTTATAATTACAAAACTCATGAGAAAGAAAGTTTATGATTTGGATTTTGAAAATAAACTGATATATTTTTTTTTTATATTTATTACATAATCAATATATATATATTATAAGCATATAAATGTCAATCTGTGTTAAAGAAATACTTTAAAGAATTTGATAGTCTTAAATGGCAGACATGGTTTATAAATGTTAATTTACAAATCACATAGGTCTGGTTAATTTCATATAATTAAATTGTTATTGGTATTTTAAGAAATCACTGTGTCACTGCAGTTTCAATTTTATGAATGATTTACAGAGTGCTTAAAGTGGAAGTTGACACTTACAAACTACGTGTAAAAGCTCTTCAAGAAGAGAATCGTGCTTTGAGACAGGCTTCAGTTTCTATAGTGAGTAATATAACAATAAAAGCCGAGAATCTTTTTTGAAATTGCCTGTTGTGTAGTAGTCAGTTCGTAATTTTGTTATTGATTATATTAATGTTTTATTACACATTGGGGTTATTATTAGGTCTTGTGGTTCAATGGTGTATTACTTTTAATAAGAGATTAATGCCCCATTGAACAAACATCCTTAAAAATTTGTTATTAGCTTCTATACAAATTTTCTAATTTTGCACATTATTTTTGTTAGTTTGTTAAAGTAATTATTAAAACCTTGAAGGATTTTTGTGCAACTGACCATAAATGTTGCAAACAGCAAGTGTTCCTCTGTTTTCTTTGAAACTGAATAAATCTTAGATCTTGTGAAGATTAGAAAATGTATTATAAATATATTTTAATAATCTAATTTCACACTAAGCTTAGAATCATCTACCTAATTTAGTTTATATAACTTACAGCAAGCTAAAGCTGAGCAGGAAGAAGAATATATTTCAAATACATTACTTAAGAAGATTCAAGCTTTGAAGAAAGAGAAAGAAACCTTAGCTCACCACTATGAAAGAGAGGAAGAATGTCTCACAAATGACCTGTCCAGGAAATTGAATCAGGTTATTGGTATTTTAATTAATTTAGTTTTTATATTTGCCTTATGAAGGCTTACCTTTTTGTACTTTAATTGCATATTCAGATTTTTATTATACAGTTCAATTACATGAAATGTTAATGTAATAGTTTGTGAGAGTATATAAATAAATCAAACAAATTATTTATGTTATAAATATATACATTTTTTTAGTTACGCCAAGAAAAATGTCGCTTAGAGCAGACACTTGAACAAGAGCAAGAATGCTTAGTGAACAAATTAATGCGTAAAATTGAAAAACTTGAAGCTGAAACTTTGGCAAAGCAAACTAATTTGGAAAGACTTCGTAGAGAAAAGGTAATATTTATTTATTAACTGTGGTCTGATGTTCTATACATATGTATAGAATGTGTATGTTGTTCAATATTAATTGAAAAAAAAAAATATTAAAATGTATATCTTTCAACCCACACAGGAATTGTAACTACCATTGTAATAGTTTCATCTCAATATCCTATTTTTTTAAGTTGACAGTGAAAATACAGTAAAATTTCTTTTTGAAATACATTTAATATCAACAACAATTTCTTGTTGATGTTTTTTCTGTTTTTATAATTATATCTATGGTATTATTGTATTATATTGTATGGTAGGTTGAATTGGAGAACACTTTAGAACAGGAGCAGGAAGCTCTTGTGAATAGACTTTGGAAAAGGATGGACAAACTTGAGGCTGAAAAACGATCTTTACAAATCAGGCTAGATCAACCAGTGTCAGATCCTGCAAGTCCTAGGTAAATATATTAAGTCCTGCAATATTTCAACACATGTAATAGTTTTTTAATTTTATTTCATTATTTACTTATAAAGATAATGACTCCATTATGTACGATCAATAGCAAGTTAAAACTATTCAAAACTGTCAAACTGCTTGATTTTAAACCTTAATGTTTTGAGGGTAGAGTTCAAAAATATTTCAGGAAATTGACATATAGTTTTAGAAGTGCAGCCGTGTGTAAATGCTAAATATCTCCAATCTATTTTAAGCATTAATCTGTAGTGATACTTATGAAATTGATTATAATAATATGCGTTTTGAAATAACTATACTCCATTCACTATAACATTAGAAAAAAGAGGGTCATAGAAGCAGCAGTGCAGAACATTTTATTTTCAAGATAAAATTAAAAAATCTATATTAGTTTTGTTGAGACTTTGAACGTTAGGTAGTCTGAAAGAGCTGGGCAATTTTCCATTTTTTATGATACCTCGGGGTTGAGATGAGGCCAGCATTTTAAAAATTCATCTTTTAGTCCCAAGCCAACATGGAACTAAAACTGAAACTATCTGTGTGTTTTGATAAATTCTAATTGTAAAATTCTAATTGTAAGTGTAATAAGTTAGACTATTGATGAAGACATTGAAAAAACTCCCTGAAATGTCAAAGTTTAAGGGTAGGTATGGGGGCCTAGAGCGTAATTTTTGTAGGCCACTCGGGCCTGTACCAACATCGTCCATATTTACCAAAACTTAACAACAGAAATAAAACAATAACATCACGGAAAACAGCTAAACAACAAGAAAAGCAGTAGCATTCACAATGGATGACAATCCCAGATAACGATTTTAACAATTATTAATAAGTAATAGTCTGACAAAATTAAAAAGCTGTACTACCGAAACGCTTGAAGGAGTTAGGCAACGTTTTAAATTTGGTAGAGTTATAGTGACATGAGAATCGTGCCGAAACTATCCAACCCTGCTTCTTTAGGTTCTTTACGATGTACACTTTTTATTGTAATACTTATTAAATCATTTAAGTTAGTCATGTACTCATAAATTTGTTTAATAGTTAGCTTAAATGACAACAGTTAAGTATAGTAGCTGATATTTAAGTGAATATGTATCAAATTAGCCGTCAGTTTTAAAAGTAACATGATTATTGATATTTTGTCACAAAGTATACCATAAAAAAAACCTTATTTCACTTCTGTCTAATGCTATAATGAATGGAGTATAGATCTGTTGCTGTGTATAGAAATATGACGTTTTCTTTACTATCCAAGATTTGCAACATATTATAGAATCAACTTAGATGGTGTGGGCATTCCTTTATCTGGGCTCTTTACAATTTTTCCTGTCTTTTCCAAGTTTGTGATTGATAATTTTCATCGTATAATTAAAATTTTATTTGAATTATTTTTCTGATGAATTGTTATGGTAATTTTAACTTGTGTTTTTTTTCCAGGGACATAAGTAATGGGGATACTGCATCAAACCTTAGTAATCATATCCAAACACTACGCTCTGAAGTGGTAAAGTTAAGGTGAATATTACATATTTTTATATATACATAAATTTGACGTCTTCTGTAGCCAAGTGTTTTCCATGCTGGTCTATGTAGAAAAAAGGCTTTTCTAATATTGTCTACTGTCTGTGAATTGAGGTACCTTCGTTGTCTCAGATACTTCATAATACCGGAGCTTGCAATTTGAACAATTTATGTGATGTTGTTTAATACTTAAGTATTTATTTATCAATTTATTAAGACACATATTGAAGTTAGTTACATGTTTTTCTAATTATTATTGCTGTTCACCATAGTGTTTTATTTTCTCTATAGAAATCAATTGGCGGTATCTCAAAATGAAAACAAAGAGAAAATGCACCGTTTTGCCTTAGAAGAGAAACACATCCGGGAAGAGAACCTTCGCTTGCAACGTAAACTGCAGCAAGAGGTAGAACGTCGTGAGGCTCTATGTCGACATCTCTCCGAAAGTGAGTCGTCCTTGGAAATGGAAGAGGAAAGGCAGTTCAATGAAGCACTGAGTGTAAGACATTACTACTATAGTATTATCATATATATATATATATATATATATATATATATATATATATATATATCGTATTAAGGCACTTTTTACTACCCAATGTTACAATTTATTAGAATTTGCGCTATTTAATATTTTTAAACATAATCAAAACTACATCACAGTTTTTACAATTTTTATGATTTTAGTTTTGGATCGGTCTTTAGCTGGAAGAGCTTAATAATAATTAAAGGATTTGTAAATAAATAAAAGTCTGTTGGGAATCGTTTAGTAAGATAAAAAGAGCCTATATGTCAATCCAGGCTAGCATTATATTTTTTTATTAATTGCTTGGTATTAAAATATTTCTCCAAAAACCTACCGCTCCCTACTTAGTAGCAAGACGCTTTAACTCTAGATTTCACTTTAATTTCAGTTCTCTCTCTCTCCTGTACTTTTCCATCCATTCCTCATAACATCTATCCAAGATCCGTTCTTCCATTTAATTTAAAAAAGTCATAAAACAAATATTTCGGAAAAATAAAAACGTTTTCTTGCTTTTTTTATAATTAAATCAATATTTAAAATCAATATAATAAAGACTAGCTTTCGCCAGCGGCTTCACACGCGTGGTCCCTAGGGAAATGTTTAGTGGGATAAAACATATCCTATTATCTAAGTCATCAAGTAAGGGAAAAGCTTAAAGAAATAGACAATGACCGTTGCTTCTCATTACATAAACGAAAACCTTATGTACGTTCTCAGAATTCTTCAAATCTCAGGGTGCCAGGGACCAAGTGGATTTTTTAAGCATTTTGTATTAAGAATAATTTTCAGTATGGCATTGTGAATGCAAAATTAATCAAAATATAATTATTATGTTATAATGTATTGATCTGGTAATGACATGGTTTTGTGAATGTCATTACTTCCATTAGAGCTCGTGAGTTTATTGCTCGTTCTTTTTATCAATCAAAAGACGTCCTGAATGAGTGGTCGGGGAAAAAATGTTGGGCAACTCAAAAAGTTCTTTTAAGAAGTCTATTTGAATAATTTTTTTTTTTTTCGATTTGTCTTGACTTACTAATCTGACAGTTGTCGCCACAGTGACGTCACACAATGGCTGCTCGTGTTTCAAGTCACGTGACACGCAGACAAATCACGACTTTTAATTTTAAGATAACCGTGCTATTTTAAGACTCAAAATCTCTGTTTATTCCGATATATATTTTTCACGATAATATTTATTTTTGTGCAATTTTTTCTTACAATTATCGTTCAGTCCTCACAAACTTTTGAATTTGTTACAATAATAGGACATTATTTCGTATAGGCTCGGTCACGCAGCGTATCTTCACCGGGTGGTTCCCGGCCGCTGTCTCCTTATGCACAACCGTTGTTGCCGAACGCGGCCGGCATGCGCACCGCCCTGCATCTCAACTCGCAGGTAATATACTACTATTGAGTGGATATTGTAAGAGTTGAGGAAAGGAGACTTTACAGGGTTACTTTCAAGCCAGTCTGCTTTTGTGTCTGCCTTTCAAGGTTTTTTTTCAGGGATACTTATCAAGTACCATTGTAGTACAAAGAATTTGATATAATTTTTTTAAAGTTTTATCCATAACAATCAACTATAATAAAGTTCGTTGACATGACAATTTTTTTAAATATTTCTTAAATTGGCTATTTGACTGTTATAGCAGTAGATTATAAAATATATTAGAACTGGTAATTTATATGTTAACAATAACTATGCAGTATGTATTTTTTAAATAAATTTTATGGCATTTAAATAAATTGTATAATAATTCGATCCATATTTTATAATCCATAAATTAACTTGCGATTAATACTAAATAATCTATGGGTTACAAGAACCAGCAGCAGCCATATGACGGAGCATCGTGTGACGTCATATTTCATAAAACGTCAACGTCTTTCTTGCGAATGCAATCAGTACTCATATTTATTAAAATGAGACGTCACGGAACGGAATGTCATTTGACTGATTATAGGGTTTAGCCGGATACGTATGACGAGTCGGCCCCCAAATGGGAATCGATATTGAAACTTATGTTTTAATATAGACTTGATGTTCAAACACGATTTATGTACTTTTCCCGACCGACTTCCGCTTTGACCTTGAGATAGAGAGCAAAATATCCGTATGCTTGACTATTACTGAATGTGATATATCTCTGAAGCTAATTAAGATAAAGAAGTGAAACTAACGCGAGGTGTTAGGTTACATTACAGAGTATATCACATATATTTTTTTATAATTTTTGGAATAAAAAATTACATCAAAAAAAAAAAAACATGTTTTTTTTTCTGAGTTCTCTGTGACTTACAATCACGAAATTAATATATGTTATGCTCCTTTGTGTGCTCTATCACCCATAAAAATTGCGTGAAAAAAAAAATTGGTGCAACACAACGAAAAAAAAATATATGTGATTTCTGTCTTATGGTATACCCCTGTATTATAAGGTTTTCACATTACATCATTGTTTTTTTTTTTCGAAATTTCTCATCAGCTTGTTTTAAAACATAAGTAATTAGTCTTAAGAGATGGGATAATAGTTAAAAAAGAAATGAAAAAAAAACAGCCAGTGTTCAATACTTATTATTGTTACTTTTTCGTGTCTATCAAAATACAAGAAACAAAATATTAATCATCGTCACTGTTGTAATTAATTACAATCGGAACACAGTTTAATGTGTCTCGAGTCTAAAATGCTCTGCTGTACAAGTTCATAAATCAAATAGTAAAATAATTTCTAAACAAAGAGAAAAATATGACAGTGGCAGTTGATCGCAATTAAGTTTATCGAATTTTCAATTTCACATGCGATGATTCTTCGTTACTAACGTACAGTAAATTCATCATAATGCTTAAGAGCCCTATTACAAATTTGGCAATATACAAGTGAAAAGCTTGATGGTGCAGTGGTAAGCGATTTCGGAGGATAAGCGACGTTTGCAAAAGCCGGTAATCGGATGGGTGACCATTGTTTTACACGTCACTAAGCAAGTGTTCGTGGAGCATACGATAAGAGAAGAAATTTTTAACCATACAAAAAGAGAGCAAAAACTCGCCATACCCCGCTCCGCACCTGGACCACCCCACTCGGCCAAATAAAAAATATTGATCACTCATTCCATTACTGGCCTTTGCGAATGTCGCTTAATCTTCGCAATTGCAGATCAAATGCACTAACTAATGGTACTCATAGGATAAGAGAACAAACCCAGCCACATCCCTCAGCGGAATATTTAATTTAGAAAAAGTTGTTTGATATACAGATTTCTAATGAATCGTTCGAATTAGATACATGCAATTTAAATCAACGATCAATTCGATATCGGTCAATTTGCATCGATTCATGAGTAATCTAATCTAATTTAAACCCTTATTACATAAGTCAACTTCCAGTGAAAGTCCCGTCAAAAACGGTCCAACCGTTTCAGAGATTATCTGGAATATACAGACAAAAAATTATGTTTAAATAAATAAACATACAAATGTATTTAACAATGGTTTAGTGCAGAGAAGTAAAATTCCAAATTTGCTTTTAATGATTATAAATGCATTTTGTAATTGGGATGTATAAGGATGTGCGTTATTTTTGTTACACGTTGTATAGAACTACAAAAAAATTTAAGTTTTGTTTTCAAAAACTTGCTATGACGTTGTTGGTCATGGAATCTTAAGTGTCATTTTTGATCCAGTCATGGCGACCGAGCGACCGTTTTGTAAAGCCGGCGGTACCGGGTGCGGGCCCTGTCTTAGTCCGAGGCGGTCCGATGGAGGCGCCCGCGCCCCCCGCCCCCATCGCCGCGTCGATGCCTGCGCCCCCTGCTCCCGCCCCCCTCGCCGCCCCCGCACCCGCCATGCCGCAACCTACCAGCCCAATGGACATCTCTTCCAAGGATTAAGTGCATTCATCTATGTAAGACCGTTATCAGGGCCGGATTTACCACGTAGCAAAAGTAGCAAACGTTACGGGCCCCGCGCAATTCGAGCCATGCTTTTCAGAGCCAATTAATTAATTTTACAAGTTAGTGTCAAAAATGCAAAAAATAAAATAAGCCACGCTTAAACTGACAAATAAAACTCGAGTCACAGATTGTATTGTGTTATTCGGAAAGCAAATGACGTCTTTAGGGGTGGGGCCCCGCTCTGGCTTAATTCGGCATTGACCGCTATACAAGATCGACTTTAATATGGACAAGTCTAAGACTGCCGGGCTGAACATGGGTTAGTGTTATTTATTAATTGAACTTGTGATGTTTTAGGTAAACGCAAAACGATTCGAAAAGAGGGTAAATAAAGAAAATCATTTTAGATTTTTTTCTATGAAAATGTATACATCTACACCAGCACGAGCCGAATCGTCAAAATTCTAATGTCACATTTCCATCTTTTGCTAGGTTTAAAGAAAATTGGTTCATTCAATTCCTTCGGTTCGGATCGATCTGCTGTTAGTCTTTACCTTAGTTTGCCATTAGACGATAAAGCTGGGTCGTATTCTAATCAAAGTTGCGGATGGATGACAAGAATCAAATTATCTGTATAATATGTGACCCATTTCAATCTGGCATCAATCAACGTTACACGGTCGGTCTGACATCAATCTGACCAAGATCATGGATTGATTTGACGCCAGATTGATGAGTTTAATGGCCTGATTACGACAAGTCACGTTCACACGTAAATATATATGTTTAAACGAGGAGTCGATTGATGAATGATTTACTAATTGTTGATGTCGATAATGACGTCGACATTTACGTTCCGTCCTCGTTGTGAACGCCGGCTTCCTTTTCATTCGTCTACCCATAAAGTTTTAGTGCCGTTACCGCCCAATATCTCAGTAAATTTACTGACGCCGTTGAGGCTAATACTTCACTCGCAGATAATATATAGAAATATGGCAGTTTGTCTTTTTGGTTATATTCTCCCAATTGTCAACCGGTTTCAAAATGTAATATTCCCGAATTTTCCATATTATGATCCCATACAGTCAAAGTTATCAAACAGCAACTACATGAAGTAGATGAGCGACTGTACAGTTGTGTTTTATATAACTAGCTTACCGTCAGTTGCTTCCCCCAGGGAACTGTTTAGTGGGATAAAAAGTAGCCTATATATTGATTCAAGCTTACAAAATGATCCATATACAAAATTTCATAAAAATCTGTTCAGTAGTTTTTGCGTGAAAGAGTAATAAACATACATCCTCACTAATTTTCGCATTTATAATAAATATTAGTAGTAGAGTATGCCACGGGCCAAGCAATTCCTCTGTAAGAACATATTTTATGATCGATAATGCTTTATTTAAAATACATAGTTGGTCAATATTATCCAACTTAATGCAAAATGCTTAAAATATTCAACAGCCCATTGTACTCGGATAACGCAAAGTCGTGGGGTCGAGTCCTATCTCAGAGTACCTAGGGCTGGTAGCTTTTTTAAGCATTTTCTCATTATGTAAGAATATTTTCCAGTATAGCATTGTGAATGCAAAATTGATCAAATATAATATACAACTTATTATCCACACATGTCTGGGCATTATGAATAGCATTCTTATTACAAAATGCTAAAAATCCACTTGGTCCCTGGCACCCTGAGATGGGAAACGAACCCACGACCTTTCGCAATCCGGGCGACAGCTCCCATCCCATCCCATCTCAGGGTGCCAGGGACCGAGTGGATTTTTTAAGCATTTTGTATTAAGAATAATTTTCAGTATGGCATTGTGAATGCAAAATTAAATCATTATGAATAGAGTCCGCGCTCGGTAAATTTATTGGAGAAACAATAAAATAAATTTTCTATATTGATATTATTAATTTAAAATATTATTAATCATATTCCATTTATTTAAAAAAAAATCATCCAATCCAATATTTCCAAAATATTTTCTTTTCTTACTATTGACTTGTCAAAGAATTGAACTATTTGGAGTGATGATTTGGAGCATTCAGGGATTGTACACATTGAAACGGTTTCGAGAACAATTCGAGAACTGAACACAACGAATAGAAAGTGATCATTAAATTGATTTATTGTACCTCCTACTAATATTGTTTTTACAGTTTATATGATTGTATGAGTTACTGTGTACAAAAGTATTTGTAAAACATAAAATGTCCAATAAACATTAAAATATCTAAATTAATTTGGTATTACAAACATAAAAAGGGCATCACCGAAACAAAATTTTCATCTGTTAAACTCGAAAGGTAAAATATTAATTTGGTCATAATGCTAGTCTGCATTGCTAGTAGTATATTTATAAAAGTTGCAGGTAGGTATTTTCACCGTAAACTCCTACGGTATTAATTATCAGTGCATAGGGACTGTCATCAGCATTTTATGGATCATATTGACAGTTTTTAGACGAGCACGGTGCATACAGCACACGTATCAATCGTACATTTTCACGGCGAAATAATTTACGTATACAAGTGGTACCAAAAGTGCGTCCATGTTGTAACATCCGTTAAGGCAGCGGTTCGAAACCTTTTTTGCTGGTGATCCAAAATATTGCAGCGACCCTGATGCTTTATTAATCCATCAGTGTTTATAACAGGATAAAGTAAAAGTCCGTGGTTTGCTCAAATTTATATTATAAAGTATACATTCCAAGACAGTATGATAGCGATTGCAGTACTCACATCGCCCTTTAAAAATTACCATGACCTATCTTAATACCGCTCGTAGTCCGATAAGAAACGTTACATTATGGCACTGTACTTGGGTTTACTAAAATTGATAGATTCAATGGAATTTTATACATGTAAGAAGCGCACTTGTGACTTCTTCACAGATATCCTTATTAAAAAATCGTTTAAAATTATTGATAATTATCTGTCAATGAACAGTCAATTGGGGTTTCCAAAATAATATATTTAATATATATTAGCAATTTCGTTGTTTATGAAATGTTACCAAACTCTTGTAATTAATCGCTGTATTGTTTTTTAGTTAGGTGGAAAGATTTTCTGTTTGTCGATAGTTCGTCGCACAACTTTTGTGGAAAGGCAAGCTGTATTAATGATTATCTGTGAGTGCGCTTAGTGAACTTAGTTAACTTAGGCGGCATAGTGCTGTTGAGAATTATACAGGTTTAAAGAGCATGCCTTATTACTGTGTTACGTCGTTCACATTAAGTGTTCAAACTATGGCAAATATGGCTAAAATAGGTGACTCTTTAGTGACTGTATTGAATTAATTATCCAGAGTTGATAATAATTATATGTGTTGACGATGGCGGTACTTAATATCCTCTTGCATTATAAGCTAGAAAGCGTAGCGTGAGCTTGCGTAATTGTGCAAAGGACTGGTGTCGGCACTTGTCAATTTCAAATTGTAATACCGTTGCATATTATGTGACGTCGATTCAAAACTACATGGACTGATTTGTGAACGACTGACGAATGAATGAGGTATAGTTTTATTCTTTAGTTTGTTTACGCTCAGAGATGTGAATGGCTTCTTTGAGTTTTTATTTTTATTTAAGTATTGTTTGATGAGTGTGGTATATGTAGTGGAGATGGTAATATTGATTATGACGGTATTGCATGCAAAATTGTAAAAATATCAGCAATATTATTAATAATATTAAACTGCGAAGCGACGCGTTAAAATGCCCAAATAATTATATTTATTAAAACAACGATAATTATGCTCCTAAGTCGTTACGTTATTAAACAGGCGCGCAATTCTATATTGATTACATAATTGGATATTTTAAAGTATAAATATGGACTAGATAAAGTTATATTAATGACTGTCAACTCTTTATTCTTTTTAATATAAAATCATTTATATACGTCAATGTTTCTGATGTAAATGTGTTTTATTGTTAGTTTATCGGAAACGAATAAATGATTTTGTATTTAAGAATTGCTCGTCTGTTTGAATAGGCTTACTGCCCTTCCGGATCGGCACTTTTAATTCACATAGGCAGGTCTTTTTTTCTTTATTGAATAAATGTTAAAATAAGTCTCCGAATTCATGTTAATGGAAGATAGTTATAATGTTATGAGGGGTCTATGGCTGTTATACCAGATTCCTGTGCCGATATTGTAGCATCCGATTAGGTTAGTCCTTGTTAGTTCAGTTATGATTGGTTTTTAATAATTAATCTAGCTTTGAAACGTACGGCAATGGAGTTTTCTTTTTATCTATAGGCTGTGTATTTTCACCTACTTATGGTGTAAGAAGATCGAAATAAATATTGTAATCTATTTGGCATATGTCACTCTCTAGGTTTGTTACACTACTTTCATGTAATGTTTGTAGTAATGTATAATATGTTAAGAATATTGGGTTGTGCCCTCAAGGGTTAGTCGTTGCGTTCGATGGTACTAATGGGAGTAGTGAATGAACCTTCGGATTTGATTTAACTGTGCAAAATTTCACATTAACATTTTATTTTTTTCAATGTTATAATAAAAGAAGTATATTATGCATTAATAATAAAATGTCTTTTATTTTTCCCTGGCTAGTACGTATTTATCGTATTAATATTATTTTATTCTCAATGAATAAATCATGAATCTCGTAACATGCGTGTAAAATAACACAACTGAAATGGCTCAATGCTGCGCAGGAGGCTATGTTTCAAAGCGCGGCAAATGTCGCCAAATAATTTCTTTTTTTTCAGACTCACATTCTAAAACATGAAATATTGGTATGGCGGAATTAACGACGTACAACTTATCTCCATAGAAGTTAAACTGAAAATGGTAAGAGAAGGAATTTTATACTTTAATATAGATAAAAAGTAAGTAGGTCTTTATTGCTCCATAGAAGTCAATAAAGGCTGAAGGATTAATGGAAAGAAATCATAAATCTATATGGTGATACAACTGATTCAGTTTCGGTCTCGTTGGTGTAATTATAATGAGCACAAAGTTTAAATAACGTTGGCTACAAGCAGTGGGTCATTTGAAATAGGATAGGTTAAGTTGCTCTTTACTTATGAATCCTAGACACATTCTCTAAGCGGTGAACCATTATTCACCGTTTAGGGAACTGATGCGGATTTGGAATTACGA